GAACCTCAGCGAACCGCAAATATGTGAAGCTTTCGTTGAAGCATGTCGAGATATCAATCCGCCATTCTACAACTACATGAAGTCGAAGGATGCACAAACCGAGAGCCAAGCGTCGGTGATCAACCAAACTGAAACGGCGCTGAGAAGCATCTCCGATGCACTAATCACGGCACTGAACACGATCAGTCCAGAACATGCGAGCCACGGCCTCATCACGGTAGGCGATTCGAGTGATGCTGACTCTGACGATGCGGTCGACGAAGCCGATGCTCCAGCGGTGCAGAGAGCACGGAACACGATTGACAGGACCCTCAGATCCTTTCGTAGGCTGAAGCCAACACTCTCTGACAACAGGATCACGATAAGCTTCTGTATCAAGCAGTACCGCAGCATGGCACCTCCGAGCGAGAAGATCGCCAGGGGTCGCGCAGCTCACGCTACGCTTCAGGGCAGAAAGCACGGTCGTGATCCGAAGACGTCAGACGAGGAGGATGGGCAGCCACGGCGGAAGCGAGAGGCGATTGGATCGAGTTCAGTCTCTGCAACCCAGCCGAGCTGCCTTCGAGACTGTGTTTGCGGACAAGCACACAAGTTCGCCGACTGTTGGTACCTTAACCCCGCAAAAGCTCCAGCGAGATGGAGACCACAAGTTCACATTCAATCAAAAGTGATCACAGCAATCACAGGAAGTCATCGCCAGCGCGAAAAGATCGAAAGAAGCTTTTCTCGCAGCAAGATCGCACTGCCTGACTTCTGGCCTGGCAACAATGCAGATGAACAACCCGAGAAAGCGGGAAGCCAAGCCAGCTCTGTCACGATAACAAGTAATCGCCAGACTAGACCCAGGGCTTCTTTCGCTACTTCCAGATACGCACTAAGCACTACGCGAAGTCAAGAGCACGACAGTTGTTTTCGTCTTGACAACTGCGCAGATACACACGTCTGCAACGACAGATCGCGCTTCAATCAATACAAGCCAATACAAGATGAAATCATCAGCTTTGGCAATACTAATACGCACATCGAAGGTGTTGGAAATGTCGGCATTAATGTCACAACACCTACAGGTCAGGGTCTCGTTCAACTGGAAAATGTGGCATATGTACCTGGCTTTCACTGGAACCTTCTAAGCACACATGTGCTTGAGAAACAGGGCATGTTTTTCAACACACGAACATGCTGGGTGGAGTTCTCAGACGGCTCAAGGGCCTTTGAAGTCACAAAGCAAGGCGCTTTCCAAGTCGTTAAGCCACACAGTGCACAGCAACTTTCCAACGAGAACACAACCATCAAAAACACAGGGCATGCCTTTGCTACAAAGAAGACGTCCCGAGATGTAAAGAATGCCTCAGCAACAATGGACGTGTGGCATGCACGGTTGGGACACATCCGTAAAGAAGCTCTTGAGCATGTGTCCAAAACAACAAAAGGTGTAACGCTAAGTACGTCAAACTTCGAGCGGAACGCAGAGCTCTGCGAGACATGCGAACTTGCACAAGCACACAAACAAGTATCAAGGATTCCATTGTGGAAAGGGAACTACCCTTTTGAAAAGGTTCATATGGACCTCATCGACATGGAAGAAGCATTCAACGCTGACTCATGGGTGGTTCACTTTTACTGTGACTACTCTGCGTACCACATATCTTTCAATCTCCCAAACAAGACCCAAGATGAGCTTGTGTCTGTGACCAAGGAATTCCTAGCTATCACCAACACTAACTGGGGATTTACCACACGATACATCCGATCAGATGGCGAGAAGGGCTTAGGTACCAAGTGGAAGGAGACAATAGCCGCAAAGGGCATCACCTTTACACCGTCTCCCCCAGACACCCCAGATCAGAACGGTCTTGCCGAACGTTCTGGGGGGGTGATCATGACTACTGCGCGAAAACTTCGCATACAGAGTAGATTACCACACAAGCTCTGGCCACACATAGTTGCACACGCCACACGCCTTCTGAATCGCATTCCAGTGCAGCGCAAAGACTGGAAAACACCGTTCGAGATGGTGCACGGTCGCCAGCCTGACCTTTCGAACTTGAAAATCATTGGATCGCGAGCTTACGTTCTTATCAAGAACTGGAGAGACCGTCCAGCTAGAGCGAAACTACGAGAGAAAGCGCTCACTGGATGGCTCGTTGGAACTGAAGCAACCAATATTCACAAGGTCTGGATACCACAGTCCAACCGTGTGATCACATCACGGGACGTACGCATGGACGAAAACGTCATGTACGACTCACAACAGTCTATGGATCTTCCGCAACGTGAGCAAGCACTTTCTACCACATTAAATGACGTCGATGTAGAGGAGTCAGACAACGACATGCTTCTCATCGGCGGCGATACCGCAGAACAGGCAGAAGAGCCAGTCGATCCACAGGGGCACGAAGCGCCGCCTGCAGGTTCAAGGAGAGACGAAGCATCTCTACAGGATATGACCCTACAGCCCAAGACTAGAAGCACACCTATGCGATGGCCGTATCCAACTCCAGTGTCTGTTGAATCAGTTCCACGTCAAACAAGCGCTACACAAGAAACACCTGGACACAGAAGGGACGTCGCTACTGACGCATCTGTTCTTCAAAACCTACGCACCAGTACCGGACGGAGCATTCGACTATCACAAAGAGGTCAAGACGCCGTCGGTACCACCCAAACTCAAGCTACACAGCGACATAACGAGAAGAAAGCACGACGCCAAGCTCATGCTCTACGACTTGAGCGGGCTAAACTCGGTCAGCAAGTAGCCCACGCATTTGCAGCAGCACAGTCTATACGCATGCACCGGAGAGACCTACTACCGCCACCTGACTTCTGGCATCAGCTGAAGCGACATCCTGAGGGCAAAGAGTTCCGGCGTGCTGCAGACGCTGAACTTACATCACTCGAAGAGAAGAAGACCTTCGAGCTTGTGGACTACCCAGAAGGCAAGCAAGTGCTGCCGCTGAAGTGGGTGTTCACGTACAAAGTTGACGACGCCGGCTACCTCGTCCGTCACAAAGCACGGATCTGCGTCAGAGGTGATCTTCAACACCACATATCGGACGACATATATGCAGCAACAGGCGCATATCGCAGCTTTCGCATCCTAATGGCTCTGGTCTGCGCATTCGGGCTTCTCTGTCACCAAATTGACTTCAAGAACGCCTTCACCAATGCAGACATGGACGAAGAGGTATACACCGCCTGTCCGCCAGGGTATCACCAGTCAGGCAAAGTCTGGAAACTGCGAAAAGCGCTGTATGGATTGCGCAAGTCACCAAAACTATGGTTCAACGAGCTCGTATCATTTCTCAAGGGTCTGGGATTTGATCATTGCCCAGATGAGCCATGCATACTCATCAACAAGCAAACAGGACTCATCCTGTTTCTCTACGTAGACGACATGCTCGTCATCGCACAGCCAGAATGTATTCATTTCATTCAAGAATTCAAGCTAAGATTGAACAACAGGTATGGGATTAAGGATTTGAGCGAAGCAATCTCCTTCCTCAACATCAGCATCCTCCGAAAAACCAGAGACAAGAAGCTCTGGATCAGCCAACACGGGTATATTGAGAAGATCTGTACCAAGTTCGGCATTGACGACACTGGAAGAAGGGCTACAACGCCTCTCCTCTCGTCTTATCGTCCTCAACAATACGAGGGGCAAGCAACGCTTCATCAGATCACAGAGATGCAAGAAAAGGTAGGCTCGATCCTGTATGCAGCAGTGGTATCGCGACCCGATGTGTCTTTTGCAGCCAGCCAGTTAAGTCAGTTCACGTTGAACCCTTCACCGGAGCACTTGCGTTACGCGAACCGAGTTCTCGCATATCTCCAGGCCACGAAGTACTATGCCATCGAGTTCTTGGGCTCAGTGGAAACTACCACTGAAGTAGAGACACGCGATGAAGAGGTACTTCAGCTGTCAAGCGACGCATCGTTCGCGGATGATCCAGAGACTCGAAGATCCACGCAAGGCTACCTCATGAAGCTGTTCAACGGGCCGATCATGTGGCAGTCGTCTAAGCAGAAGACTGTAACCACGTCAACGACTGAAGCTGAGCTGCTCTCGCTGTCACACACAGCGAAAGAGACAATAGGTCTGTACCGGCTGTTCAAGCAGATACAGTTCGATCCCGAGCACCAACCTCGCATACTCTGTGACAACCAGCAAACGACAGGCCTGATCCAAAAAGGCAGACCACAAGCGTCATCAAAGCTGAAGCACGTTGACATCCATAGCTTATGGCTAAGGCAGGTCTACAGAGACGGCAAAGTCACAGTTCAATGGGTTCCAACGACTGAAATGCCTTCGGACGGCTTCACCAAACCACTCTCAGCAGAAAAGCACTCTCAGTTCGTACGTCATTTAGGCCTGGTTGATATCTCATCGCAGCTTGATCCAGCGCATCGACACAAAGAGGCAAACTCTGAACACAATCAGACCTCATCTGAGACTGAATGAGCTCTGAGGGGGTGTGTCGCAGGCCAAGCGCTGTCGTGAACCTGAACTCTATTACAAATCGTGCCGTGCGAGGGCCTACATATAAGCTGCGCTATGATGCCAGAACAATACAACATCCATCACACACACATTTCTTAATATCCCATACCTGCAGCACCACACCCAACCGTGCGACATAAGGTCATTCTGCGAAATAAGATGACTAGCTACCTCCACGTAATCAACTCTCAGGTCTTAGCAGTCTCCTGCTTTTGGGGTCCGGCTTTGAGACGAAAAGTCTTGCTAATTCTTTACTTCCTCTCCGCACTGCTGCAAATGAAATTCGCAGCTTTCTATAGCCGCTTCTACCTGCTCTTACGCTTGCAGCTGAGTGTAGGATAACAGCAGAATTTTGCCTTGGCAAGCTCCAGCTTGTTGCATAACCACGCTTCAATCTGATCTCACTCTCCGTGGGTCTGTGAGTAGTATCATGCCTTGAGACAGAGTGTGCTGAGGTATTTTCCATCATGAGCTCTTTCAGACAGCCTATTTGACTGCTTTTTGCCCGTGCGTTGGCTGCCTCGTCGATGGGGTAAGGGACGCCGACTTTGATGAGCGACTGATGTGCGTCAAGAACGCGCAAAGTCTCGACCACGCTTCGATCGATTTGACAATTGTCCAACGTGACCTGCGAGGTTTCATTGATATGAGCGACTTTCGTGCAGTGACGAGCGCCCACAACAGAACAGGGTGATGGTATCCACACTAACCTGTTGCACAATTCCCTCCCCGTCAATCAAGAACATACCACGGATGTCAATACCCAACTCTTCAACAACAACACCATAGTCCTTCGCAATCTTGTTGCTGGTGTCGCTCAAGAGCGGAATGTCGACATGTCCTAATCCTCCATGCTTACGTGGGATACTTTGCCAGTACCAGAGAGAGTTTCGTGTGTCGACAGATGTAAACATGATACTGCAGTTTCGTTTCCGGAATTGCTCATAGCTTTCTTGAAACGCCAAAACTTCTGTCGGACATAAATTAGAAAATGCTGCTGGGATGAATAGTATGACGAGCCACGAGGACGTGACATTGGGCCCGGCTTGCGAGTTGGTCGGACAGATATAAGTATCGAGAGAGACTTCTAGAGCAGTCTTAGAAATGGATTGACTTGTGATGAAGGTGTACTGCATCGACACCGTGTTCATAATACGGACCTTGAATGGAGCCACTGACCAATGCTTGACAGCGGAATTTAGGTGCTCTTTGACCTATCTTTATTCTTTCCAGGGACGCCATCTAAGCTGGTTGATCGTACAAATAGTTCTTGGTTAAATTTCCAATCTGACGCGATAACGACATTCTGCGTAGAGTTGAGAGCGTGGCAGGCATATAGACACAGAAGCAGACAAAGCATCTGATTTTCTGATCCGATGCCAGTCCACCACATGACGTGTCTTCAAGACATTCGTCGTTTGTAATACATTTTATTCCGCATGCATAGGAATGATCTGAAACATTGTCAGGAACATTATGGACTGACGTGTCAGATACGAGCGAGAGTCTCCTCGTCTTTACTGCATCCATGATGGCACAAATTCTGTTTCAGAGCCCAATCAGAGAGCTGTTTCTGGCCAAACCTAGGTTCTTCACATGCACTCAATCTTGTGTCAAGGAATCCACAGGTGTGTCGCATTTTCACAAGATCAAAGGTCGCGAGGTTGAAGCGTCTTTATTCAGGTAGAATATGCTAGGCGCGAGTGTTGGTTATTTGAGGTGGATCAAAGATGTCATCTAGGGGACCTGAAGTCATGCATTCTGCTGCGCTGGCTTTGAGTTTGGCGTGCTCCAGTGGTAACCTGCTTGAGCACATCACCAGACACCATCGCGTGATGATATATGTCTCATTCAGTTTGGGCGCGATGCGCTCTGGGTATCATATAATACAGTCTGTCGGCCCAGGTAGCTTTATACTATGCTACCATAAGCCATTTGCGGTCAATCAAAACCGCCGCTATTCAACGCCTGCATGGCCCCCCGTTGCTTCACTACAACTGAAATCTAAACACGATTCAGTACACTCTCTTTTCAAGAAGAACAAGCTTAGCTTACAATAATCACAAGTACGTCCTGCCACCAGGTGCGGTTTCTCTCATCGCTCGCAGTTGCCTTCCGTGCTCACGCAGTATTGTGGGGCTGGCCTTTTCGACTTCGCCTCGACGCAGCGCATACGAGTACCATGTCTTGAGGCAGTCTTTCTGGGAAGATGTAGGATATCGAACGCCTTTGGCGCGGTGTGCTTGAAGCATCATTGTCTCGAGTGATCGTGCAGCAGAAGGCATTGTGCGAAATCGGTTGTGATGGACAATTGTAAATAGTTGGGCTGTCGAGGGTCTTTGTACGTGTGCCTGACGTTTGATTCTTAGCTTTCTAACAGCTGTTGACGGTAGGATTAATTTACGTGCTCGGGAACGACTTATGGGCTTTATAGGGATGGCCTGTGGAGGGTTCTTAAGCTGGAGCGTTTCGCTGACGTCGCCTCCATCTCTCCGGAACGCCATGGCTTCTCCGCATCTGTATCGCAAGTCCCTGCACACATCAACACGATGACTAGATGCAACGACCAGCTATCATGTCTATGTTTGTCCACTCAGCCTTCGGTTGCTGTGTCGTCGCATTCTCACTGGTCAAACGCTGCGGCAACACCCTTCTCATACCTATCTTATCGATCCCGCGGCTACGCTCTCGCGTCTTCGCATTGCGGCTTCGTCAATAATTGCAAAGCTGTGCGCAGCAACATGCTGCTGTTGGTTGCCGCGGGATTGGGCTCCCGCGGGAGCTGACGTATGATACCCAATAAACCTAACAACTCGCTTGCGCCTACCGCATGCGGTTTCTGATTGGCCGGCTTGTCCTCACCATTGCACCAAGTGTGTCCGTAGCCAGGGTACCAAAGTTGTGCGGAGTATCATACATGATAGGAAAACGCAGCTGCTTTCGATCGGGCCAGCTGAGCTATGATGAGTGAAGATCAACGGCGAGTGATCTGGCTCCACTCTTGGGGTTGTGAAGCATACATTCGACTGCCAGCCTTCCCAAAAAAATCCGTTTTCTCCCTTCACGCAGCAGTATAAATCCGATCGCTGTCTCTTGGTATGGCTTTGTCGAATATCTCCCCTTGATCGAATCGTCCTGAGCTCAAGGGACTGTGCGGCGAGCGATTTTGCAAGCTTGATCTACAGAACGAAGGCGTCCTGACTGTTGTTGAGTGGTGGACATTATGTATGGACCATTATTTTGATCTATGGCTGTGTGCTGCCGTTTCTCTCTCTCTTGCTCCGTAAGCGTCCGCCGCGATAATCTCCACGGTATTCGTGTTGAAGACACGATCTATGGATCTTGTTGTGAGTTCCGATCGGCGATACTATGTATCGAAGCTCCGGTGTCGTTTTAGGCAGCGAACCTGCGACGAACATGATCGAGAAGAGCGAATGATAGATAAGTTATCATACGTAGGGTGGAGAGGAAATCCCATGGCCAAATACGGTCTAGCGCGGTTCTGCCGCCATGGAAGCGACTTGCAGGGTCCTGTGGAATCTCATTTCCTTAAGCATCGAGCATTCTGATTCTTCGCCTCTTGGATTCAAGATGCGCTGTCACCAGGACATTAGGAGATGCTCAACCCAGCTGGCTTTCTTTGAGACTCTGCTCGCTGCTGTTGCAACCTCTCAGTCTAGACCCCATTAGCCAGGAAGGCACGTCATAGTCTGCGGGGTACATTTCGGTGGCTACTCCTACATTTCAAACAAGGCTCATCAGTATCGCAACACCTTGAGCTTCTGAGCAGCCTCGAAACACAATATTAAGCCCCTGAGTTCAGAACCCGACAGTCAGGATCCCAACCACGATGGTCGCCTCTTTCCGTGATCTCCTCGGTATCCGTCCTGGTACAGCCTCGACCTCCGACTCTGCTCTAATCATCATCGACGCTCAGAATGAGTATGCAAAGGGACAACTGAAGGTAACCAACGCGGAGTCAAGCGGGAAGGCTATTGCCAGCCTGCTTGAGAAGTACCGGGCTGCAGGTGGCAAAATTGTGCATGTCATGCACCAGACACCTGAGGGTGCACCGATCTTCACGCCCGGCACTGAGCTGGCAAACGAATTCAGCAATGTTGCTGCGAAGGTCCGTTCTTCTGTGATTCTTCTCTTTTCTGGAGTTAAAGCTGACAGTCTTTCAGGATGGTGAGGAGACAATATGGAAGCAGTTCCCCGGTTCTTTCGAACAGACACCTCTACACGACACCCTCCAGTCGTGGGGTGTGAAAAAGGTGGCTTTGACAGGCTACATGGCCCACGTCTGCGTCTCTACTACAGCTCGCGAGGCCATGCAGAAGGGCTATGAAGTCATTTTGGTTGAAGACGCCATTGGCGACCGCGACATCCCAGGTGTGAAGGGCGATGAGTTGACCAGAGTTGCACTTGCTGAGTTGGCCGATGTCTTCGGTACCATCGTGCAGAGTGAGGATATTAGGTGAAATGTCCAAAGGTGGAGTGATACTGGAGGTTGCCCGTGTGACACAGGATAGATGATCAAAATGAAGTGATCGATCGAAGCTGATTCACCACTGCTGAATGCTTGTCCGTCAAGAGCTGTTAGCCTCAGGCCCACTCTGCTACAAGGGGACAGTGTCTACGTTGCTGCTATATAAGCACCATAAGTGCGATGCGGTGTGATCGTGGTTGGTGAAGGTCGGTGGAAGTTTAGGTGCGCCTTACAACATATCGGTACTCGGCACAGCCGCGATTACATAAGCCACTAGCGCAGAACTGCTAGCACATTGACGCTCCTACTGTTTCATCCACAGCCTTACACAAACATCGTGAACGAGCTTTCGAAAGCCATGACTGTAGAATCCAGAAATTCTGTAGCTAAGATATTGCAGTGGAGCCCTGATGACATACTCGCACCAATGAACCTGCTCCGTACGCTCGCGGGGCTGCCACTGTGAGTCTGTGACGAACAATATCGAAATTCACGAATGCAACTTAAAGATGACAAAACAAGGCTGAGAGGCACAGTTGTGTCGAATCTCAGTATCGTTTGGATCGTAACACGTGATTTGAGTCACTGCATTGGAGGATATCGCGGCTACCTGCCCGTGAGCTCATCGACGCGTGTTGTAATTGGATTGGTCTCAAACTCCTTAAAGCGTTCGCGGACAGCTTAGCAAGGCAATTATACCAACGGAGTCGCGTTGCTTTTAGTGCACGGTCAACGTACAAATGTGCAGAACGTGCCACGATGTACAACGCAGAGCACACCGTCGACGAGTGTGAAAGCCATAGAGTATTCGCTCATGGAAGCAGCAGTCATACTCAACAACACACTTCCAACACATGTGAGTGAACGCACATGTCTCTCGCATCTCTTTGTCAATCAATCAACCCGCAAACATTCACCAACTGTCTTTCACAAGCCGCAGCTATGCATTCGACGCGAAGGTCTTGCCAAGGTCTTGCCGCACACGCTTCGTTGCAACACCCGCCTGTACCTATGCGCATGGAGAACTTCGTCAAGACTCAACTACGTCCGGTAGATGAGTGCGTAATATGTAGCGAACCTTTCAGCGCAACGCACCAGCCCGTCGTTCTGGACTGTAAGCACATTTTCGGCCATGGATGTATAAGACGATGGATCGAGGATGGCCGTGGCAACAACGCAAGTTGCCCAGTCTGTAGACATGTCTTAGTCTCTAGAAGGAACACACAGCCGGCTTTTGATGCTCCATCGATATGGGAGAGACTGTGTGAGCTGCCGCTTGTTCGACTCCACGCATTCATGGAGAAGCTTTGGATCGGTATCCGGGATCTGTGGAAGCGAAAGCCTGATGGCAAGTTCACCATCACTGCGCTGTTGGACAAAGCCATCTTGCCGGCGCTCATCGAAGCTGGAGCGCAAGCCTGGAGTGGATCGCATGATGCCCTCACTGATGCCCACAACCTCATCGCTGCTTCTTGGGACTCCTTGGGCCGGCCAAACAGAACAGAAGGTCTCGCAATACCGTTCGTCCGTCTCGCTCGTTTGATGTCCAGTGCAGCAGCCACGCTACCACTGTACCTCACCGACTTGTCACGAACATCACGATTGCTTTGGAGGGCAAACGCATGTCTCGGCCTCACTGGAGCGAACGTTAGCTGGGATTGCATTATTGACGCCTCAAAGCTAGACTCGGAGCGGCATTTCCCGCTACTGCACCTCTACACTGTACTTGTCTCGCAGAGCATTGCGCACAGATCCGGGCCACAACGACCACTTCCTGCAAGGCGGCACGAGATCATGAACCTAGTGGTCGAGAAGTGCTGCACGAAGATTGGCAAAGCTTGCTACACGGGGAGGCCTTCAAATGAGTTCAAGGACATCTTGGTGTGTGTGTTCCAGGAGCTGTGGAGGTATCAGCATGAGCAAGCGCGACTCAGTCTGAGGGGCCACGAAGGCGAGGAGACCATAGTCAGGGGGATATGGGCTATTGCTGACTGGCCAGCCAAGAGAGATCGTTGATGGAGTATTGCTTTTCACATGTGTGTATCCTTTAATGTAGAATATCGTGATCTAATTGTATCTGTATTTTTCTTGCACACGAAATGCCCCATCTTCAGTTGCGCACATGGTATAGCAGCCCGTTTCAAAGCCCTGTCGACAACTCCTAGTTACACACACCACCGTCCCTCTCAATGAGCATTTTCTCCATCCACTCTTGTTTCAGCGCGTGGTCAATTCCCAGATCCAGCATGTATGGAACCGGGACGAACTGACTCTTCCACACACCGTCATCGCGAATGACCACAACCCCTCCTCAGGCCCTGATTTTTGCAAGTTTTGATAGCGTGGTCGGATGATAGTCCCCTCGGAACCAATGCAAAAGATCTTTCAGGAAACGATGTATCACGTCTGGCGACGACTGCGAAGGGAGTATTCCTTTCTTAGCACCCATCGCATAAGTGCGGCTAAGTCATGTATGTGAAAGAGGACTGTAGATTCAGCCGAGACGGTCAACAAAGCAGCGGCTGAGTTACAGATTGGCTTAGACAAAGCCTGTCTTGCTGATTCCAGGACAATCTTGTAGATGCATGAGATCCGATGATTATGGTTCCTTGTCGGATGTCCAGCTATGTATCTGCTCAGGTCTTCCACCTCCATCCTGAGTGCTTCCACTCCAAATCACTATCCACCGCGAGCCTTTCGAAACGGAACTATTTCCGTGCACGTGACTAGCATGGGCATCAACGACCGCATAATTGCGTGTATCACAAGATGTCCGACAATCCGACAGTAGTCCTATATCAGAACTGGCGGATAGAGAGGCTGTTCCGGCTGGAATTGTGGAAAAATAGAGTTTAGTAGACGGTGATAATGAACGGTCAATTTGAATGGTCGATAGTTATGAGGTTGTCTGTATGAATTGAAAGAGCGTTTGAGTCAAATACCATCGTGATGACTCACCCTATATACATTCACACGGTTGCTAGTCTGCACAACGTCACTATCCGCCAATCCACCAGCTGAATTCAATGACCTTTAGTCCGTTCAGGCCCTCAAGACTAAGAAGCAGTTGACTAGTAGTGATCCGAGTCTTGCATACACCGACGAGGGAGTAATGAATCTGCCTACGTTCTTTAATTCGTACGATGAGTGCGCATACTATGTTGCTAGGTTTGCAGTTCTCGGAAACGATGGCAATCTGACCGTCGGGCCTACCCTCGAGGCAACAGTAGCTCGGTTCGTTCTGCCTGAGAGTTTTTGCCAGATCCAGATCATGGTCGATGTTGCAACTGCAGGGCGAGGTATATCTTCGGTGGCAATTGGCAAGAGGCAACAGGAGATAGGCGCTTCCAGGGCCTCCCTCTGTTCAAGATTGCAGCAAGAGCTCGGCGCACTCTGTAGAAATGTGCCATGAGAACCACAATGCCTCCCATTAATCGTGTCCTGAACATAAGGCGTGCCGATATTGCAATGGTAGGCCAAAACACTGCAACTTTGTGATTTCTGCACCACCGGCGCCTTTAACACCATCTACTCTCGTTTTGCATCGAGTTCCAGTTCAGGACTTCATTGGTTGTTTGGTGCCGGGCCCGATCGAGGCTGGCATCCTAGGGTTCGGCTCGGACTCCAGCCTGATCACCTCAACAACACCAGCTTCTGGCACTTCGGTTTAGCGTATTCGCGGACTGCTTTGTTGGCGACAATTCTCAACCGCCTCTCAGACACTGGTACCCAAACAGAGTGATGGCTTGCAAGCTTAGATCAGTCTTCCTAGGACGGCTTGAGGTCGCTTCTTCGGTTCTGGTTTCGAGAGTGCCTGGATGAGCTCCCCACCGTGACGTCTCGGTGAAGTGGATCCTGAGGTGCGAGTGAGCCAATTCGAGCGAGGCTGGGTCTGTGCGATGCTTGTGCCTGCGACTTGAACGTCCATATGTAGCACGCAATGGGAAGCAAGGAGACCGTCGTGGCTTTCAGTCGGGAAGCGCTGGCTCGAGCCAATGTGATTTTGGAATATCAATGTTGTCCACTCAAAGCAAGCCTTGAAAGTGTCGTGATATCTCTCCGATCTCCCATATGCTCAGACCTTGTTCACCAAAATTGTCTGCCGAAGGATCCGGTTGCACGGGCTGCGTTGTTGCTGCCGTGCCAAATGCGTCATACAGATCGATGAGCTCATTGCCAATATTGAACACGTCAGGCATTGACCCAAGGTCTGTGTCGAAACTGAAGTCACCGCCGTTCCACAAGTTCGGCAGCTCGGTCGCGTTTGATCCGAGCTGCAGGGACTGCTGCACATTGTTCGCGGTTGACGGTTCGACCGCCTCCTTGAAAGGTGTGTTGCTGCCTTGGATCCCAGTTTCGCCGTGCATTCCCAATGATTTGACAACAGGCAAAAGACCTTTGATGCTTTTCCAAAGCCTACGGCTAGCTGTGCCATGGCGTGAGAAGCCCTTAACTAGTTCCACCGCTGAGATGAATGCGTCTCTGCTAGCTTCTGCGAACGTACTTGGCGCATGGCAGACAGCAAGTAACAGTACTGCAAGCGCACTCAGCAGGTAGTAGTGGTATACGCTCTGTTGACGAGTGTAGATGTCGCTCGTTTCGTTCAGGTGTACCAAAACCTGAATACTATCCTTGGCAATGTCAACGACCAACCGCGCAGATTGCAAATCTGCCTTGATGTTATCTGGGGTAAGCACATGATGTCGATGAATGAGCGTGCGCATATGATTCCCACGAAGGTAGAGTAAAGTTCTTAACCGATGTAGAAGCCTTGGCTGCGACTTTGGCGCCAGGCCCAGGCGAGGGTGCCGGAACTGTAGCTCCTGCGGTATTGACAGCAGCCAATTCGAGGTGATAAAATCGAGGTAATCTTCTGTCTCCTTTGGAATCGTTTGCAAGGGAGAGCCATACGGTGGCAGAGACTCCCAGACTCTGGAGCACAGTCTCGCATAGGCGACCATGGCTTTCAAGTACGGGTATGCCTTCCCTGGTTCCGGTAGTTGAGTGTCGATATCCCGATCGTTCAGGGCAAACGATAAGCTAGTGCCGAAGCTCCAACGTCTGTCCAGTTCGTAGACTACCCAAAAGACTTGCACCGCAAGCCTTCGGTCTTCAGAGTCCTTGAAGTTGTCTTGGAGGCTCTGTTTGCGATGTAAACCCATCTCGAGAGCCTGACGGCAGGCTCTACCAATCGCTCGCCACGCGAATAACTCTTCTTCAGTGTGACAAAAGTACAAACTCTATGTTGGATTAGTGGATTTTTGGGATATACGTGACAAAATTCATACCAGCATCCCCATAATCTGTATGTCCTTAAGCTCGACTTCTGTCTCACTGGAAATTCGGCCAACATCCTGTTCGACCTCGAATAGCAAGCGGTCTGAAAGATCATTCTTTCCATGAATCTCATGGGTGATAGCTGTTGCCACAGCAAGTCTCAAGATGTGTACGTCCTTCTTTCCCACTTTCTGCGGACCAGTCGGCTGGTGAGGATTGCGGACGAGATCCATGATAGCCGGGGCATTTGCAATCAGATCTCTGGTCTCTATGATTGGATGCACGCATGCTACCTCTTCTTGGTAAATGCCTAGTAGCCTATTTATGTCGTCATTTGAAATACCCTGTAGGCCCTCCACTCCGGAGCGGAGCAAGGTCTGCGCCAATGCAGTAGTTGGCTCCGGCGTTGCTTCTCGTGATGATACTGATGACGTGTGGCCAGCCGGATATCGCACATCAGATGGTATACCCATACGATTCAGTGATGATTCGACGATTTTAAGACTGAACGCAGCGCGTGTTGGCCCTGCAAACTGAGGTTGTCGCGGTGGTCCTGTGCGCTGAGACGTGGTACTCGAGTGAGCTGGACTAGCTGTCTGCTGTGAAGCTGGGGTGCATCCAGCAATGATGGTGGGTTGACTATCTCGTCGCTCAGCGAGAGCCGCCACAGCGCCCATCAATGTGGTGAGCTGCTGTCGTAGGAAGGATACATCTTCAGTCAATTGCTTGTGAATAGAGCTGGAGCTGAGTTAGATTCAGGACATCTTGGAGGGTTTTTTGCTTACTCATCGATGTGACTTTTCTCTTTGTTCTTGTCCTTTTCTTTGGCAGTCTGTGTAGCTGTGGGCACGACGATGCAATTAACATTCATAGTGGAGCACCGTTGACAATCCGCACTGTCGTCAACTTGGATGCATTTAACTTTACAACGTTTGCACTCGTTGCTGATGTCTGTAAGAAAATGAAATGGGGTGATTTCCATTAAGCATACCATGCTGCTGAAGTGTACTTCGCGCGTTTCGAACGCGAAGTTTCAGGCGCGTCCTGCGCAGGCCTCTTCTGAGATGAGTTCGACAATGCGCTGCCGCTGCCATTGGCCTCCATCGTATAAGTATATCACACAATCTTCGCCAGCGGAAGGAAGACGTAGCAGTGATGGCTGCGTCATCATCGCGCCCAGTGTGGAGATGGGTTAATAAGTGGCACCGGCTCGGTCGGCTCAAGTCGGCCATGCGCGGCTAATTCCAGAGACCAGCCGTTCCGCACGAGTCCGGGGTTTCAGCAAAACTGTGGTTCCCTGCAATGATGCAAGTCGTGGAGCAGGATACCTAGAATATCAGAGGATCGGGCTGGCAATGCGGTCGCGACAGCAGAGCTTGCGGCGTCAAGGGTACGCTGCAGGAAAGGAAAGTAATTTTTTATGGGAGATTATTCAGCAAAGGTCCCTGGATGCAAAAACTACATTATTATCCCACTAACAAATGCAATGATTTTCCTGGTACATCGACGAACGAGACGGGCGTCTACGGTCAGGTGATAGCACCTTCACCACGTATGTTCATGTCACTTGCGTCTTACCAAGTGTTTGCTACCGTGGGACAAACGCATTGACAATCCCTTAGACCTCTTACTACCGGTCCAAACGGAGACGACAAATTTGCCTTCAGCACTGTGCGCATGGGCATAATGTCTTTCACTATGCAGGTTCTTGGCTTGTCCTTCTGCGCAGCGTTCTTTGTGAACGTATGCACAACGTCCCTTCAGCTCACCACGACAGTATCGGCTCAGCCTACCAGTCGTCACTGAATTATGCGAAGCAAAATGAGGAAGTCGCATGCGTTTGGCACGAAGAGCATGCCGCTGAAGAAGCTCCCGAAGAACATGAAGAAAAGTAGAAAGCTTTCAGCTGTCAACACACGAATGTTAACAGCCACAGCCATCAATAAATCGTCTCTTCTCCCGTCATCAACCAAGTCGTGCCAACATATTAGCGACCGCAACGATCTCCAGGCACTCCAGCCAGAAGTCGCGCCAGTCTCACACATAACACTTCCTGCGGAGGGCTCGAAGTCTCAAGCCACACAAAATGCCGTTCTACCTGACCACACGGATTACGTTGAACATATCTATGCGCAAAGTCCAAAACACACCTCGACCGCAATACCTCATCTCGCGCCTTCAGATCCCTCGCCAGAACTCTCGAGCACCGAACAAACACCCATCGCCCCGGTCACCTCGCCCACAGGCTCCAAGCAGTCAGTCCCTCATCACCGCCCCTCAGCCGCAAGAAGTCAATCCACTTCCCCAGCCTCCGCGTGCTGCCACCAGCACGACTCTACGGCGATGACCAAATCCCATCTGGCAGCAATGCACCGTTTGCAAAAGACGAGTGCGTGTCGCAGGCTCATGCGCGCCGCTACTTTCTGTATCGAAGTTCTAGCCATGGGACGTGGATGTTTGTTCAAGGCTGTGAGGAGGTTGTGAGGGGACGGTTATACGGAGCATGTTCCTTATTAAGAAGGGGCGGTGCAGGTGTGAACTTAAGTGATGGGATTGGTGTATGCATAGCGAGTCACATCATCATAAAAGCTCGAGGATGTTGTCTTGAGAAGTAGATTAGAAAAATCTGGGAGGATATATGCGTTTCTCGGGACACGATGAGTATGCTTATTCAGTGGCTTTGGTGTTCATTATAACGTATAATTGTATGCAGAGCGTAATGGTTAAATTTGGACACGTAGAAGTGACCTGGATCCCCAGCCGGTGCTCGATGGTGAGAGATGTATTGGCACATTATGCCATCCAGTCACGGTCATCGGTGTGATTGCTCGCCGGACGGCGTTCCTGTTTTTGCTTCACTATGTGCGCCCTGATAGGCACAGAATCATGTGACTTGAGAGCAGAATCCCATGGGTTCGGTGTTCTACGCTTGACTTGCAGTCGCTGCAGCAGTGGTTCTTTACAAATCTCATGAATTCGATAGTAGGACTCGGGTTCTTCGCAGTCTGGGGCTTTCTGGTGTCGTGGAAACAGTAGCGCAGGGTGCTGTGGTTGTGTATCCTGCAGCGATGACATCTGAGGAAGGAATCCTCCAGTTCTCTCTTGCTCAGTTAGCCTGACGTCTTGTACCGTCTGCATCGGACAAGGATGTCGGTTTCGCGGTGGCGCGCCTGCACATATGACCTCAGAGTTCTGGGTCGGTTCTGTCGCATTCTCTCGTAGACTCAGGCCCGCATCTATCGCATGCGGTGCTATAACAGGGTGGGCAGGATTATTGAAGGTGTCCTGTGGAGTGTGAGTATCCGTTGGTGAGCCTTGCTTAGACAAGGCCAAGTTCTGTCGAAGTCTTCCCAATGTCTGGACTAGTATAGCGCAGTCGGTGCATTGCGAGAGTCCTCGTGACTGAAATGCGTTGCAACCATTTTCACCAATGAAAATGTGTTTCAACTCTCTAGTGAACGATCCGCACATGGTCTTCAGCTTCTCTTGACTGGTTGTCAATCGACAGAGTGAATTTTGCGGTTGAGATTGACGCCAGTGCTGAACACGCTCGTCTGTAGTCATGGAGCGTTTGACATGTAATGCGTGATTTCGGTGATCAGCTTCAGCACGTTGGCTATCGCTAGTCTGATTCGGCATGGTCGCCGTACGCTTGATTGAGTGTAGCCCTTGAGGCGTGGCCTGGAGCGGACATCCGGGAGCACGGAACAGCGATGGCTCCTCCAAGCGGGTCGCCAGAGTTTGATCATGTCGTTGGGCGGTGCTAAAACTAGGTCTACGTCCTCGAATGATGTCGAACATAGCGTCACCCTTCGGTGCATCGGTCAGGTTCTCGTAGCCTCCTAAGGTAATGAGAATGTCATCTTCGATTCGAACACCGCCCACAGGCATATAGCGATGCAAAACCTCCTGATTGATGAAGCGCGAGTGTACCGGTGATGGAAGATAGAAGTGTTGGAGTGCGTAACTGGAGAAGTAACTGGTCCTGTCAGTACACTTGCGTCAATTCGATCATGGAAAGAGCACCCACATCCCTGGCTCCACAGTGACTACCATGCCCTCCTGGAGCTGACTGCTCTGAGTGTCTGTAGGTGCATGGCAAAGAGTAGCATCGTAGACTGGCGCGTGGAAGTTCTCTGGAAATAGCGAAGGCACCTACGCTGTGTCAACTTCGTCGCCGCAATGCGCATACGTTGATGCAGTTGCTCTCACCTGTTCGAGGACAGCCTTGCCCCTACTGACGCTCATTAGCTCGGCTTGTCCAACATCGTGCACTTCCAGCCCAACATGATGACCCAAACCATGCGGGAAGAATGCGCGACTGGTGCCTGCAGCGTAGATCTCCTCTCTGGTTCCGTTATGAAGAAGGCCAAGCTTAAGCAATCCATCAATCGCGATCTGATGCGCCAAAATGTGAAGATCAAGATATCGCACCCCGGGTGCAAGACGCTCGATGCAGCTCTCTTGCATCCGTTCCACCAACTTGTAGATGTTCTCAGCCTCTTCGCTCGGCCACGACTCGGCAAGTGGGAATGTGCGCGTAATGTCGCTGGCGTACAGCTCATATTCGCAGCCAGCATCCAGACACATGAGTTGTCGGTCTTCAAAGTTCTCGTTGTTCGCGTCGTAGTGCAGTGTCCCTGCATTCGGACCAGACGCGACAATGGGGTCGTATGCCTGATGCTTGGCCTGGTGTGAGATACATACATTCATAAATAAGCCCTCAACTTGCGCCTCATTCTTGTATTTCAAGATGTTGGCAAGCACCTTCCTGTGAGCTTCTGAGCTGATGTCATTGGCTTTGCGTATCAAGGCGATCTCGTGTTCATCCTTGATCATGCGCGCGGCGTTCATTGCGGGCTGCAAAGATTTGGAGTCGATGATTGCATGAAGTCCAGGTGTTCGCGGAAATTGGTCATTGTGCAGAACGTAGACGTCGCTGCCGTGCCCTCCATGGTAGTCGCTCCAGTCCTTGATGGCATCGCCAAGTTCGTCGACATAGTAGACCTCATCAACGTCATACCTTTCAACAGCTTCGGCAAGAGTAGAGCCTCGTCCGTTCCAGATGACGCGCTTTGGGTCGATTCTCGGTATGAAAAGTGACAGGGTGTCATGTTGGATGTCGTAGGTCATGTGGCATGATGGCTCGTTGCATCTTCCTCTCATCAGTAACAGCACTTTTGACACAAAGCTGCTACACACCCAGTAAGATAATAGAAGTAACGTCGCTGCCGGAATAGCGCTGGCATGTCGCTGTCCTCGTTGTTCTTCGCAGGCTGTCCAGCGAGATAAATCAAGCCCTCGTCGATTCCCAGCTTTTCCTGCACACGACGAGCATGCTGCCTCGCTGTCACCAACTCGTCAGTGAGTGCGCGCTGTAGCCTTGCTCGTACTCACCTGGATATTTCTCGAGTGAGCCTTCAGCGTCCAAATGCACCCAATATTCTTTCGCCTCCATGCCCGATCTCGCAGCGCAGTCCATGCTGTCGGAAGCATCCATCCTCACGCCAGCGCAAAAGAATGACGGGCTTGCAAATTAGCGAGAGGAATTTTGAACGGCGCGCAAGATGTTGTTATGGAGCGCAAGGCAACCGGTGAGCTGAGGCGCGCTAGCGCCAAGGACCGGTCAAGAATCAGACGGATCAGAGAGCAGTGACCACACGGCACTGAGACAATGGCTATCTGTGCCACAGAACTATGTCTGTGTCCACGTTATCACTTTCGCTGTTGGGCCCGATTCCGCCGAATCCGGCGATGTGAGCGATGAGAGATTCGATGCTCGTACAGCTCTCCAGACGCAGCCGCTCGACCAGGCTGTCTCGACGACCCCGCGCGCGTGACCGCGCAACCGTAACACTCCAGGGCTCACCGTCCACACAGCGGTTGATGGCTGTCATCTATGTGCACGACATGAGTCTCTCCATGCGGCGAAGGCTGTCGACTTTCGGGCCTGTAGGCCAAGAAGAGAGAAAGGAACCTGGTGGTCGGCCTGAAGTGATCTGATTGGTCGGCGAAAACCGGTGAACGTACGAAGTACAACAAGGCAAACGCAAGACCGCGGAGGATCACCACAAGGAATGGAACTTACCAGATCACGTCGACATTCTCGTTGATACGACTGGAGCTGATCTGATGTTGGAATCGGCAATGACCATTCGTGATCTGCTTTAACGATTGAGCGCCACCAAGTGTGTCCCAAAGCGTGATCTGCAAGCCGCGACGATAACATCGTGCTGGGTTCGAGAGGAAATGTTGCGGACGACCTTATTGATATTCTCGAACAGCTCATGCGGTACTCCAGAAACAGCTCCTTCCCTGTGACAACTGCTTGACACCGAGAGAGGACATTCGCAGCTCCACGATGCCACCGGTTATACCATATGCATCCCACCACCGCAACGTGCACACGTGAAACAGAAATCCTAACCCGAAGTTCCAAAACTGCCAGTTCAAGTGCAGTTGGACGACCTTTGTTTGACAACAGCATTGTTGATCTGCGACTCCCCAAATTCTGCTCTTACAGCTTCTTCTCCTTCGACTCCTCCACCCGCGCGCACTGCGAGCTTGTGAAGAGACGGTGCAAAGACTATAGTCACCAGCGTCATCAGAACATGATAGGCTTGTTATGCTCGATCGCGATGACACTAAGTAAGTAGCTCCGGTGGCTCCTGTAGGAGCCTTTCACCATCACAATATTCACGGCTGAGCCTCAGCTCTTCTCTAGTGCTGCACGGTCCCGTCTCCCATCATTCATATTGTCGTGTCTCCCGCTGAATTCTCTTCTTCGCTTTACATTGCCCACAGTTCCCCACCTACTTGTTTCAATTCAATCCTTGTTTCTCCTCCTAGACTTCACAACGCCCTTCCTCATCACGAGCCTGTCATGAGAAGTCCAAGTATCATGTGTGTAGCCAATCCACATATGCATACTGCCAGATTTTCCACTCAGCGTCTTTAAGTCGAGAAGAAGGTAGGGTAAGAGAGCACAATTTGCCAGAGGATCTACAGAGCACGCCTTGCTGCAGCCTTGAGCTGTGAGATTCACACCTTTCGAATGCGATGCCCAGGCTATGCCCACACTTTCTACTCTTCCACTCATCGTCTTGGTTTGCGGAGATCAAAGGATACGACGTGCACGCATTCGAATAATCTTGTCTGCAGCCTTTGGCGCGGCTCGATTGGCTCGCTGTTGTCGTCAGTGGAGTTTAGGGAATGTCTTGCTGAAGCCTTGGATCTGAACTGCACATGTTGAGTCCGTCAACAGCTGGACACGAGATTAGTGCTTCGGTCATCATACTGCGAAGTGTGGGAGAAGGTGGCTTCGCTCGTCAGTGTCATGGGAAGATCCATGACATGAAACCACCTTTCTCGTCATGCTCTGCACCTCGTCAAGTCCAGCCTTGACGAAAGGACGTCGTTGTGTATTCGATAATCACAGTGTCGTGCTGGAGTGGACTAATGAAGAGTCTCGCTCGATGATCTCGCACTGGTTGACGACTGGCCAGTTCCTTCTACATCCTGATCCTTCACTTCGCAGCCTAGCTCTGATGGAATTTAATTAGGCGCACAGACATTTATTCACTTTGTTTGAGCTCGGCGTCATCGAATCTTGTTACACTCATGTTCCTCTCAGATGTCGTTGTTCTTATACTCCTTTTATGTCATTATTTGTCAGTTCCTTCGAAGGACAAGCTCGAAGAAGAAGTTGTTGCGGCAGACGTAGCTGCTGTTTGTATCGATGGAAAACTGCGCTGAGTTGCTTGCTAGCTAGGAGGCGATCATATATACATGCCCTGAGACTTGCTACTCTAAGGTAGTCAGCAGAGGTGACGACCAAGGCCTATAGGACCGAATTACACCGCAACAAAAATAAATAGACACTTCTGTTGCGATGCAAGTCGGTCCTATAGGCCTTGGTCGTCACCTCTGCTGACTACCTTAGAGTAGCAAGTCTCAGGGCATGTATATATGATCGCCTCCTAGCTAGCAAGCAACTCAGCGCAGTTTTCCATCGATACAAACAGCAGCTACGTCTGTCGCAACAACTCTTAGTCTTGTAAGAGCCACGTCAGCGGCAGCGGATCCATGGATAAAAGTAAATACGCGAAACTCCCTCGCAATCTGTTTCCACCACGAATCTTTGTCTCGTAGTTTCGATTCTTGAATACAGGCTAGTTTCTATCCCTGGAGGTGTACATCGAGCGAAAATCATACTCCAGCCTCGTCACGGTCAGTGATGAGCAACATCTTGAGTGTACGGCTAAGCTTGTTGCAAAACTTCATAAGGCTGCGGATATCGCTGAGGACTAACAAGGTGTAATATTGCCAATCGTGTCCAACAGGTACGAGACGGTGGGACCTTGTGAGATGGGAATGAAAGAACCACCATAGCGAAGCCAATGTCGAAGATAGTTAAGGCGGCCCAACTATGTAGTCAGCATTCCGTCGAAGCAATACCAACGAATTTGTGGGATATGGATGCTCAAAATGGCCAAGAAACACCTTCATTTTGAGATTATGCCGCTGCTTAGCTCACAGCACAGGGATGTTCGTCTCGTCATCCTCATCGCTCTCGTTGATGGCACCTAATCTCGCCCACTACAGTTGCTGCTCGCAGCTCGTCTCGATTTCTCTCTGATCTTGTCTTGACTCCCGCCACCTACATCAGTCACCGCGACCTTACCAATCACAAAAGTGAACTCACCATCTGAACAACAACACCATCCCCTCAGTCAAACAGCACAGTAATACGAACCACAATATTACTTGAACATCCGGTGCTAAGAACGGCTTCTCCGAATTTGTCGCCTTTGCGTCGTTTTCCACTTCCATAATTCTGTGTATCTGTCGATAATCCTTTGAAATGAGTTGGCCGGAGCCTATGACGGTGCGGGAGAACGAATTCCGCAATGAATGGACTGTTGAGCTGTGGCGAACAATAGTTGCTTCAAACTTCTCGCAAGCCTTCGTCCCGCTCCAGGTAGCGCAGAAGATGCGCGAAGACGGGGTATCTCCCCGCCGGCGATCCTGAGTTCCAAGAGTTCCAGTAGATGTTGGAGAAGTAGTCACAATTCCCATCAAAAGGAAGAAGAGAGATAGTAGGTGAGTGTAAGATATCAGCTCCATGGTTTGAAGTTTCTCTGCCAGACACATAACTACTAGTCCAGTGTATGTAGACACAGGCAAGGTGGGCAAGCTGCGCCACCTCTGTGGAGCTCCCAAGGCTTTCCGCCATATCATCTCGAATCTACCCATTCTCACCCCTTGCAAGTATCATCCCTACACCAGACCTCCACTCACAATCGCAGCACATGTAGGGTAAGGGACACAACAATCTCAAAAGCTTGTGCAAAGCTTACCACGTATCCACCGGCCGCTGTTGGACAACACGATGCGCTAAGTCTGAGCTTGTATCTCGCTGCCGATACATGACTGGGTAGCGCTCTGGCCTGCTCGATATGGTTAAGCGGGATAGTGATGACCAGTGGGGCGGATCGTATATGCTAGGATCAGCGTGGAGGACGCATCATTCTTGTGAAATTTCTTCTCGAGGCAAACATCAGGCTGAATCTCGGAGCAAGGTTCACGAGGTGGAAAGGGAGTCGTGGTGCTCGGGAGGGTCGAGATGCGCGACAGTTGAGGCTCAGCGCGGTTCCTCGCTCGGGGGCCGCGGCCGGCTTCACGAGACGGATACCTATGAGAGCAGTGGAGTTTACTGATCTCAGCGCGGAAGCCATGGAGAACATGATTCGCATTGGAGAAAGAAAAGAAGGCCTGGTTAGACTACACTTAATCGCCAGTGACCAACCACGCTCCGCCTCCAAATAAGAAAGCCAGCACGAGCACAGTCAAAATACCAGCACCAGCCCTATCCGCCGTAGTGATGGGATCATGCACAATAACTAAGTTGCCCCCATCACTGCCCGCAGATGGGTCGTTCTTGCTGACTCCACCCGTCTGCTCGCCCACCGGTCCCGCAACCTGATCAACAAGCAAATTCTGGATGGTCTCGAGAGCGCTCATCTGCTCTCCCACGCCGACCTGGCCGTCGTTCACGCCGCCTTGCCACCACCTCAGTCCGCATCCGTTCTTGCCAGGCCCGCACTGCTTTGCTGCTGCAACCGCCGAGGCGCGCAGCCGCGGCAAAATTGAATCGCGCGTCCAGGGCGCGGTGAGCACTGTGTAGCCCATCCAGCGCGCGAGGTAGGCTTTGAAGGAGCGCTGGTCGTGGTCGCAGAGTCCGTTGCGCTCGCAAGCTACTTCGATCATGACGTTTGGAGCACCGTCCGCGGAGAAGAAGACTGAGGTGGATTTAAGTATGCCTTCGATGCGGCCGCGCCAGAGTGCTGCTTTAGCCTGTTATGCTGTCAGCTTTGCGATCAATCGAAAGAGAAGTTCTGTGGCTCACGGTGTCACCTGCCGATTCTGACATGTTCCACATAGCGGCGGCACCCGACAAGTGAATGCCTGCGTTGTAGGTCCATTGGATGTGGTTTATGTCGGTGCAGTTCTTGCGCTCAGATGTGCCATCGTAGAAGTGGTAGTCCTGGCTGATGAGTCCGACACTCAGTTGCCACTCATACGCCTGAACAGCCCACTCAGCATATGTTTCGTTGCCGGTATATTTTGCCAGCCTTGCTGCAATGTTGAAGAACGCGCCGTTTGAGATCGTGTTTTTATAATCGTAGCCGTTGTTGAATGTGAAAATCTGCCAGTTGAGTCCACCACCACATGTTCTCGAGTTCCAACGTGGAACCTGTGTGTTGAAGACTGCAATCGCCAGCGACAACCACGACATCTCCCCTTCTACGTCTGGTAGCTTGTTTTCTGCTGCTGACATGGCTGACATCCCCCAAAACGCTTGATCGTCGTTTCCGAGCGTGCTCGTCTGATTTGGTGGCATGAATGCCTGTGGCTGGCCGATCTGGTGAACCATGGCCTGTGTCGTGATCTTGTTGTATGTATCGTCGCCGGTATAGTACCAGTAATCGATGAAAGAGCCGAACATAGCGCCACATAGCCACCAGTAGTACGGGTCTGGCAAGTTACCAGGCGTGTCGCCGACTCGATCTCCTGTGTACCAATCTCTTGTGCCAGCTGCGATGATTTTAGCTGCGCTCTTGATCGACTCTGCTGTTGTCAGTCTGGTTCGCCTTTGTTCACGATGCATGTACCTGGATCATCAGGATTAAGCTCAATAGCAGAAGTGACGAGTGGCGACAGAAGGCTAAACGTCGTGTAAAGCAATGTTGAAGGCTTCATTGCGGATCGCCCAAATATTACAGGAAGAGAATACAAAGGCTGATAATTAGCATGCGTAGCAAACGTGCCTCAGGCAGCGGATTGAGCGAGCGACGTGGTGGAAACGAAGGCAAAGCGGGGAGCAGTGGCAGCGACTGGTGGGGAGAGCAAGAGTAGATAGGGCACGAATGCGCAAATCGTGATGTTATGAAACCCCTTGACCACGAGCCAAGTAACGGCGCTGAGCCGCAGCAATCGCTGGGCGACTGTGCGACTCTTGGAAAGCATCAACCAGCGGGACTCTGGGCCAGCGTTGCGCGCTCGCTCAAGTCATTGTGAGATTGAGAGCGACCTTGGCAACCGTATCTACATCGATGGAAGGCCGTCTCCTTACAATACGAAGTAATTGTGGTCGGTGCTCGTTCAAAGGAGGCGCAGCGCGTTTGCTTGTCCTGTCCGTTACAGCGCGCATCTGACGTCCGCCCGGCCCGGAGGGCTTGGGATGCGTTAACGCCATCAACTAGCGGTCGTGAGTATCAAGGAAGCGTATGCTGTAGGTTTTGGAAAGCTGGAACGGGTGCGTAGTGTGTACCGCCAAGTTGAGCGACAGCATTGGCAACGCTTGGAGAAGAATTGGCGCCGAGATCTTCAGGAGAGCGCGTACGAAGTACGCCGATGCGCCCACCAACTCGGACTACAGTTCGATATGCTGCATAATTCGACGCAGAGCGTCCGTATGGTGCTGAGCGTCGAGCAGTGTCGCAATGCGTCTAGACTTTACGGAGGTGTCGAAGAGAAGAGGAGACGCTGAAGAAGCTGTTGACGAGTTCCGGCTCGGCAGAGCGGAGTTCTGTCTGTGCACAAGGCAATCACATAATTACTCTGGGAGCCACTAGAGACTCAGGGGCAGCCACTCACAAATACCAAAAGTAATCTGCTTAACTCATGCATAAACATGTCTTTGATCCGACAGATCTACGCTTCAGCAGATCGCCGCCCCTAGCGCGAAGGAAGATCGCCAACCCGTTCCTGCCGACACATTTACCAGCCACGCGTCGTCCAACATCATGTCGCCCCCACAAGCCAAGTCTCCGACGCCCAAATCTGGCGTAACCCGCACCAGGACGGGATGCTGGACCTGCCGCGGCCGCCGCAAGAAATGCGATGAGACCCGCCCCTCGTGCATGGCCTGTCAGGGTCTGAATCTGCAGTGCGAGGGCTATGGGTTAAGGCTGAAATGGGCGATCAGGGGACAGCCTTGTGTGACAATCCGCCATGCAAATCTTAGGAAGCCGAAGTCGAAAAGTCCGGAGGTAAAGCTTGAGGCCGACGGTACTCCGGTGTCGTGGCCGAACGTGTCGTTGGGAGACTGCGAGGACGAGAAAGACCAAATCTTGTTGCAGTACCTTGGCTACGACACGTTCGCTTCACTGTCGAAGTTTGAAAGAGACGTTTTGTATGACTGTAAGCTTAACCGTACGTCGTGAACTGTATCACATGTGTTGACATAAGCATAGTCGCAGATTGGGGCGCTCTCACCCTGTTTGCGAAGCCTGCCACCGAGAGCAAGCCGGATCCTGGAAGATTCAAAGAAAGCTTGACCTACTGTGCGCAATCACGGTTAATGCTGCTGAACAGCCTCACCTACCAGATCACATGTGATCCCAAGCACTCCATGCACGTGGATCGGTACTATGGCCGGAGCATCAAAGGGTTCCGACAAGCCTTATCTGATCCAGTGTGTTTTCAAGAAGAGATGACACCGTACGCGGGAATCTTGCTGTGCTCAATAAGCGTAGGTTGAAATATTGTCATACATCGTATGGGCTGGTTTGCTGATGACCATCAGATGAACCGAGCAATGCCTTTTAGCATACACTTGAACGGTATCGCCAGTATTTTCCATCAAAGATTCGTTCTTCACTCTTCCACGGAGACTTCACGAGAGTTGGCTGGATTGATAGGCGTGCTGGACCTGCCTACTCACAGCCTAGGTCGGCAGAACGGGCACTTGCACATGTGGCATGACCACTGTATGGGTCAAACTGGCGTCGAGGAGGTGAGCGGTTTGCCATGCAGTTTACTCGACTTGTTCGCTTCAATGATGGATGATGATATTGAGGATCGATTGTCGCAGTGGCCAGGTGAGCCAGGTGAACCTGTGATGTGCAAGATTTGGGAGGCGACACAACTTGCAGGGCTGATCAGAATCCGAGATCTTCGCCTGGACCAAGGCTTGCCTGCTCAACCGGATCGGAATGCGATCGTCCCCGCGGTACGGCAGGTACTAGATCTGTTGCAGGGCCTGCGGGTGAGACTGGACCCCAGCACATTCGCATCGACGGAGAGCCTACTTCTTCCATTAGCCGCCGCTGGTTCACAGACATCAGCTCTCATCGAAAGCGACCGCACATTTATCAGAGAATGTGTTAATTCACTCGCAGGCCATTCGCTGAGTAGCTATCCGTACTACGAAGGTGTCGTGAGTGTACTGGAGACGCTCTGGGCAAGTGACGGTTGCAAAACCTTGGACAGTGTCTCCAGGGACATGGGCTTCGAGCTAGGCCTGTTCTGAATATCCATCATCGAGATTATTGTTTCATTACAGCAGGGTATCAATGCTATCCGTACACAATCCTTCTACAAATAGCTCGACGCCGACATTGGAGAAGAATATGGAGAATCCACGCTGTAAATTTACCAGATGATTGAGCTTTTCCCACCGAAGAAGCCAGTATGCGCCGAAAGAGAACACCGCGAAAAAGCTTGGTGGAGGATCCCGGGAACTTTCAGGCACAAGAATCGACGAAAAGCAGTCGTCACGAGCGATTGCGAAAGTTGAAGGTCTCGCCATTACGTCTGGTCCCATTGCTACATGCGGACGCGAAGCAGGTAGCGAAGGCGCACCTGAGTAACGTCGTAGGCGATGTACTCATTGTACTGCAGGTAAGCACCTTTGACGTTGGTGCCGCCAGGGATAACACTGACATCAGGCTAGCAGATAATCAGCATTCTGTTCTCAAAGACAACTGGCTTCACGTACCATCAGGGTCCCCGCCAAAGATGGGTGGACACATCCAGCATCCTTCCACTGGCTTGGGCCAACCTTTCCCTTACCCCAGGTGGAACACATGCCTTTGGCTTTGGCGTCCTCGCCTGCAGAGAAAGAGGCGTCTATCAGCTCATGCACCGGGTTGCCTAATTCCGCTTCGCATAGCAACAACAAGGCCGTGCCACCTGACTGAAAGTGGTTGCAGTAATTTGCAGACTTGCTAGACATGTCGGCAAGATATATTCCCTTGCCAAACATGTAACCAGTAGCGGGAGCTTCAGGAGGAGCGATGCGAAGACCTTGGCCTAGGATGCCAGCGAAGTTGGTGACCCGAGAGCCGTGCCAGAGGAGGCGGCGATTGCCCGAGACCTTCGCGAACGGGCTGTTCTGGAAGCGTTCAAATTCGCCCTTGCGCTGGATACGGAAGATATCCTGCACGGCATAGTTGACATTGTGCGTCGCGCCCTTGGTCTTCAGGAGGTAGTCAGACAGCTCAGCGAACTCCGACCCCTTTACACTGAGCGGCTCCATCTCGTCCATACCAAGAGTCTGGAATTGACGATCAAGCTCGTTGAGATTGCTGTCGTCCTTCCGACTGGCCTTGAGCATGTCGCTGGCTTCCTTCATGTCGGACAAGCTCTCGAGCAACTCAATCTCCTCCTTAAGGAGCTTATTGTTGTTAATAATCGTTGGCCGGTCACGCCCAAAGACGTGGGGGATGACAGAATAGTAACGGTTGGACACTTGTTCGATCTCCGCGGATGTAGTCGGGTTGTCGATGAGAGCCGCCAGTTCTTTCAGCGCTTGGAAGCCGCGACCGATGGTGCCCTTACTGAGCTTGCCCAGCGGCATCTTCTTGTTGTCATAATTCATGGCGCTCAGCGCTTCCTCCTGATAGTTCAGGTTGAAGATGAGCTCGACGAGATTTTGAACCGGCTTGGTCAGCTTCGAGTCGACAGGCGGCTGGTCGCTCTTCGTGCATGAGCCACCCGCTTTGTGGATCTCCACTTCATCGTCATCCTCGTCGTCTGAGTCAGGGTTGTAATTCTTCTCCACGTATGCGTCTGGAAACAGTCAGTACATTGTGCAAACCGACAAAGCAAGCCGCTCACATTTTCCGTTCTTCGGATCAGCGCCTCGATCTTCCCATTTGAGACCGGACTTGTCCTTGAACTTCGTCTCGAAGTTCTTGAACGCATCAGCGAGCGATCCGTTACCGAGCATCTTCATTTGACCTCTCTCGCCGACGCGACCCCAACGAGTCCAGGTCTGGAAGTGCGCACCGTTCGGACTTTGCAACAGCTGCTTCGATATCAGCGGGAAAATCCCACTGTCCAGATTCAAGTTGCACTCACCTGCACCTTGTAGAACTTGTTATTGTTGGCCGACGCGTTGGTCTGATTGAGGGAGGCATCCCAGATGAGCCCATCATCATCGATGTACACCTCATAGTGAGGGGCTTGGCAGTGCTCGTCGACTTCGACGTGGATCTTCTTCGATTGCACGTTCTGTCCGTCACCTACTTTGACGTTGTCGACCTTAGCCTTATCTTCGAGGGTCTTTCGCTTCTTTTGCGAGGCACCCTGGCTCAGTACAGGTGTTCCGTTCGCTGAACCGGAGGCAGCACGTTTCTTGCCGTTGGTTATCGGAGCAGAGGCTACCGTGGAGGCAGCCAGTGTGTTGAGCAAATACTGCTTCTCATCCGCCCTAGCATTCGATGACTCTGTCTCATCCAGCCAGTCAATGGTGACAATGGGAACATCGTTGTCAATGGCGGCGGCGATCTTGGCTGACTTGGCTTCAAAGTCCTTGTCGGTTGTAATGAGGATGTTGGTGTCTGCTGTGATCTTTGAAGCCACACTGCCACCTAGATCAGTGACACGCTTTTGTAGAGCACCCTGGCTTGTTCCAGAGAAGCGACCAGAAGTAGCGACCGAACAGCCATCAAGCGGAGAAGCTTGGGCCTTTTGCTTGGAAGCAGCCCTGCGGGGAGGCATGGTGATGGTGGCGCGTGTGAACAATTGAGACGAATGAGATGATGCTACATAGAAATTGAAGATCCCCAGCCCTGCGACTCTTATGGAAGTGATGTTGGATGTGAGGTCAGAGCGCGACGCGATTGGGGGCCTGGTCGAGCTGAGACTAGGCAAGGCAACAACGCCCCAAATAGGATACTGCGGCACGCCAATCAGGCAGGAACGGCGCTAACGCGCGCGGTCACGCCTTCTGATCGCGCACATATCATCTGTCTTGACCACTTCTTTCGTCTGAATCACCTCATCCATCAGCATGACAAAGTTGCTGTCTCTGCCACTTGAATTGTTGGTCTACATATCCTCCTTTGTCTCGACCTCTGATCTGGCCGCCTTGCGTCTCACCTGCAAGCAAACAGAGAAGTCGCTATACGAATGGTTTTCGGAAGAGTTCTTCGTGAAGAAGCAGTTCATGCTCACACAGCCGTCTCTCCAAGTACTGCTCGATATCTCTCGGCACGTCAGTCTTTCCAAGAAGCTGAAACATCTGATCATTGCCACCAATGTCTACGATGACATCCCCATCCGCTTCAGAGACGGCGATGCATGCATCAGGTTCGTTTTAATGGATTTATTGCACTATAATGAGTTCTCGGCTGAGCATCTGCAGCTATATGCAAGGTTACGCCGATCAACAGGCGCTGATCAGCAACGGCGTCGACCGCGAGATGTTGACCGAAGCCTTCAAAGGATTGAGCAACCTGGAGACCGTCGATGTCCGTGACTTCTGCGCCAGACGCGAGCGCGATGGGACTTACTGGGCTTCATGGGGTGCTACGACCGTACGTCAGAAAACTGGCGTGCCACTGCGCGAATCCTACCGTGGTACAGGCTCGCAATCACGCTTTGTGTCGCACGTCTTCTCCAATCTGCTGTACTCCATGGGTGTAGCTGGACGAACCCCTTCAAGGATCGAAATTCTTCTACACCAGCAACCTGCAGGCCTCCCAGATGGTGCCTTCCACCTCGCCAACTTTACGTTCCCGGCGATTCAGCCTGTGCTGTACAACCTTAAAGCTCTCTTCCTGACACTCAACCTCTCTGATCTGTCAACACATACGCATCACACCTACTCTAGAGGTTTGCGTATTACGACAGCAGCCGGACGGTCTCTGCGTCATTTCTTGAGCTGTACACCCAACCTCACGCATCTGCGCCTCAACTTCCAAAAGTCTCACGTTCCCGACAATATGAAGTTCATGGAGTGGCTCGCCACAACACCGACCTCTCCAGCGGGACCTCCACAACCTACAAGGGTGAATCTGGAAGAGCCGTCACCAGTCAGTCTGCCTCATCTTACGACATTGGAGCTCGGGCGGTTGGACGTCGATCGAGACATCCTACTCGCTGTGCTCACCAGGTTCGCTCTCAAGCTTGAACGCCTCAGCCTGTGGCGCACAACCGTCATCGCGAGCCCGTCAGGTCCTTACGACACCAAGCCGAACATCTGGTCGCAGTTCTTCAACCGCCTCAGTTCGATATCTGGACTCGGCCTGACTTACCTGAAGGTCGGTGCTCTTACGCAGAACAATCACACAGTACGGTTCAAAACCGAGACTTGTGGAGAAGAGACGCCTGAGATAGAGAGGGAGTACTCGGGCAAGGATATGGCGAAATTCGTCAAGAGTTTGGTGCATGACGTGGCTGTGGAGTGGCCGCCCGAGCTTATCTTCGATAGCGACGCAAGTATTGAGGATGGGGATGAAGATGAAGAATAATCTGTCTATGCAGTCAGGACCTTGCACTTTGATGAAGCAAACAAACACTGATGATAACTTTTCCGTCACAACATGCCTCCAGAAGTTTTATCCTCGTACTTCTAGCATGCTAACCTGAGGCACACGGACTGCGATCTTTATGCTTTCGAGAAGATGGCATATGCCGTCATCGCCGAGCTGGTCTTCACAAATTCTCCCTGCCCACAGGACGCCGTGGGGTCGCAAATATAACCAAGTAAGATCAGCACTTCTTCTTCAGGTCTGCCCTCGAGTTAGGGCGCAGTGCATGACGAAAAAGGATGATTGTGCATCATTGACAAAATAGGTCGATGACACTGGCGACCAAGATCGCCTTCTTCTGCAAAAGCTGCAGTATAATCGTAACATCAGGACTTGCTTGAAGCTACGAAGGAGATGGAACAAGTGAGACCAAATGGTGTGGTGTCGAGGAAAACGCCCATGGTCGGGCCGAGTCTCCCTAAGGCCGCTTTTCGTGGAGCCAACCCTTTTTCAAGCACCACCTGGCGCGCATGATCTAGTCGACCTTCTTCGTTACCTGGATCAGAGGCATCTCACCATGACTGGTCTCAGTAACCGAAGAGTAAAGCGCCTGTATGCGGCGTTGCCCAAACTATACAGAATCTCGTCGACACAGCCAGTGAAACTGACCGATCGATCACAAACAGCGCAGATGGAGCAAGCTCGATCTGACTGGTAGATGTACGCACCCAATGGTTAAGGAGTATGAGTCGCAAGCAAGATTGTTGCCACAATAGTCGTGCTTAAGACATCCACTTCTCAAGGCAGGCATGCTTCCTGCGACCAGCTGCTCGTGAGACGTACTCAATTTGAGACATGGTAAGGTATGGGCAAGGGGCAGAGGGTTGGTACAGAGGATTTTGTAGCGAGTTCTTGACTAAGTAGACCGGTAATGCAAGGTGGCAGAATAGCGAAGGTGGTAAAGTGACAAACGGTGGAGGTGGCAAGTTGGGAGGATGAGTCGCTGTCAAGAAGTGCTGTAGGTGAGAGTGAGGGGCATGGACCATTTATAAAGATTGCGGTACGATGCCCGTGCGGTGCTAATCTGGAAACATCACGCGACCAGAGCAGCGCGATCGCAGATTGCACTCGCTTAGAGTGAAGGCATTGCTCACGTGTCAATTGATTTTCAGCCACCCATACCAGAATGGCGTAATGGAGGCTTCGAGTCGCTCACATACGCTCTAACCAGGCTAATTCGTAGGCATCAATGTCGCAATCGTGTCCCTTCACTGTCACTCTAGGAGTACATGCGGTGCAAGCACGCGTCCCGACAGACCCCTTCCCACTTCCATTGCGAGCGTAGCTCCATCCTCGACTGGCTTCCACCTCGAGCAATTACTGGGCGTTACTCAAAAGTCGTGACCCATCTCAATCCCTGAAGGGTTCAGGCGCTCAGGCTAACATCATCAATATGAGTCAAATTCTGTCTTCATACACCTCAGAGTATCAGAGTAGTTCCTTCATAGACGTCGCAGTGTAATTCTGTGTACAGGCAGATTCGACTCATTCCAGCGTATTTGCGGCGTCTGCTTTCGTCCACGTGGACTTCGTACACTTCAACAGACTCACACGTCAACTGATGGTATCAGTACGAGAACTAGAGCTCCAGCATCCTGCGGGCCGTAACGTGACGAATCCGAAAATCAAATATACTGCGATTTATGCCAGTGTCGGAGGCCGTCTGAATGTCCCGCGGACAGGAAACGAGTACAGATCCAATGTTTCAGAGTCTGTGTCTGTTGCGCTCGCGGGAGCTTCAGGTCGATGGGTACACAACAAGTGTTTGTCTGGTGTTCGAAGTCCTGCAAGATCGACGTATGTTTAGCGACTACGCGGAGCCTGATACTTGAATGTCTGGGTTAGTACTGGCGATCGAGCGATAATGTCTGGGCGAACACATGGCGTCGGTGGAGGGGTTGGGCGTGAATTTGCAAGACGGAGTTGCCGAACGTGCATCTTCGATAGTATGGTGGGGCGTCAGTATGTCAGCACCCTAATAGCGAAGTATCAATCTATCACATTTCAAGGAACAGGAGAAAGGGGGGCAGATGTAAAAGATCCATTCACGCATTACTACTCATTGCAGCGAGTACGAGCGAAGGCACCAAATTACCCCACGATTTCCATTGCCACCGTACAATCCTGCTCTCCCGGAGGTTAGACATGACTCAATAGATAGTGTTCTTCTTGGCAACATCCTCCCAGTTCGTCGTCGCATGCTCGGTGTCCGCAGTGCCTGGCTGGATCTGTCCGGGGATAGTCTCGTGGCGGTGGTGGCCGATGGGTCCACCATCAGTACCACCCGCGCCATCACCGTAGCGACCGACATTCATGGGAAGGCCGGTGCGAGGCTCGATGACGGTGCAGTCCTTGGTAAGGTCCTCGACGGGGTGAGCACCGTAGATGCCCTTCTTCGTTTGACTGTGAGACGTTAATATGTGCCTAGAATGAGAGCTTGAGGGGAAACTTACCGGTCACCGGAGATCATGTTGGGATCGCCGATTGGGCCGTCGATACCAATGTGCTCCCGCTTACCGCGAACGAAGGTGTCTTGGGGAGCAGTCTGGTCACGGTGGGCGAGTATAGATCCAGTGGCGGTGTTGCTGGGGATAGTGGCCTGCTGAGAGCTAGCCAGGCGGGTGCCTTGGTGGCCAACGGTGGTGGAAGGGGGCTCAATACGCGTATCGTGCAGCTCATGAGCAGCGAGACCACCGACGCCGAGAGCACCGCCGCCAGTAGTAGCATCACGGCCGTAGTGGCGCTCGTCCCTTGTGCAGTCAGGAAGGGTCCTTGTCTGGTGACCGGTCAGGCCAGAGTGCTGGCCATGAACAGCGGTCTCGCGAGCGCCAAGAGTACCGCTGGTAGGGCTTGAGAGGTTGCCGGGCCCAGTGCGATCCTTCGACAATTCATGAGCACCGAGCGCTCCTGTACCGAGAGCGCCGCCACCGATGGCAGCATCGCGACCATAGTGATGTTCGTCTGTACGGCCAGTAGTATCGATCGGTCCGTCAACACCAACGCGACTGTTGGCATGAAGAGGCTGCGCAGCGGGGTGATCAGCAGGTGGGTCCTTGTGCAAGAGATTCCTGCCCTTGTAGCCACTGCCATGGCCAAACCTGTCCTCGCGCTCATTCTCGGCAAGAACAGCAGCGCCAGCGCCTACACCACCCGCAACAGCAGCGTCACGGCCGTAGTGGCGATCTTGAGAACTTCGGGGTGAAGACTCTGGGCTGAGCGACTTCTCCTTCTTCGACTTGTCACGGTGAAGGAAACCCAGAAGACCGCCGCTCTTCTTCTCGTCCTTCTTTTCATGCTCAGCAGCTTCCTTCTCCTGCTTCTTGAGGTCTTTCTCGTGCTCCTTCTCAAGCTTGTGAACCTCCTTGTCATGCTTCTTCTCAAGCTCATGTTGGTGCTTGGCAGTTTCTTTGTCCAGCCTCTCCTGCTCCTTGGGGTCAAATTGAGGCTGCATACGCTGACCGTAGGCGTAACCGGCTCCTGCACCAGCCGCAGCGCCAGCTCCGCCAACGAGGGCAGCATCGCGGCCAGTGTGAGACTGGCTGGGTTCAGCGTTGTAAGGGTACTGCTGGCTTTGAGCGAGCGAGCCGGTGGGCTGAGGAAGCGAAGATGATTCAGGCTGAATGGATGCTCCGGGAGTCGTAGTGGGATGGTTCTTGTCACCCTGGTGTGACAGACCATATCCTATGGCGGAAACTCCAGCTAAGCCAGCTCCTGCACCAAGGGCAGCGTTGCGAGAACTATTGTCCCTTGGGCCAAGGTCGTTACTGTCGATCTCAGGCGCCTTGTAGGCTTGAGGTGGCTGAGAATTGGCGGACTGCGCCAACTGTGCCGTAGTGTAGGGTTGCTGAGTCTGAGCTGCAGCTGTGCCGTAATATCCTGGAGCGCTAGCACCGGTCGCACTTGCGAGAGCGGCAACGTCAGGGTTATGGTAGTTGTACTCAGAAGTAGCGGGAACTGGGTTGGGTGCACGCGCATCGGCGGCAGTCGGGTCGTATCGCTGCTCCTGCATCGAAGCTGCGGGCTGAGTGCTGCGGTGGTCGCCGTACGTCTTAGCAGCTTCGTAAGCTTCGTAGCCTGCGGCTCCGACACCTCCAGCGACTGCAGCATCTCGGCCGTAGTGGTGCTGGCCAGCCTTGTCATCAACCCTAGGATCAGCCCGGTTCAGAGTGTCAGACTGATGAGGACCAGTGGTGGTGTGATCCTTTTGCTTTGATGGATCAGGCTTCACGCGAGGGTCGAGAATGTTCGCAATGTTGCTCGTGTGAGGTCCAATGGTCTTCGAGGCTGGGTCCTCGGCTGTAGAACCAACAGTACGCTGACCAGTAAGCTTATCACGAGAGCCAGAGTGTGCGAGACCAGCTGCTGTGGCAGCTCCAACACCGGCACCCGCGAGACCAGCGTCACGTCCGTAGTGGTGCTGAGGCTGGAGCTCACCATGAGCGTCTATACGCTGGTGGGAGGTCGAGGTGCTCGTTGTAGTTGATGTAGTTGTGTTAGAGGACGGCAGGTGGTGAGTGGCCGATGTGGTCCCAACGGTACTTGGGTTAGTGTTGCCAGTTGTGTGCTGGGTCGTGGGCAGAGAAGAGGAATCGCTCAAAGTAGAGTCGTGGTGTCTGTCGCCAGAAAGGGCATTGCTTGCGAGAGCACCTGCACCGAGAACACCTCCACCGATTGCGGCGTCACGGCCATAGTGATGCTGCCTCTCTTCTTTCTCAGAACTAACAACGGGTGCAGATGAGCCTGAAAGCGGCTGCGATCTGGACGCAGATGAAGTTGATGCAGGGTCGAGCAGCTGCTCGTTGCGGCGAGACTCGCCGCCAGTGACACGAGGATCAAGGGTCTTGGAGCTGTAGGGGTTCTTCTCGTCGTATAGATTGCCGATACCAGTCGAAGGTGTCTCATTCTTGTGGTGAGCAGCAGCAGCAGCCAGGCCAGCAGCGCCAACACCACCAGCGATCGCGGCATCGCGTCCGACATGATGGCCAGACGACTCGGTAGATCTCGATGCGGGGTCGTTCAGAGTTCCTGTGTGGCGGAGATCGTGCGAAGTCGAGGGACCTGTGGTCGTGGTTCCAGATGTTGTGTCTGCACCTCCGAGAATGGGTCCAGCGCGCTCACTCTCGGGAGTGGCACTAGGGAACTCGCCAGGAATATGGGGGCTTGTTCCTGTCCTGTGTGCGTGAGGACGGTAGTCAAGCAGCCCAGTGTGCTGAGTGTGGGGGTCACTGCCGAAGGCCTTCTCGTAGTCAAGAAGGGTGCCAGTATTGACATGATGTGTCTCATAAGGCGGTCCATGTCCAGGCTCATTAGAATCGTTTACTGGACGTGCACCTGCCGCGTGCAGAGCATCGGGGTGAATGTTGTGCTCTGGGACGCTCGATGTCAAGTGGGTGTGTCCCGTGGGCGATGCAATCCGTTCGCCTGGAATGAGGCCGCTCGCCTGGGAGCTGTGGTGACTTTGTGCAACAGCAGCTGTTCCTGCAGCGGCAGCGAGACCTTCGCGACCATGATGATCACTTCCTGAAAGCTCACGCTTCTCTGTCCCGCTGTTCATGCCATGTGTGCCGTGGCTGGGGTCGTGATGTCCTGCAGTGACGCCTCCAGAAAGAGGGAAGAAGCGATCAGTGCCTGATGAGACTGTACAAGGTCAACGTTGTGCATTATTTTGATTACACGTAGCATAAGCTGGACTACCTACCAGGAATCACACTGGGCTGCTCCTTGGTGGTTCCCTCGTTCCTCAGCCCCGAGCTGGTGTTCGCACCTATAGTGCCTGCACCAACAATATGGCTGCGTTGGAGCTTGTCTTCAACAGAAGTGTTGCTGGGCAATGCGGCGTGTCCTTGACCATCCTGGCCTGGTGTGAAGCCAATTACACCAGACTTGATGCTTGCCTCACTCGCGCCATCGTAGGCGCCACTGCTCACTTGTGGCCGCGTGTTGCTTCCTGCATGAGACCTGTCTGCGAGTTGGGAGCTGTCGCTAGACCTGCCACCACTCACACGAGCCTGCCTGTCCTCGCCAAGACCAGTCGATGTGGTCGTGCCAGTGCCAGCACCGACATTGGGTGTGTTGGAGAACTTGGGGGTCTCACCAGTCATCTGGTCGTAGATAGGTGTAGCCCTAGTCGTCTGTCAGTATGGCCTGGTCTATGAGATGCGTAACACTTACCCAGCACCAGCTGAAGCTCCTGTGGCGCCTGCACCCGATTGTGCAGCTGTGCCAGCGGTGCCCTTGCTGTCGTGGGTGACATCGCCAGCGGTCTCACGGTCCTTGTCATGGCCGTGGGGGTGGCTGCGAGTGCTGTCAGCTATTGACCTCGTCAATGAGGTGCAGAACCTACAGAATGCTCTTGATCTTCTCCATTGCGAGTTTGTGTTTGTTTCTGTGATCGCTCCAGGGATTGGGGAAGGAGGCTGGCTTCTATCCTTTCAGAGTGTATCACGAGGATAGGATATAGCAGCAGCTTCCAAGGCACAGCTCTTTCATTGCAAACAACATCATCACGTAGCTGCAGCTACAGAGGGGCGCCAATGACCTCATGACAGATCTATGGGCCGCAGCAGGCTAGGCTGCGAGTCCAATGAGGACACAACAGCTGCGTGCCGCATCCAGAAGCAGCCAAGACCACACCAATTCCAGCGCGTCCAGGCCGTAAACTGTCCCAAATTTACCTTTTGAAGTGGGTGGGCAGTGGTGAGCCACAAACAGCCGCGCAAGATGTGCGTCGATCTATTCATCGTGGCGTCCCGTCGTGATCAGGCCTGGACCGGAGATGTCTGCATTTTCGAAGCAGAGCTGAAAACGTCCAGCTTGCGAGCTGCAGACACAGCGAGCCATCAGGCTGTCATAAATGTGGGATGGCCTGCCGTGACACCCTTTTGCAGCTCGAAACTCATATGTCAATGACCACATATGTCATTGACCACATATGTCATTGATCACCGACAAGGATGAGGAAGATGGCGGTACCCCGCTACCGTCTACCTAGAGACGCACCTGACAGGAGCCAAAACGCGCTAGAAGCGGGCTGCAGACGGGCTTTCGCTGCAGATGTGGGACTTGCAGGGTCTTGCGTTTTGACAGGCGTTTGCATTAGGTGAGCAACAGCTGGCGGCGTTTTAATGTGAGTGAAAGGCTTGGTGTGCAGTGCGAGAGGCGTGCTGCCCAGGCGCGCTCTTCATCGGCTGGGCATCTCCGCTTGCTCGCTCCGGCCACGATTATGCCAACGCGCCCTCTCTAGCGAATCAGCGGGCGCTGCTGGCCTCTTTGCGCGAATTTCTCGCCGTCGCCGCGCCAGCCACTGTGGGGTGTTCCAAGCGCAGTTGCGTGGTTGAGCTGGCCACCAGTCAAGGAAGCGCAGCACCTCGGCCATTCGCTGATCAGTCGCCAGCTCGCTGTGTGGCTCTGCAGTGTGCACTTCTCACGCCCGGCTTCTGGTGCAGCGCGCGGGCTTCTAGAAGAGTTCTCCGTGCCGATGGCGCGTGTGTTGAGCGAGCGCGGCCGTCATGCTCGCTGCATGCTTGCTCGGCGCTGCAGCGAGCCCGTCGCCTATCAGCCGCGCTCCTCTGCCAGTTCCTCCGCGTCGAGGCTGGGCTAGCGGTCGCACCCCGACGGTCAAGCTTTGGCGTCTCCGCGTTTTCTTCTAGTCCTGGCTGGACGTGCTGCAGCGTCTCACTGCGCAGCGTCGGCCGTTAAAGCCCCCAGCGCGGACGCCTGTCGTCGCCAGTGCCCCAGTGCTGTTTCGGAAACTGCAACATCACGCCCAGCGCGCCTGCAGGGTAAGGTCTCCAGCCGACGACGCCGACCCACCCTCTCCCGAGTCTACCGTAGTTATTGGTGGTCAGGTCCATGATTAGGGCGCCGGGTACCCGCTCCCCATAACAGCCTCACTGCGCCCATCCCTCTCCGCCGACATTCTGACCGTGCCTGGCTGCACCTTCCCTCCAACACCGCGCTCCTGCCGTAACTCCACCACTCCCGCCCACCACTCCGCCCACTCGACCCCTCGCTCCACCGCTCGCCCGACGCAATTCCTCGACGCAGCCACCCACCATGCCGGGAGCACTGCGAAGCCGCCTGCGCCGCGTCCTCACCGGCCAGGAGGGCGAGGGCGGCATTGCGGGCAAGATGAAGCGCGGCAAAAAGGACGAGGCCACAGAGCCCGACAGCGACTTCTACAAGCCCGGCGAGAAGATGCCACCGCTGAAGTACCGCCGCCCTGTCGACCCAGAGCACAAGAAGACGCTCGAGGCCTTTACCTGGAAGAAGGCGTGGCGCCGCCGCAGCCACCAGAGCCTGTACTCGCCCATGGGCAGCCGTCTACCAAGCCGCAAGGGCAGCTTCCGCAGCAGGCGCAGCCGCAGCCGCAGCGTGCACCGCAGCCGCCGGTCGAGCTTCCACAGCGACTACGACGAAGACGAGACGTGGGTCGACAGCGGCATTGGCGCAAGCATCTCCGACAGCGAGCGGCCTGCGAACATCCGCGAGGCCAGTGACGACGAGGGCGATGTCCTTAATGGTGCGTGCATCTGAAGTGGTCTCGTCGCCAGCTCGACTAACCTGCCACAGTCGGCCTCTCCCGCAATCCCACACAAGACCCTCGCGACACGAAAGAGCGGAAAGAGTCGGCCCCCGGCCCCCGGCGCTCGAGCTCAATCCACTCGGTGCGACCCAGCAGCACACGTCCAGGCACGGCCTCGGACCGCACCCGTCAGAACTCGCAGCCATTCACCCCCGAGGACCTCGAACTAGCGCTGCAAAAATCGCATCTCGACGCCAACAAACTCCAAGTCATCGAGCAGTCCGACCCGAGCGGAAACGGGACACTTGACGACGACGGTGACGAGGCGAGCCCCTTTGACAACCTGCGTCCTCGTGGCGGATCCATCTTTGTTCACCAGGATTCCGAGAGCCCTGGAATGTTCCCAGGATGGAGCTTCGTCTCCTCGCCCACCAAGGGCGGACCCTCGTACTTCCCACCAAAAGACATCGGCCCGCTCCAGTTTGAGCAAGACACGTCCATGTTCCAGAGACGCGAATCTGTGTTCGTCTCCAACGAGAACACCCCGCAGACTGGCCGCCGCGGCTCGACATATGCCCCTGATGAGGAGGAGGATGATGTCCCTGCCCTTGCAGCTGCACCGCCCGTCGAGCCACCGAAGCGCAAACCCATTGTCTCCTGTCCCAGCGACGAGATCATGAAGATTCTCGCCCGCAAGGACTAAGTCAAAGCACCACACGCATCACTTTTTCTTCGCTTGTTCATATTACTGCATCCATTTTGCGCGTTTGGTCCGCGCATTGCATTTCCAGGCGTTGTACAATCTGTTCATTTTGGAGTTCACAGGCCTCGTGCCGTATCCTGTTTTGCACATTGGGAGGCTGCAATCATAGACCTTTGCATAGGCTCATTGGATTACCAGAAGGGAGGCACAAGAATAGAACCTTGAGAGGCATAGCTATTACATTTAGCAGGCGCAGCCACAGAGCGCGCAATGATATTATATCGTCATCACGCGCATTCCCACCGGCCTTGATCATCTACAGCACCCTCACGGCAGCATGCAATCCATCCACAATCTTTGACGTTGTCCAAGACCCTTCAAACCTGCTTACAGACACAGCCCACTTGCGCCCGTCCTGCAGCCTGGCCCTCGACATCCCGCAACAGCGACCGGACCGGCTTCCCTCTTGCGGAAGGGATGCTCATTACGTCGTCGTCCCATTACCGCGACTCCAACCACCGCGTATTGTTCCCCCACCACTCACGGCCCGGCAAGATAGCCCACCCCACGCAGCTCGGAGCAACGGATCCGAGCGTCCTTTAGCAAGGCCAGCATTCCTCCTCGCTACGTCGCGCGTCTGTGTGGGCCCACTCGCATGCTCCACGCCGCGATCAGCCTCAACGGCGTCGCCTCACTCTGGCCCTCGCAGCCGTACCATGTTCGTGATGCAGATTGTTGAACGACGGGCGCTGAAGGACCGATTCAACCCGCTGCAAGACTGCTGCGGCCGCTGGATTGCAATGGCCCGGCGCCGAACCAATCATGGCTGCGGGGCAGCGAGTCAATCATCGACCCGCAGCTGCGATTGCGACGAGGGTGGAGACGACGCGACGGCACGGTAGTATGTAGGAAAGTGAGAGCTACGGAGTGCGGGGGCGCGCGGATGCAAGGCGGATTTGTTACTGCTTTACAGGCGGGTGCTGAAGATGTGGGATTACAGTGGTATTATCTGGGGTGGTCACACAGCATGCCGGGACACGCTAGTCGCTGTAGGTTTGCGGAGGTGTTGCATGCGGGCTGGACACCGCGTAATGCTGTGCGACACCAATGTAGCGTTCACGAGGGTGACACGGAGTGGGGTGTGAACCTGCTGCATGAGGCAGGTTCGCAGAGGCGTTGAACGCAGTGTTAATCCGCAGCCCTTTCCTACGGGGACGTTTCTAAGGGTGCTAGTACACTCACTCCCGGTGTGAGAGAGTGGGTGTGTAACGTGGGTGCTGCTCGGGTCATTCCAAAGTGTTGGATGCGCTCGTTCGACCAACCGCAAGACTGTTTCATACAACACCCACCCAGTTCGCCCAAGGGTGTCGTAAGGACCTTTCAAACCGTCACATGCAGTAACTTCCATTCCGTGTTGATGGCAGCGAGGACCGTGATCAAGGTCGCACAACATCTAAAAGACTACCTTTTCAAATTGCCACATGCAGTAACTTCTATTCTCTGTTGATCACGGCTGCGGTCAATGTTGCACAGTATCTGCAGCTCCGCCCAAGGGGCTTAGAGAGGCCTTGTCAACCTACCACATACAGTAACTCTCATTCTGTATCGAATATCCGAACCAATGTCAGGGCGCAGATGGGCTGCCGAGCCCCACTATTTTCGCAATATCAGAACGTCCCGCAGCCAGATTGCTAGCAACTTATTTATCAGAGATCTACTAATTGCCTACTCAACACTGCCTAAAAAGTAATCGCATTATTGAAACTATTATGACTCGCCTGCCACCTCGATGATGCCGCCCCTGGAAAGTCGTGAGTTGCAACTGCCGGTGGGGTGAGGATTTGGATACATAGTGGCTGTTGTTGATGCAGTTGAGACAGTTGAAATCGTGAGTGAGTCCATGTTCACAAGCGCACCTCGGCAAGCTGGGGTCGCCCCTACTAGCTCACTACAGTGCAATTCTATGGTACAGCGAGGATAATTGAGGTTGCACAGCATCTGCAGCTCTAAGAGCGACTCGCCCAAGGGGGTTAAAGAGGACTTCCCAAACTACCCCATACAGTAACTTCCATTCTGCGTTGATTACAGCGAGGGTGTGTGAGTCGCACAGCATCTGCAGCTAAGAACGTAACGCGGTCTGGTTGGATGGCACTTGAGAGCGGAGTGCAAGACGGTGTGGGGTTGCTGCGTGATTCGGTTGAAGGCCAGAGATCAGTCCGGTGCTTTAGCGATACACGGTTTGCACTCGGTGTGTTACGGGTACAAGGGTGGAGGTGCTTCTGTTCTGGACACGTGTGGGCCACGGAGACTAGACTGTGTTTACGAAGACAACTCGGGTTCGCATCTGGGAGCGTGAAAGGGACTGCGCCTCTTCGATACCATGGCCCAAAGCCTGAGATGCGGAATGTAGCTCGGGACGTCAAGTTGCGGGGCGCGTCTGCCATATGGGTAGCTTAGTACGCGTGTCGGACAGTAGTGACGCTAGAGCGGCGTTGATCGATACTCGTCGACCTGTACCGGTAGTCGAAGCGGATCTTTGATCTAAAGGATGCACTCACCAAACCCAACATCATAGCATAGATCATGTGGCCCAGATGGAGTCTTCAGAACAACCCTGCCTTGACAGGCCATGTCCGCTCCAGAAACTAACTTTTCGCACGAGACAATCCCGAACTGTCCACAGGCGTTCCGCCCAGGGCCAGCTGTAGAAGTCGCTCAGGTATATTTGTGCAACATTTGCTTAAATCGGAGTTCCGAAAACAAGCCGATCAGTGTAAGTACCTGCTAGATGCTTCGATATGACCAGACACGGTGCTGACTCTGTCCTGAGGTCCCCGGTATGCTATTACTGAAGAGGGGTGCGCGAGTGTATGCCAAATATGTGCCACTTGGTTAGTTCGCTCATCAAAGCTTAAGCGTACTGCATCTCAGCCGCTATGAGACCAAGGCTCGACGACTGTGGGTTCCGTGGAACGGTCTCGTGGCGCGTCTTCGATATGCGGAATGACGGAGTTGTGTCATTTTTTAGAGCTGTGGTGTTCGGCGGGTGGGTGGTCGAGTGCGAAATGTTGCACGACGGTGGGTTGGTGTGTTGATAGAGCACCACTGGCGGATTGAAGGTAAGCGTTCCTGCCTTGCCTCAGCCTGAAATGTGCAAGTGCGTAGGAAGTAGGTTTGAATCTGAAGAGATCATGCATCGCTGTGCCTCTCACGCTTCTATTGCTTTGCCGTCTTCCTCTTTTTGTTCTGCCTCTTGTTCGCTGCTGCTTCCTTCTCTTTCTCCATCGCCACCTCCTCGGCCTTCGCCTTGAGTTCCGCAGCACCCTCATCGTCACTGAACCCATCCCACTCCTCCTCGTCATCGCCATCCTGCTCAACCGTCGGCGCAGCTGGCTTCCTCACCTCCTCTGCATCCATATTATCTTCCTCGGCCTCGCCATCCTCACCCTCCCGCACGAAAGCAGCAACGAAGAACCCCATGGTGCCCTGCTCCGTGCCTTTGTCACAGCGTATACATCCATCGAGGGCATCCTGCTTGCTTCTTTCCTCAACGATGGAGCCATTCAACTTCCCCTCTTCCCACTGCCCTCTCCGATCCCACTTCCTCAGTCCGTCAACCTGCTCTTCCCGTCTCAAGACTCTCCACCCCCTTTCCTTGGCGACAGAAGTCGCAAGCGCCTGGAAAACTACGCCCTCGTTCTCTTCGAAGTGGATGGAGCACGTCGAGTACGTTATCTTGCGGGCGGAGGGGAAGCGCATGGCGTGGGTGAGGATGTGCAGTTGAAAGGTGCTTAGTGCTGTGAGGCGGTCCTGGAGTTTGTCTGCGGCATCGAGAGGTATTTCTTCGGGGGCCGTGTCGTCGAGGTCGAGTGTGACTTGCTGCTTCTCCTCGTCCGGTGTGGGTTTGGAAGATTCGTTGCGCTTGCGCTTCTTGTTCTTGCCGCTCCCGCTCTGTTTCACCGTCTCTGCGGTAGCGGAGGGGAGGTGGAGCTTGATCGCATCGTCGCGGCCCACAATGCCGGTCCCTGAGCACGAGGGATCCAGCAGAATCGCACCCACGTTCTCGTAGTCTGGTGAGTTCGGTTTCGCGGCAATGAAATCGCTGGCGCCCTTCACCATTACGCAATCTGCGCCTGCGAGCTTCACCATCTTCTTCAAGATCTCCGTGCGCCCTTTGTCCCGCTCAAACGCAATGACCTTCCTCTCCCCACCGGCGCTCTGAGACGAAACGATGGCAGCAGCGTGCGTCGTCTTGTTCCCCGGCGCCGCGCAGCCGTCAATTACATCGCCGTCAGTCTCTTGCAGGTCGAGCAGGTACGCGGGGAAACAGGACGCCTTGTCCTGGAAGATGATCTCGCCTTTCGTGTACGCTGGGGTTTTAGCGAAGTCGATGCGCGGCGGAAGGGCGAGCAGGTTGGGAATGTTGGGATCGAGGAAATAAATCTTCTTGCTCCCCTTCGCGGTCAGTATGTCGCCGATGCTGTTGACCTGGTGGAAGCTCGCGAATGTGCTGGTCAGTTGCGCCGAAAGCGTCGACTTGATAGTGTTCACGCGCACCCATCGTGGATGCCGTATCTTCTCTCCCTCGTCATCCTCGGCCTCGAGATCGCCCGCGTTGATGGCGAGACGGAAGGCGTCGAGCGTGGGGAACTTGTGGCGTATGCGTGACTTTGTGAGTTCGGCGCTCAGACGCGCTTTGTGGCGTTCGATTGCAAGGCGCAGGACGTGGTCTTTGTGGGCTGCGACGCCTGATTTAGAGAGCAGGAGATCGTGTGTGAGGAGGAGCGCGAGGATGGGCGTCAGCTGTGCTGGTCAGCATGTGGGCCAATTGGACATGTTAAGGGTGGCCATTGGGATGCGATGAGCGCAGGAAGAATAAAGGCTCCCAAGCTGTGCGTGGCAAACGTACCTTCCTCTCCTCCTTCAGCACTGCGCATGTCTCAATGACATCTTTCAGGACTATGCTCCACTTCGAAGCCTCAGCAACCAGCGCGTATATCTGACCGGGCTTGCTCTTCAAGTCTTTCTTCTTGAATATCCGCGCCTTGAAAGACCCACCGACCTTGTCGGGGTTCTCAAGAATCGTCGCCGTCTCGTAGTAGAGCGACATTGCTTGCGTGAGGTCGGTGCGGGAACTTTTTTGTGGTTGGAGGGTTCGCCGCGGGAGTGTGTGGGGCTGCCGCTTTTGCAACGACGCAGGTTCGAGGCTTTCGAGGTTGTGATTTGATAAATTGGGAAAAGACTTGAAGCTCACGGGTTCACACGGTTGACTGAAGATATGACGTTGTTGTAACCCATATCGTTTCTGGTGTTGGTGGAGGTCTCCCAGGACGTTTCTTACATTCAACGTTCACCTTCAAACACATGGAAAATCATCACAGTGGCGGCATATCGTTGAGTCGTTTACCGTTGGTGATTCCAGTGGAACAGCATCTGCAAAATGCAATTTGGATTCAATGTGTTGTGACTCAACACGCGTTGTTGCCTGGAAGAAGACTACATGTTAGGCCAACACAAGCACCGTAAGAGGAAAGACTGTGCAAAGGAACAAGATGGTATCATTGACAACTTATCAACAGAGAAAATAGCCCGCTCGCCAACTGCATCATCAGACCACATCGCGAGCTGCTGCAGTCCGGGTGCACGACCGCTAGAACGCTCACTTTTCTCCATATCCAAAAATCAATTCCCAGTCGACCTCGCTGCGCACGCTGTCATCTGCAACCTTGCCATACTCTTCATATCCATTGTAGTCTTATTCTTCGTCCAACAACCAGACCCTAGTCCGCCAACTCTTCGCCTCTTCCTCATGCATGTGCGCCGCAAAAATCGAGCGCGGAACAGCCGGGTCCTAGACCAGCCCTGCTCTTTCGCCGTCGTCGAGGAACGAGGTACTCGTCCGAAGCACACCTGAATCTACGTCCTATTGCTGAGCGATCGCCGTCTGGTACTCGTGTCCTTTCGCTTCAGGCGATTTGGTGGTCGCGTGTTGAGCCAGACTAGACTTTGCGGCTTCCTGCAGTTGTGTCTCGACATGCCGTTCTCGCTCTCGGTCTCGCTCAGGGGGTGAGATTCTACCTGACGGTATCCGCGACTCGTAAGGGTGTGTGTACTGTGGTGTTTGCTGTGGGTGTGGTCTGTGCTGATGGGACATCTGGTGCTGTTGCTGGGGTTGGTGAGGCTGCTGCTGCTGTGGCGGTGGATGCGCAGTCACCTGGGGCTGCGGCGTTGAGTGGCCGTTGCTGCTGCTAGCTATGTGGCTAGATGCGTACCCGTGGCGAGGGCTCAGCATGGACGGCGGACTAGCTGTGCTTGCTCGGTCATGACTCTCGTGGTCCGATGTGTCGGTGTGCATGTTGCTGTTTGAGCCCGGAGGATGCGTAAACGCGCCTTGCAACTCGCCCTCCCGTACGTCTTTCCAGGAGCATTTGGCGTGCTTCTTGGTGCAGCCCATGCAGGCTGTGAGGTTTTTTAAGCAGTCCATGTGCAGCCGGCGACACCTATCGCAAGGCGGTAGAATACGCTCTCCCTTTCCAAGACTCTCCATCCTGTGGACCATCTCGGTTTTGAACGGACCGCCATCATCCTTCTCTGCCGGCTGGCTGGCGCGCTGACTCGCGGCTGGTAGGAGGTTAGATGGCGTGTTCGGTATCGGGACGGGCGAGTTCATCATTGATTGAAGCTCGGCCTCGTTGAGCTGTGGCGGTCTTGCATGTTTGGAAGACGGTGGCGGCGGTTGCGCCTCGGCAGGTTGTGGAAGTGGTCTCGGGGTGTTCGATGTTGGCGTGGAGGGGTGTGACAGAGAGTGAGGTACTACGGTGGGCCGTCTTGCGTCTGGCACAGTGCTGATGTTATGTGAAGAGGATCTTCGATCGTTGACGGTGTGGAATTTGGCCAACAAGTCGTGACGAGTGGTGGAAGAGGCGCTGCTGCCGTTGCCGTTGCCATGTCCATGGCCGTTTGACTCATGAGGACGAGCATTCACGGCAACAAAGCCGCCCGGCGACTTATGCGAGGGCTGTACCGGTACCGGTGCCGGTGCCTGTGGAGGTGCCGGTGCCTGTGCCTGTGGCGGTGTCGGTGCCTGAGCTACATGGCTGGAGCCGCCTTTCATCAGCGCTACGTTGGAGGGGCTCAACGGGCGGATTGGCGGGGCCGGGCTCGCGGTCACCCTGCGGTCGAGGATGGCCTGCCTGCGCCCTTTCAGCCTATGGTTGAGCTGTCGTGTGCGAGCAGCGACTAGCAACGTTAGCGTGTCTTCAGCGTGCAATGCGTCCTCCTGGACTCACCCTGATCGGCCAGCTGGCAGATCTGGCCCAGGTTCTTCTCCAGAATCTCAATCGTCCCCAGTTCCTTCTCCTCGTCCTCAATAATGGGCTGCGGAGGGATCATCTTCTGAGGGATCCCGGACGAGATGAGCACAAAGTCCTCCTCGCTGATCTGGACTCGGCACTGCTTCGTGTAGAACTGACAGACGCGCACGCCTTCGCTCATCTGCCCAAGTTGGAACTGTTCCGGCTTGTTGCGCGCGAACTCGACCACGTCGAGCCACGTGACCGTGGTGCCATCCTTGCCGTGGCTCTTGAGCACGCGTGGCGGCCCGTCGAACAGTCTCTCGAAGCGCTTGATCAGGATGGGGCCCAGCGGTCTTGCGCCCAGATTGCAGGCCATGGACTCATGGCGATCGAGGACTCCCTGGTAGTCGCTCAGCAGCGACAGGATGTTTGGCAGCGTGTCGTCATTGGTTATCAGCGGCAGGTCCGCATCCAGGTGGCGCACGAGGTAGTTGATTTGGAGGTGGTTGTGGGTCTTGGCAGCTTTTGGGTGAGGCGCGGCTGGGTGCATGTTCTCGTGCGAGCTGCTTCGCTTGCGCTTCAGGTCTGTCGCCGAAGGCAGCACGTGGTGAGGGTGCGTCATGTTGAGGTCGGCCAGTGCGTGCGAGTCGAGGCCGGCCATGCTGCGCGCAGAGGGCAGCGGAGACGCAGCAGAACAGAGCGGAGCGCGCGCGGAGAAGAGGGCAGGCGGGAACGCGAGGGCGGAACGCGAGATGGGCTCACAGCACAGCAGTCAGTAACGGCGGTGACGGTGGTGACGGCAGACGTCTTGCTCTACAGGCCCATTGCGTGCGTGCTTACAGGGAGGAGAGCATCGCGCGGGCAGGCAGAGGCAGGAACGGGGCAGAGCTGTGCAAGTGGAGAGGGAGAGCACGGAGTGGACCTGTGTAGACGCTCGGCAGCAGTCGACCGTGAGGAGCGGGAGTAAGACGCCTCCGCAGCCAATGGGCGGCGCGGCGTGAGCAACTGGGTCTGGGCTTTGATCAGCGCCGGCACTTCATATCAGAGGGCCCGAAGAGGCCGACGCTCCGAGGCGCAGGGCATTGATACGGTAGGTAGTGTACAGCTGTGCAGGTGTGCATAACAGGGTGCTGTCATTGCTTGATGAAGCCGCGAGAGATATGCCCTGTCCTGTCGCATGCCTCCACGGAGCAAACAAGCAGTGGTCGTGTCGTGTGGCTGCTGGCCGCGCGAATCGCCGGCAGCGTCGCAGGGAGAAGGGTCAGAGGCACCGGCGGCCGGCGTCTGCGTGACGGGCGGCGTGCTCCTCTCATCTCACGGGCCAACGACAGCGTCAGCGAGGGCGGCATGGCGGACGACGCCAGGCAGAAAGCAGCAGCGCACCAGGCCCAGAACCCTCGCAGAACTCTCGAAAAAAATGCCGCAGCGGCACGACCACGCGTCACGTCAGGCGCGCAGAACTTTGAGGTTCCACCCCTCACAGCCCGCAGGCGGACGGCACTGGCGGAAGCTCACATTCCACCCCCACCCCCTTCGACGACGTGGCTCAACACTTACCCGATCACGTGAACGACTTGAGCCACAGCCCAGCTAGCTCAAACTCACCTTCGCGGAGCACAGACCGCGATATTGAGCTGCACGTCACCACGCGTTGTTGTCATCCCAAACACGCGCTTCTTGTCCATTTCACACACCATGTCTGAACGCGGCGCATTTCGGGGACGAGGGGGCGGACGCGGTGACCACCGTGGAGGCAGAGGCGGTGCAAGAGGAGGCGCACAGGGCGGAAACGCAGCGGGGCAGCAGCAGACCGAGCGGCCCAAGAAGGAGAACATCTTGGACCTGAGCAAGTACATGGACAAGCAGATCACCGTCAAGTTCAGCGGCGGGCGCGAGGGTGAGTCTTGTTAGTTGGGGCGGGAACCAGCAGCAGTTGCAGACGGGACGTGAATCGAAGTAAATGAACACTGACCGTTGTGCAGTCATTGGTACACTCAAGGGCTACGACCAACTGATGAACCTTGTGCTGGATGAGGTCAAGGAGGCTATGACAGGTAGGCAGTCATTGAGCATGAACGTAGAATCAGGCTAACAGTGTCAAAGACGACGAAGGCAACGTACGGTACCGCAAGCTCGGCCTCATTGTTGCCCGCGGCACACTCCTGGTCGTCATCTCGCCCGTCGATGGCAGCGAAGAGATCGCCAATCCGTTCATTCAAGAAGAAGAATGAGCTCGATCGAAACCCATACGCTGAAAACACAGTAGGCGTGTAGCACTCGGCCAAGGAAGTGGTACTCTGCCAGCAGCAAGCCGTCAAAAATAGCAGGACGAGGAAGGAGATAGCAGAACAGGCTCTGCATGATACCCACGACTATCATACCAGACATTGGCCGGCTTTGCGTGGTCAAATGGCCGAACGAGCCGGACAGTATTCGGCATCAGAAACCATGTGCAGCAGCAATAGCCACAGAACAATCAAAGGCAATCGAAACGTCAACTTTGATCTCACCAGCTCAGTCACAATTTGAGAGTCGAGTCATTGTGCTTACTCAAGTGACACTGGTACTTACCCTTCCAAGCTTTGATTGAGCGGACATGTGCATGCCAACAGTCAAGCACAAGAACTGAGGAGGAACATCCAGGAAGTTGCATCCAACACAATCACATCCGAGGTCAGCGGGCGTGACTGTTGCCACACAGCCTTACCGCCTTCTTTTAGTTCCGCCTTCCTCATGGCACACTCCACCACAACATCGTTGCTCTCCGCCCTGTGTACCTTTTCACCTCAACATAATTTTCGCCAACATGCCGCTCGCACGCCTAGCAGCTCCTCTGCCGCCTGTGACACCACCAGTCATGGACATTTCCCGCCAAAAGCTCAAAGAGTTTGCGCACTGGATTCGCGACGACCTTGACATTCTTGTTGCTCGCGAAGGCCCTGACATCCTTCGACCAGACGACGTTCTTACTCTGCACGAGCTTTTTGTCGCCCTGCGCCACTCGACGACCATCACAGCTCTGGACCTGCGCGCGACAGGTATCCACAGGGCAGTAAAAGATATCGCAGGCATCGCTACGCGGTGGCCTAGGCGGCTATGCGACGACTGCGACAAGATCATAACTATCTGGACAAGCAAATTTGGGCGTTTCGAAGACCTTCCTCCTTTCCTGTATGGTCGAGGCGGACGGCTGGAAGGCATTGCGAGCGTATCTGAGTACACTCGTGAGGTAGCATCTCTGCACCTACTGTCCTCGCTCTGCACTGACAGTGATCTAGGCGCTCATCAAGAGATGGTCTGAGTACTGTCCTGGAAAGATCCGTCCCAGTGTATCCCACAGATCTGGTGATCTTGGTTTCAAGTCTGGAGAGTGGGTATCGATTGATGAAATTCCGAGCCGCGCTGACAACACACAGCTGGTGGATTCACCCTCTCTTTGCACACCATGCAGGCATAGTTGGGCTTGAATCAGTAAACGGCGGCATCACCTATGACAAGAACGGAGCATACGCTCTCGTGCTGAAGGACACGGGCGAGGTCGATGCGAGATCCGAGGACGAGTTCACGTACCGAGGTCCCATTAGCGACAAAGGCAAGTTTCGACTGACCGCGGCGACTCCTGCATCGCGCGACCCTATACGAGTGCTTCGAAGCCATAGCATCAACAGCATCTGGGGCCCAAAGGCGGGAATTCGGTATGAGGGACTGTAAGCTATGCGACACTGCTTACCTGGCATACGTGCTGACGACTCCAGGTACTCTGTCAGAGGCTGGTGCATTCGTCAGGCCAGGCTGCAGGACACTTTGGGTGGAGAATGGAAAGAAGGTGATATTCTTTACGAAGTCACTTTGCGGAGGAGGGACCCAATACTTATTGAACAAGTGAGTTGTCGACCAACCAACATGGAAGTGGATGATTACACCGAGTACAAGCGATTACGAAACTTGTACCGTGAGCAGAGGCGCAAGGGTTCTGGACCAATACCAATCCTACACCCGATCCTGAAGGTTGCTCCTCCTATACCGTCGCCTCAATTCGCAGCTACCCCGGCGACCACGCCACAGTCTTTACTGCGGACAGTACCGGGCATCTCCCGTCAGACAACGTGCCAGGAGCCTGCGTTCGATGTACCCAAGGTCAAGACGGACATACCGTTTTCTTACGATGTTGCATCTCCGATCACCGTTCCAGACCTTCTGGGTACCTTCTTCGCGCCAAAGAAGTCTGGCAACCTAGCTATACCTGCTCTGAGAGATAATACCAGACCCAGCTCGCCGGACCCATCCGAAACCTCACGCGAGACGCACGTCCGTTTGATGAGCCCCGGTTCTAGCTCACTCGCCAGTAGCATCAAGTCTAGCCACAGTGAGCTCAAGGAGATCATACCATGGATCGACCTCGAGGCTGAATTACCCGTACCTCCTGCCTTCACTCCACCACCGGTCGTCAGTGAGCAAATGAGGAGCCAAGCCAAAGAACGACTTGAGGTGAAGGCAGCTGAGATGAATCCTGTGAAGAACATCAGAAGACTGGCACGAGACTTGAGACTCCCGGATGATCCAAGCTCGCGGAGCCGGAATGCTGTTGAGAGAGACACAGCGACGAATGCGCTGAATCTTAGGTCATACTCAACGAAGCCAATATTGCCCATGCTTGGGAAGAAAAAAAGAAGGGAGACGGAGAAAGAGAAAGAAAAGAAAAGACTCACTTTTGGCAAGAAGGCTCGATTCTTCGATGGGGCGGGGTACAGCGCCGACGAGGAAGATGATAATCACCATGCGCCTTCTTCGAAACACCGACGATTTCGCTCCAGCTCGATGGACGACCTCCACCAACTGCATGCTCCAAGACCAATGAAACCATTGCAGCCAGTCAGCCTCTTGAACTACGGCATCGAACATATTGAGTTCGCATCACCGCTCGAAAATCTTATATCTTGTCCTAGAATGGCAAGTCCAGTCAACAGCTTCACGTCGCCTCCAATGACGAACCATGCAGGTAGGAGAGGGGAGAGCGTTGCTTTGGGGAGGCTGAAGCGGTGGCTGAGCAAATAGGTATTGATACACCTAATGAAGAGTTTCTCATTCCTGTGGATTAACGATCACTTTGCCCCTCACTTTCCCATCGGAAACCTCCTGGCTCGCTCTCTGCAGCGCTGATAGCCCGTTTCCTATCTTCGGGTATGCTACGAGTGATTCTAACCTGGCCGAGAGCACGGAGGGTAAATAGATTCCGTACCACCAATTCCGCCATTCGGCATACTCGGGTTTGTGTGTGGCTTGCGAGAAAGACTTATATACTATCTCCACATTCGCTGGTAGTTCCACCTCTTCACTCAATGGTAGGACCGACGCGAATCGGCCGCCGGTGGGTGAAAGCAGGCCAATGAGAGCGCGCTGGGACGAGGCGTCTCCTGATGCGGTGAAGAGGTAGGCGAAGGGTCCGTGGGCACGGATCTCGGCCAGGATGGTGGGCGAGCGGTAGTCCAGGACAATGGAGGCGCCGAGAGATGTGAGAGAGGGGAGCGAGCGGGGCGAGGCTGTGGCTGTGACGGTGTAGCCGAGCTTGAAGAGGTCAGATGTTGTGTTTCCTAATGAGACGGCTGAGTGCGTGCAGCATGCGTTATGACAAGCTTGAGCCTTGAGATACTGGCTGCAGACCGAAGAGGTGGTTTGATCCGCCGAGGCGCAGATTCTTGATCCCATCTCCAGAGCGGTCGGGGCGAAGGTGAGGATGTGGGGAAGACGTACCGATGCGGCGTATTGGACGGCATGTTGGCCTACTGCGCCGCCTGCGCCCCAGATCAGAACCTTTTCGTCGCTGGCTGGTTGATTGGGAGCCGTACGGGGCGAGGGGCGGGACATGCCGAGGAAGACTTGCAGTGCTGCGACTGCGGTTTGTAGCGGAAAGGAGGTCAGGACTGCTTGCTCGAAGGGGGTATCGTCAATCTGAGGTTCGTCAATGTGTGCTCGAAGGGAACCTTTTACGAACATGTGCAGGTGAGCGTTTTCGCAAAATGTAGGTCCTGGTTAATATACCTTTGCGATAGTGTCCGCTGAGCTGATGACGAGCTGCTGCCATGTGCCTTGCTGCTTGTTGACCTTGGGATCGACGTAGGCCTTTGTGTCGAAGACAACTCGGTCACCGACTTGAACGTTGGTCACGCTTGAGCCCACCTCCTCAATCACACCTGCGCCGCTGCTGCCGAGGGTTGCTGGGAAGCTCAGGGAGGCCGCTGGACCGTAGTTAGAGATGAGAATTTTGGCATCAAGGGGCTGGATGGCGATGGCATGGTTCCGGATGAGAGCTTCGTTGGGCCCTGGTCGAGGCGTTTCGACGTCTTTGATTGCCAATGGTTGGCCAGGTGTTGGGAGGACAGCGGCGCGGTGGGTAGATGTCATACTGCGTAGCACATTGCTCTGGCATGTCCTCTTACACCTTTTCTATCTCCTCTGCTTCATCGAAGATACGCGCTACTTGCTGACTCCGTGTCTTGAAAATGCACGCTGTTCCTTCCAGGGCGCGTAGTGCTTGGATCCGCAACCGCGTTTGGTCATTTGGCATACTTTCGTACTTTCGTAAGCGCGTCTGCCATTCAAAAGCGAATCATGAGAGGTGGTCTGCCATCCAAAAACAGATCATGGGAGGTGGATGCCTGCAGAGAGGTGTGTAAGCATGAACTAAGCGGAATGAACAAGTTGAGGCGTGATGAGTAAATTAGCAGCAGCTTCGACCCAATGCAGCTAATTTGGGGACGTTGGTCTCTTTGATGCGACCTCCGTCATCTCCGCAGAGAAAGTCTCAAAGTTGTCGCCCTGCGTATTTATAATCTGCGATACGGATCGAGGGTGGTGCGTTGGATGCACTTGACGCCAGGCCGGATCATTTCCGCTGCGCAGCAGCATCTTGTTGTTCCTGAGCTGGCCCACCACCTTCAGCTGAAGCTATGTCATCCATCACCAACTTTCCGCAATGGCTTTTGCGCGCTGACAAACAGCAAAACCACTAACCCCTTCCTCCTCTGTCAGCAATTATCAAACACTTTGCAATGCTACTTTGCCATCAGCATCTCATTGATTTGACATTCCTGACATTTGACAGACTCAATCGTAATACGTTCGCACGAGTGGAATTTACCTGCGTGAGCCAGGGTCCGCTTAAGCGAGTGCTGAGTAACCTCCACTTTGGACCACACCTCGTTTATGATCAGCTAAGATTATGTACATTCAGACATCTCATTTGTCCATACTCGGATTGCGGCTCTTTTGACGCGTAATTTGCATCCATTTCACACAGCAGCCAGTCGGAAGCTTCGCGTGAATGCAACTTGCACATGTGACATTAGCACTTGCCCTTTTTGAGAGCAGCGTGGAGATGTGTACCTTGAATTACGATGGGCGGGATCCTACACCAAGAGATGTGGAAGCTTCGCCCACATTCTGCTGCCTGTTCCGTGGTTGTCAATGCTGACCTGAATGCAGACAAATTATCAACTTCACGATGCACATGGACCTAAGGCGACGTCCCAGACCAAGAAGCGTCACTCCATCATGTCGATAGATAAGTAACGCACATCGTGCAAACGATCCAAGTCAATTGCAGACATTCTCAAACTGCACTCAAATCCAGGCTGAACATCTTCTGGCCCCATTCTGCTGATCTGTCACCACCACGTTGCCATCTCGCATGCGGCTCAATTAAGAATCTGACGCCAGCATCGCTATCGCACTGCTTACAGACCGCCGCTTTACTGACCGATTCTGTCGACTAGAACGTCTTCCGAACACCACAACTGCTTAAAGAGGCTGCAATTCACTCCACTCAACCCCGGTCACTCCACACTCCCAGTACTCACGTGCATTAGACCGCCCGACAAAAGACTTCGGTTTATCCATTGCACTGAGAGGGATCAAGCTTGGGCCTTCATTTCATCATACCAAGACGCCAGTATTGCAGTCACAATAGCTCATTGCTTATGGCAACGTAGTCGACCACTGGATATCTATCCCGACATTCTCGGTCGCAGGAAGGCGGCCCCCCTCAATTCAAAACCGGGGGCTAAGAATTCAACGATTAAGATATAAAGATACGCTCAATGAAGGAAAAAAAAGGCACAACAGCATCAACAACTCCCACAACAACATCACAAGGCTCCCTTACACCTTCGAGTAGCACCCAACATTATACAACTTTGCGCAAGCAACCTTTGAGAACACCTTCTCCAGCGAACGGAACAAGATCAACCAGCATTCGAAGCACACCAGCCCCTTCGACACAACCAACAACCGCCTCCCCCACGCGAGAATCTTCAATCGAGCCCCAGGACCGCTCAGCACACGGAGCTGCGACAATCTCTCCAGCTCCAGCTCCCGCAATCACCATCACATATCTTACCCCTTCTCAGCAAAATCTCAATCCAACAGCCATGTCTTCGTCCTCGTCTACATCCAGCAGCACCTCCACCGCTGGTTCCAACTCTGGATCCGGATACACGCAGCTCCCATATGCGCCGTTCCCGTACCCGATGCCTGCCAATCCCCGTGGATCAGGCTCTGGTAACGGCAAATAGGTGACATTGTCCTTGCCTCCACGGTATTGCTGGCGTTTCGCGGTACACTCTGGCGGTTTCGACTAGTTGTTGGTGGTGTGAGCTGCATTTAGATGGCGCAATGTTTGTACGCACGCACTCGCTCTAGAGCTTTGTTGATTTGTTCTTGGTTTCTGATCACATTTACTGGTCGCTTGCTGCATTTGCATATTTGTGTTTTCGGCTCGACTTTCGCTTTTCACCATTAGTAGCGTTTCCATTATTGTTCTTGCTTTCGGCACACGCCACTCGCTCATTGAACATAGAACATTGCTCATCAAATTGTACTTCGCTCTGAATCTCACAAAAGAGTGACTCCGTAGTTGTTTTACTTGCCTCATCGGCGGTTCAATCAGTCCGCTGTACATTGATTTACACACATGCCAATCTTCTACCTTGCTAGTCGACGTACATGATCATATTAAATTTGAATGTGAGGACATGGTGTCGGTAGGTAGTGGCTCTCCACATCTCCACACCAGATAGTTGGGGCTATTCTTAGTGATGCGATGCATGACTCGCCGTGCATGAGATAGTCTGGACTCTGGACGTTAATCGAGACGAGACGGCATGATTTCGGCATTCTGGTGTGCTGAAGGGGAAGCTGATAGTTGCTAGGACTTCGAGATGCTCTGACTGTATAACTTTAAGTGACGGACCCTGAATAGCTCTATGGCCTTGGCTCCGCGCATGTCTCCGGTCTGACGGTAGACGGCATCGCTGCAGCTACTGCCGTCTTACCAGCCAAGTCCTCCATGAATACTTAGCGTCGTTCCAACAGAGCGCATGCGCATGCTGAAGTCTTTATGCCTGATCTTTGAGACACGGTTGGCGGTGGCAGTTTGAGGTTGAGCGAATTTATGCACAAATAGGCTGTACAGCTCTCCGAATAGCACGAGAGATTTTGACCAATCCAAAATGCACATAGTAGAAGATAGGAATCAAGAAACTCGGTGAAAAGGCGCTCCTGAGATATGTCATGCCAGAAGCAACGGATGCAGTTGAAGGCGGCCGATCTTATATAAGCGCGCACGTGCCAGCTGATGACGATCATCATCGGGCCAACTTTATGCAGCTGCGCAATCACCACTCCCACGCGACAACACTGCTCCCGTGCTACTGCGACGTCGTGCGTTCTTTTGTTCTCTTCTTCTGCCTTACGTTCTCGTTGTATTGCTCAAGATCTTCGCACCCTGATTCTCCACTTCTCCGTCTCGAAAGACACCTCCTCGACTTCCGCCAGAGCCGCCGAACACTAGCTTCCCCCGTATTCACCTATCCCTCGGCCTTGCCTTTCGAAAAACATGGCACACTCACGATCACACACATCCCTCCTTTCGCTGCTCGCGGCCACTTCATTACTCCCTCTCCAAGCATGGGCCTCCTTCGAATGCAAAGACATGGGGACGCAAGGCACCCACTTCAACTTCGAGAAGCTTGGCGGGCCACACGTCGTACATTGGAAAGAAGAAGATGTGGAGCACGACATGGAATTCAAATACAACTTCACAATGGACCTCTGCAAAGCTCTGAAGTCAGAGTGCCATAACGGCGCACGAGTCTGTGGCATGCGGGAGAACATCGATCTCTCCCAGGAAGGAAACTCGACTATCACACCAATCGATATTGCTGGAACATACACCTCATACAACGGGCGCAACATCGATGCCAAGTACGAACTGCTGCGAAACTCGAAGTCGAACTCAGATTCAGGACGTGAAGGTTTGAGAACCATCCTGCACGGAGGACGACTGCCTTTTGATGATAAGAAGAACGGCCTCGATCAGCGTGCAATCATCGAATTCGTGTGCGACAAGGATCGTACAGGACTCGAAGGTGATGAGACAGATGGCGGCAAATCAGGCAGCGGCAAAGATGATGATAAGGATGGCAAGAAGGACGATGATAAGAAGGACGATGATAAGAAGGACGACGATAAGAAAGAGGAGAAGCGTATGAGCAGGAGAGAAGAGGGTAGCAAAGACCAGTGTGAGGACAGCGACGCTAGTCTGCGCTTCTGCGGGTACAAGGTCGAGAACCTTGAGAAGGACAAGATGGCAAGGACACTGAGGTTGGAGTGGCGCACCAAGTATGCGTGCGCGGACACACCCGCGGAGAAGCCTGCGAGCGCGCACTGGGGCTTCTTCGGGTGGTTCTTCATCATGTAAGTCTCTATATCGACGACTAATGAGAGCAGGTGCTAACGACTACCAGTCTTTTCCTTAGTATCGCAGCCTACCTCGTCTTCGGCTCATGGCTCAACTACAACCGCTACGGCGCACGCGGGTGGGACTTGCTTCCTCACGGCGACGCCATTCGCGACGTCCCCTATATCGCGAAGGACTTCGGGCGCAAGATCTTCCAAACCGTGCAGGGTAGTGGGAGTAGGGGAGGGTACGCCGCTGTCTGATTGAGCATGGGCTCGGTCTGTGCTTCGTGCTTCTAGACGAAGTTTTGGTGAAGCTGGAGGAGTTGAAAGAGGAGGGAGTGTAGAATCCGATCTGCTTGGATCAGATTCAAGCACTGACTAGCGTACACATCTAGATATTGACTGCTGACGCGTCGTTAGCGCCTACAATATGTATACATCTTTCCTTCCCGCTCTCAGACTGTCTGCATCCATCACCTCGAACAATGATCCCACACTCAGACACGTGAAGGACGCAGCGGAGGTTAAAGTTTGGCCCGGCACTCCACTTTACCTCCAATATCTCTTCTGTCAACTCAAACAACGCCACTTCCGAAAGCTGTACCCTCCTTTCGCATGTTCTGCTGGCTGCGGTACTGTTCTCTGATGGCGTCTGCTGCGTTTATTTACGGCACATTTGCCTCTTCAAAAACAGACCGTATCCAGGTGCATGTTTCTGTCAAGGCATGCAAATGCATTGGCATGATGGTGGATACCTACTAGGTTTCAAGACTCGAAAGCTGTTCATTTTCTTCTTTTTTCCGTTCTTCTACTCGTCATCTACAGAAAATGCTTGCTGATTAGTGCGTGGTGCGTTCGTCCACATCTGATCAATTTCAACCTGTCAACTTCTCAAACCTGCTGAGTGAGCGCGTCCTGGTATCTGCTTCTACCGCTTCTTGAAATTAGTTAGATCTCAGCAGTTCTTCGTTTGCGCGAGCACGTCAATGCGATTGATCAAGTATGGAAGACCTTTCAGTGGGTAAGTATCTTCTTCGGTTGCACGGAAACATCAACGGTGACATCACATGTCTGTATCTTTGCGTCAAAGAAACAACGAGTCAAGTCTAAAGTCGGTACCTTTGTGAGCCGTGGAAGGCAAGCTTGGGTACCGGTAATGTACCGATCCCTGCTCGTTCATCACCTTCCAGGATTGGTCGGCTGAACTCCGTATTCGATGGAACGCCCCTCAGGTCCCAGGAACTTCTTAAAATGTCTTGCAAGATGATTGGGCTGGCTTGCAGATCTTCCTGTTTTTCACGAACGACCTCCACTTCTGTGTATCTGGACTGGGAAAACACTGACAACGGAAGCTAGCAAAGATAGATGGTCGAGCACGTGCAATGTGCTGTCACGTTGATATCGAGAACAAGTTATCCGTTTATAGATGCCAATGGAAGGGAGTAACGATACGGCGATCCTTCTCACAAGATGCATTTGTCAACTTCCTTCCTCGTCAGTCTTGGCGCTGCAGTCACGACCATCAGTGGCGCCCTCACTAGCGTCACAGACTTCTGCGATAACCCGACGGGCTTTGAGCTAAATGTTAACGTGCCGGCCAACCTCACGCAGAAGCCAGCCATCATTTCTCGCTGTAGGTATGCGGCATTGTGCACTGTAGCCTTTCAATGACGACTTCGTAGCTCCGCGGTTGCTTCGGCAGTGGCGAAGCCTACGCCACGCAAACAACATACATCACCCTCTCCGAGCAGAGAGGGATCTTCACTATCTTGACCTCCTCCAAGCGTGACTCCAACTGCCGGGAAGTCAATACCGCCAAAGGACTCTCTCGCAATGCCGGCGGCGACAATCAAGGTCTAATCTCCATGGTGAACTACACCATCGCAGAATACTCCACCGAACCTGCATAGGTGTTCGTCACAGGCTCCAGCTCGAGCTACATGATGACTAACGTGCTGATAAGCACTTATCCTGACGTCTTCGTCGCTGCATGGTGCTATCCTGGTGTCGCTGCGGGCTGTGTGGCTGGCACTCCTGGCGCGTCGCCTATCTCACCGGACGGGGAGTGCGCAAAATGGTCTCATCATCAAGAGTCAGGCTGAGTGGATTAGCACCGTGAAAGCCATGTTATCTGGGTACAGTGGCATGTATCCCAAGCTTGCGACGTGGCACGGAACTGTGGACACACTTGTCAAGCTGCCGAACTTGGGCGAAGAGTTAAAACAGTGGTCGGGAATTCAAGGCGTTTCGTTCACGAAATTCTAAATGAATGTTCCGGAGGCCGGATATACAAAGATCATTTACGGTGATGGAAGCAAGCTGGTTAAATACAAGGCACGAGATTTGGGTCACACCGTGCCGGTGCAAGAAGCGGAGGATTTGACGTGGTTCGGTCTCTGAGCTGTGCAGGTCCTCACAGTACCCAGAGACCGGTCATTCCATATTTCTCTCGTACACGGCGGAACTATACAGATTACGTAAGAATCAAAGAATGTCCCTGACTGTCTTTCGCTCTTCAGCCTCAGCTCATATAGAAGCAGCTGCTTTGCTACTACGCAAGATTTTCACAACACTACAGCCGAGCTCAAAATGTTCGCCTTCAACTCACCCGAGGAATTCATTGCTTCGCTCCAAGAACTTACTTGGCCGATCTGCTGCGACTCCTTCAGCGAAGAACACTATCCAATCTGCGTGGACGGCTGCCGTCACGTCTTCGGTGTCGAATGTCTCAGATCGTGGGTAACATCAGGCCGATCTGATCAAAACACATGCCCCAATTGTCGGGCCGCGATGTTCGAGATCTCGCAGCAGCTGCCTGTACGTGCTCGTTCATCTGTAGGCGCTACTAGCGACGCGCCTTACGAACGCGTTATTTCAGACAGCGAGTACGAAACGGACAGCGAGGGCTCACACTATGATGATGATGAATATGAACGCACGGAGAGGTCACCTGCGGAAAATCATGAATATAATCCAACGCAAGATGTGTTCATAACGGTAACCGGTCGCCTCATAGCAGTATCTCTACATCTTTTGCCTCCTGCATTCTATACTCAGGGTTGTGAGGGCTTTTTACATGAGCAGAGAGAAGCTATATGGGATGTGCGACGGCAACAGCGTGATCGGGCAATCGCATACCGTGCGTTGACAATGCAGGTCATGCTCCACGGCGACGGCAATTCGATGTGGGAAGAGTTGGTGATGCCTCTTATCGAGAAGATTGCAAACGAGACAGCTCGGGCATTCAGGGACAGTAATGTATGGAAGCTGTGATAGCAACCGATTAGGTCGATAGTGTTCGAAATGGGTGAAATCGAGCACAGTCGTGATGAGAAACTTGTCGGGCATTATGCGTGCGTGGTCCTGAGCGTTCAAGCGATGTCTGGAGATCAGAAAGACTTGGGTAGATCATACACAAGTCAACAAGTTTCACGAGGAGCATCTGATCTTACTGACTAAGGCTGGGGTCAGCAAGAGGAACACGTTCTGTTTGTTGCTGACACCGTCAATATTTTATCCAATGTCTTTCCTTCATTGTTCAGTCTCCCGGTAGTGGGCGAATGGATGTGTCAGTCCTGGGTGATCATTTATTGCACTTAAACTCGGTGTGAGCCGTGCGCACCTTCTTAATTGCACAACGCTCTCTTCAGAACACAATGAACCACACAGTATCAGCACAGAACTTCCTCGCCTCCTGACGGGAGTTGACCTGCAGCATCTGCCTCCACGCGTACCGTGAGGGGCATGTTCCCATCGCCGTCGATGGGTGCCGCCATGTCTTTGGAAACACGTGCCTTGAGAGGTGGATTTCTTCCGACAATACAGGGCGCTACACATGCCCAACCTACCATTGTCCACTCTTCAGAGGTAAAGTACAGGCCAGAATCCCCGCACTAACGCGTACAGCAAATAATGAGGCTCGTTCTGAGCAAGGTCAGGACGCCGCCGGCCTCCAGGTCAACATTCGTCGGAGCAATGGTGTTGTTGCTCATCAGCAAAGCAATACCGTACACATCAACCGAGAAGAGTTAAACGGTCTAACAAACCCTTGGAGTAATTACAAGGGTTGGGGGTTTTAAAGGCGTTCTTGCAGATTTGGACGCCCTCCTCGAAGATGTTGATCCATACTCCCTTGGCTTCCAAGCTCAGTCTACTCCCTCGCAAGCTACCCTTCACAGCGCGGCCGCCGTTGAGATCAGTCTTCGAGCAGCTGAGATTGGTCGTCGAGCCGGGCATCAGGGTATGGCCCTCATTCGTTTAGGTCGCGATATCGGCCGTGAGGCGAGGCTTCAAGGTGCTGAAGCCGCTCAGCGAGGTGGTAAGGCAGCTCGTCCAGCTAGCGTTGGTGGTCCTCGAACTGTACGTCGCGATGCTTCTGCAACCAGCCGGACTCCTGTCGGGTTCGCTCGAGCTCGTTTGCGTCCCCGCCCAGTTGTACGTCCTCCGAGGAACATTGAACCGGCTCGCCGAGAAGCCCGAACCCGTCACGCCCGGTCTTGTTTGACTTGGCGGGTCATCTTTTTACCCCTCCTAGCGTGCGCACTATTCCTCTGGCTCGGTTTTTCATGGCTCGATGCTAAGGTCAGGCTTCTGTCGCGCAGATAGTCTGTCATTTCAGCTTGGGGCGCTGTCAGTGGAACAAGTCGTGACGAGGTCCCTCGTAGTTCCCTGTGACTACCTCCAGGATCAGATTATAATAGCTTAATAACTTGGAGCAAATGGTCGAAATATTTGATACTGGATGTGCAACACTATTATGCAACACAGCATGCTCAAGTGTCATGAAGTGTGAAGAAAGCTTCACATAGATTCAGGCTTGGAGTCTAACAGCGCATCACATCCTCCTAAAACGATGTGTGTTGTGGTGTGACAGATGGTTGAATCAAGGAACAGGAAGATCAGTTCTCGAGAGGAGAGTGATGGAAAGCACCCTGCGGAGAGCTTGTGCGGCTCGCACTTTAGTTTTTTGGGTCCAATGATGCGAGGGAATAATGATGTATTCGACCCTGGCAGACTCCAAATTCAAAGAGATGAGCTAAGGTCTTGTAACCCTGTGATGCTTCTGGCTTGAGTGTAACCTTTTAAATCGGCACACTTCAACGAAGGATCAACCGCCCACGCGTCGGCCCTTTTGGCAGCGACATCGCACATACGGGTGCCATGTCGCACACGACCACGGAAGGGTGTACGAGGTAAAACTTCGATTTGGCGCGCGAAAGCTGTGACTTCCGGAGGCGGCGGAGAGGCAGCCGAGTGAGTTTTGCTAGCGCACGGAGGAGCTGTAAGCTTTTGAGTCAGGCGTGACCGATGAGAATAGCCGTCCGGTCCCGGATGTAGCCTTCGGCACCGAATGAAGAAGGGAGCCAAAGGAAGCCAAACTGAGCCGCGGCGTGATGTTCGAAACTTGACGTTGGCGGTTGATGATGACGGAGGACGTTGTGATCCAGCCGTGCCTGAAGATCCTCGCCTAAGCGACTGGTCTTGTAAGCCATTCGCACGCGACCCAATCGTACCAAGATGGCGGCTTTCAGCCCGGAGTGACAGGTCGTGTTCGCGCAGCGCGGAGTGGACGACGTAACTGACACTTATCAGACAGCACCTCGATCCCCCGGCGCCGCGTGCTCCTTCCTGATCAGAGAACTCGCCCAATCAGCCACTCACAGCCCGGAAATTGGGAAGGAACATCCTTGCAGCCCTAACGCTCCCGTCGGCTCTCTGTCATCGTTCGAATCGAGGTCGACGTCCAGAAGCCTAGGGAACGCATACACACCGCTGCGTTGACCGTGCGCGCAAAGAAAAAGCTATTACTATTGCCATATCGCTATTGCACCGGAACCCAACGATGGAGGTGAGCGCCCACTGTATTCTTTTCCCTCAGCTGCCCTTCCCCATTGCGTCATCTTTGAGATAGCTTTCCTTCTGCTCGCATACACGGTGTATCGATACATTACGCCATACACTCTGTCTTATCTACAGCCGCAAGCTTGCGCTCGCTCCTGCATCAGCCCTACCGCTGCGGGTGCTGCCATGCCTTGAGTCGGGCTCTTGTACCATCACAAAGGGTGCCAGCCTACGCGTGTCACTCTTGTAGTACCTCACGGCGAGCGCTGATTGCTCCATCACACTCTCATTTTCTTGTTTTCACCGCGACTTCTCCCTGCACAGTCCCTGTGTTGGTGGCTGGGCTGTTGCCCTTATCCCACGTCATTTTCCATATCTACGGGCCGGCATAGAAGGTCAGGAAGGACCACGCGACACCGCGACATGCCAGGCAGGTGAAAGGGAAGGGGAGTCAACAACATCTGCACTCTTGTGCCTGTTTTCACGTATCATTTCATATTTTTCATTTCTTTTCCAGCTTTATACCCTGTACTACTATCTTGCATCATGAGTCGCCGTCCTAGCCGACAGGTGTCTGCATTCTCAGCGGAAGGGCTTGGGTCGCAGATCTACGAAGAAGACGGAGCACGAAGGCCGTCGGTCCAATCAGTGGTGCAAGCGTCGAGTTTGAAGCCAGGAGCACAGTTGACCATGGAACGTTTCCTGCAGGACCTACCTAGCGCCGATCAGCCGCCGGTCGACTTCAGTCAACAGTACCACACAGGCCGTGTCCCAAATAGTAAAGGGAGAGATGGGAAGCCTAGGTTACTTCTCATGGGCCAGAGGAGGTGAGCGAGACTTCAACTGGCAAAAGTGCGTGGCTGACCTGCTTCATCAGGAGTGGCAAGTCGTCGATAGCCAATGTAGTGTTCCACAAGCTACCTCCAAGCGAAACGCTGTTTCTCGAGACCACTTATAGGATAAAGAAGGAATCGATGCAGTAAGTGCGAATGACGGGGAGATGCGCGCCAGCCCACTAACTCAAGTAGCTCGTTTATGGACTTCCAAGTGTGGGATCTGCCTGGCCACCTGGACTACTTTGACCCTGCATTTGATACAGATAACATCTTCGACGAAATAGGCGCGCTCATCTGGGTCATTGACGCACAAGACGAGTATCTTGACGCCATCCAGAGGCTCAACTTCACGATCCTCAACCTTCAACATTCGTACCCCAACATCAACATTGAAGTCTTCGTTCATAAAGTCGACGGGCTATCAGATGACTTCCGAGGCGACACATTCCGCGACATCATTCAACGAGTACAGGACGAGCTCAGCGATAACGGCTATGAGCAAGCACCCATCTCTTTCTACCAAACCAGCATCTACGACCACTCCATATTCGAAGGCTTCAGCAAAGTCATCCAGAAGCTTATACCGCAACTACCGACGCTCGAAGCGCTCCTTAACAACCTCTGCGCTGCGTGCAACATCGAGAAGGCCTATCTATTCGACATCATGAGCAAAATCTACGTAGCCACCGACACCACGCCGACAGACATTGGGAACTACGAGATCTGTTCAGACTACATCGATGTCGTTGTAGACGTGGCTGAAATCTACGGGTACGAGCGTGAGAACCAGACGCCTGAAGAAGAGTTGCTCGAGAAGGGCAACGGAGACGCAGAAAGCCTGATCACCATGGAGCGTAGGGGGGCCAGGTATCTGTACTTACGGGAGCTGAACAAGTAAGTGCCGTGTCTTATACTGTGCTTACTGCAGTCTAATGATAAGCTAGGTATCTCGCGCTCGTCTGCATCATGGGTGACGACAGTCCCGCTGAGAAGAAGGCCATCATCGACTACAATGTCGGTGTGTTCCAGGCAGGATTGAGGAAGGTGTTCCCCAAGGGCGACCGGGAGGCCCACATCGAGATTGTGGCCACAAACGATGCAGCTTCATAGAGGAGTCTCATCTCACTGTGCCGAAACACGATGAAGGGCGAGGGGCGGATCTTCCGCGGGCGACGACCAGAACAGTGAGTGGCGTCTATATGTACTTCACAAGCACAAAAACCATCGTCTGCAAAGCATACAGGCGATACAAATGCAATTACCAAGCCGCAACACCAAGATTCGCACCAAGAGCTCCATTGAGTGTCTATGTGGCTGATGTTAATAGAGGGCGTGCAGCCAATCAGTGTGCTCGGATTCCGAAAAGCCTGGATGATCTGCGTCACTGCCGCTCTTCTGCCGGATGTGGACTCTCACAGCTCCAAGCTTGGTGCAATTTATCTCCGCTACCTCGGACCGCTTTCCACCCCTCTTATTCACGAGTGACGACGTGTTTGTTCATTTTGCAATCTTCCCTTGCGCCTCGCTTTTAGATTGTAGTTTCGGAGCAATCCAGGTGAGGATCCGCGTAAAGCTTGAAGGAGCACAGTTATACTGACTTGACTAGCTACAGAACACACCACCCTGCACTGCAACACTCACACGTCCCACGTGTCTAGCGATTCTCTTGCAGTCTGACACTCGCCGGCAACATGTCAACACCAGCCCGCTACCGCAAGCCGGGTACCATAACGGCCGCAACGAGCACACCCACCGCCAGCCACGAAGACACAGCCCCCATCCCACGCGCCTCTGCATCCACCACCGAAGCCAAGAAGGAGCTGAAAGCCGCCTTCAACGAGCAGGCGGTCAAAACATCCAAAGGCCTCTCTGTCCTCGATGTCCTGAGGGTGCTGGGCGGCCTGGCGCTGCTGAGCGCGGGCCTGAGCTATCTGAGCACCAGCGGCGAGAGCATGACGTGGGGCTACAATGCGAAGTGGACGCGCATGCGCGAGTGGAAGAATGTCCTCGTAAGTCGCCCGACCCGCGTTCTCCGTACTCGTCTACTTCAATGTTCACTCGCTCTGATGCCCACTCGCTCTAACGCTCACTTCGTTCGCAGCGCGGCCAAGTCCAACTCACCGACATCGAACTGACGTCCTACGACGGGTCCGATCCCACGAAGCCTATCTACCTCGCGCTCAACGGCACAATCTACGACGTCAGCGCATCCCCTCAGACCTACGGCCCAGGCGGAAGCTACCACTTCTTTGCCGGCCGCGACGCCGCGCGCGCCTTCCTGACGGGCTGTTTCGTTGAAGACGCCATCCCGGACCTGCGCGGCGTCGAGCGCATGTTTATCCCCGTTGACCCGGAGGAGAAAGCCGACGCGGCCCCAGACGCCGTCGAGAAGGCCAGGGCGCGCAGACAGCTTACTCCGGCCGAGCTGAAGAATCGCAGGGCGCAGGAGACCAGGCTCGCTAGGCAGAAGATGGTGCAGGGGCTGGAGAGCTGGCATGCGCTGTTTCGTGGCGACAAGGGGAAGCCGTATTTCAAGGCTGGTGTCGTTAGCAGACCACAGGGCTGGGAGAAGTATCTCCCCGAGCGCCCACTTTGTGAGCAGGCGGAGAAGAGTCGGCCGGTGAGGAAGTATGATTAGAGCTGTGTAGATGAATATTGAGGTTTTGCATCATTTAAGATCATGCTTCATATGAGTGAAAGGTATGAAGGTACGAGGTGAGCACTGAGGACGGTGTTGACAGACGCTGCATGCACAAGTGATGTGTGGGAGCAGTCGTACCGGAGGCCGCAAGTAATGTGTCAACACAGCCGAGGTATGGAGCAGTCAATGACGCACTGAGCGGCTCTGCCAGAGGGCATCACTAAGAGCTACGCATCAGGGCGTGAGACTGAAAATATCTCGTCCAGCGTTCGCAACGTACAATCAACTTCAAATCAGTAGTCCTCACGCACTGCACCCCACCCACCACGCACTTCACACTCAAAAGTCTGACGTCTTGTTCGGTTCGGATATCTTTTTCATTCAATACATAACCGACACGGCCCACAGGCGCGGTGCTGTACCTCCGCCTGTCCTCCCTTCATGCCCTTTGTCCGTATAGACCCGGATCCGTTTGCAAAAACGCCGACTGGTAACTGGGAACGAGGAAATGTCGTTGAAGCTGAAAAGGAGCACCGATGTTCGTCTACTTCATTACTGCGGATGGAGATTTACTCGGCATCACCGACAGCGCGGGCTATGTTGCGTTAGCACAAATCCTGAACCTCTCAGAAGGGGAGTCGATGGCCGGGCTGGCGCTCGACTGTTCGGGGGAGACGCACTGTAGACGGACAGCTTCGAGTGAGCGACGACCTTCTTGATCTGGCCCTGAGCCTCAAGATCCTGGAGGGCTTTCCTGGCGAGCGAGCCGTTGATCTTGAGACGGTCGACAAGCGTGGCGACGGTGATCAGGCGGTACGACTGGACATCCTTGTTGAGCTTGTCGGTGACATTCTTGTCGAGGACGACAGCGTGCTGGGCCTTGTCCTTGACTGCGGGCTGTCAGCTGTAGTCTCTCTTTCTAATCCACAGGTTTGCGGTGCGCGCCAGCCGCGTGCAGTGGCGGGAATCGAGTGTGCGCGATAGAGACGGCGGTGCGAGTGCGACGGTCACATACCCTTGCCCTTGGACCACTTCTTCTTCTGCTTCTTGCCTCCGGTTGCTGAGGGAGCCATTTTGTCGATGTGTGAGTGTCTGGTCTGAGGAAGCGGCGTCTGAGCAGCAGAGTCAAAATGGGGTGGGCGCTAAGCGGATCCACTCGCACCGCCCTGCAAGCGAAGCCGCTAGTGCCGGAAGGGAAGAACATCAACTTCACACCACCAAAGTAGCACTCGCGACATGCAAATGTGCTGTGGCTGGCGTTTCGACTTGGGCTTGAAGTCTTCGTGCTCGTGAATTGTTGGAAGTGATCGCCCTGTCAATGTGTTGCTTCGCCGCATTCCTGCTTCCTCTGCCCAAACCATGAATATTTGTCGAACATCAACCTTACTGACATCCAAGCGAACGCATCACACACTGTAAATACAGTTTGCAATATGCATTTGACACATAAATGAACCCCATCAGTAGTAGTCCTCTTCATTATTAGGATCGCTGGGGCATCAAAACCTCAAGCTCTTCTACTCCACCACACTCCACCAATCTCCCACGCCCAAAGCCCCCTCCTCCATCAAACTCCCTCAAACCCACATCCCAGCTTCATCCTCCCCTCCAACCCATCATTCACATAAAAGCACGCCCCTCCCTCCCTCGTTCCTCCCGCTCTTCCTCGCCTCCCTCAGATGTCTCCACTCCGCCTCCGCCGGCTTGGGATTCGCAATCCCCAGCGCACACTGCGCGCACGCCGTGTGTCTGCAGCGTGGCTTGCGGAAGAAATTCTGGCACGGGGCTGCGTTGGCAGAATGTGAGGCGCTGGGGCCGCGGTTATGGTGGCCGCCGGGGTGGCAGCGCCAGGCCATTTGGTGCTTCCGTTGTGGATGATGGGTGGTGGACTCGGCGGGGGATTTGGTAGGTGTGATGTGGCGCCCTCGCGGCGAGGGTTCTGTGTAGACGAGGGACGGTTGAAGGGGGATCTGACTGCTGTGCCCAAGTGGTTAATAGTGACGATTAACGGTTGACGGTTGGTAACAGAACACTCACTTCACAGTGCGCGTGTACAAGACCCATGGCACAGCCTTGCTTTCGCCGTAGACAACGCACAATGGCCAACGTGCACACGAGCTTCTGCTGCATGCTCTCTCACCTCGATGCATCGCGCAAGCGCTTCCCACTTCCCGGCTTCTGCGCACACGGTGTGTGTTGCTCGCCGCACAGTGATGTTGCGGTGAAGCAGAAGAGTGTCGTTGGTGAGAAGGCTGCTGTTGAGGAAGTGTACAACATGCGAGATGCGAAGATGGTGCTAGAAGACATCAAGAAGGATGGTGAGAAAGGCGAGTGGCCGCCTCACATTGCGCGCTCAGCAGAGGCTGTTGAAGATGGAGGCTGTGATATCAATTCTAAGGCGCACTGTTTGGACTCACTGAAGCATGATGATAAGATGTCCATTACATCACAGTGTTCATGTAGGGATGGCATATTCGCTGCATGGCCTGTTGATGCATAGCATGATCTGGTCGTTGTGCTGCTACTGTGCCCGCTCCCGGAATAAAGTGTGTTATATCGCATAGGGTTCTGCTCGGATGTCACCTGGCCTGGATGCTTCAGAACAAGGTGGGAGCCCGTACACTACCACTGTGGTCGCTAGAGCCATCCGATCGAGCGCGAAAGGTGGTTGGATTCAGGCCAACTCCTATTCTGTATGATGAGACGAATGGGCACGTGGTTGAGGAAATAGACCGCAAGACCGCTCAGGGAACGGTACGAGACACTTTGCGGTGGCGAAACGAGCCAGGAGATATTCAGACGACGTGCGGATGCACAGTCGAGGATGATGATAGAGTGTTCAAGAAGCCAGCGGGTAGTCAACGAGATGCTATCCAGATTCAAACAATGCCAATCATGACAATCGAAGGGAGATATCCCCTCAACATGCTAATCCAAACACCGAGTATGCAACCAATACCGGGGTATCTTGAAACTTTTCCGAGCCAAACACCCCTCATACCCATAACGCCTAGTAGTGTCAAATCAACGCCTGCAATGAGTCAACATACTCATGAGACACCGTTCCAGTTTATGTCGCCCCCCTGTTGCTGCATACGCTGTTGCTGCTGTGCCTGTCTCATCATCATCATTTGCTGGACCTGCTGCTGGTTCATCTGACCCATGCCCATCTGGCCCATGTTCATACCCTGCATACCCTGCATGCCCTGTATACCTTGCATACCCTGCTGCATGTTCTGCATGTTCTGCATGTTGCCCATGTTTTGCATGCCCATGCCTTGCATGTTGTTCATCATGCCCTGAGGCATCTGGCCGCCTTGTTGCATGGCTTGTTGACGCATGCGCATGATCTGATCATTGCGCGACTGCTGCTGTGCGCGTTGCTGGAGGAGAGCCTGCTGATACTGCTGAATTTGCATAGGGTTCTGCCCTGCGGCGACCTGGCCCTGCATGCCCTGGTTCATGTTCATCTGGTTTTGACCCATCTGTTGCTGGTTTTGCTGAAGCTGAGCTTGTTCCTTGCTGCGGATAAGCTGCTCGAGCTGGTGCATCTGCGTGACATGCTGCTGAGGTACCTGTTGGCCGAACGTCGCTAACAAATGCTGCTTACGCTGCTGGTAGTGCGCCCGTAGCTGTTGAACGCTCATGTTGGCCATGTTATTGCCGGCTTGCTGGTTGGGCACGGCGTGTTGTTGGCCTTGGGGCGACATCTGGTTCATGCCATGCTGCTGCTGTTGTTGCTGAGCCTGTGCAGCCTGTGCCTGCTTGAGCTGGTTAAAAAAGTTTTGTGCAAGACGCTGTTGGTAAACCTGTTGGCTCTGGCCTGGGGGCACACCATGCGTCTGAATCTGCATGTGTGCCTTTTGCATTGCCATCTGTTGCAGCTGCTGAGCACCGCCACCCGGAGACATGCCGTTCATTTGCTGGGCCTGCAATTGCTGCAGACGCATCTGTTGCACTCGTTGCTGGTTTTGCTGAGCCTGCAGAGCCTGCATCTGCTCAGGGGTCATATTCTGAGACTGCGGCGTCTGCATCATGATTGGCGTTGCGCCCTGTACCTGCAGAGATGGACTGCCTTGGTTCATGCGGGGGGTCGGCGTCATGTTGCGGTTGGGCATGGCCGAGTTCATGACAGGTGTACCTTGCATCATCTGAGGTGTGTTCGTACGGCTCATCGAACCCTGCTGCTGACTAGCAGTGCGTGCCATTGGATGATGCGAGATCGAGGACGGGGGTCGGGCAGGGCTGGCGATGGCATGGTTGGAAGCTGTTGCGACCATAGGGGTACCTCCCATGGGATGGCTTGCTTGACCGCCGGGTCGAGGAGAAGCTGCAGCAGCAGCCATGGGCGTGTTCTGTCGCACGCTGGGCGAAAATTGGTTCTGTGTAGCAGACTGGGGCGTTTGCGAGATCTGAGCTGCGGCAGCATTCGACATTTGCGCTGCTTGTGCGGCTCGAAGCGCTTCGTTCTGCTGCATCTGGTTCTGCTGCAACATCTGTTGCTGGTGTGCCTGCTGTCGAGCAAGGAGCTGTTGGCGCTGCTCCTGAACCTCGGCCTGCTGTCGGTTTGCCTCCATGTCCCGCCGCTTCTGGGCTTCAGACTCTATCTGCGCCTGTCTTTTGGCCTGCGCTTGACGAGCGTCCTCCTCCTTCTTACGGCGGTCCGCTTCCTCGTGATTGGCCTTGATGCTCGCGAGGGTCTTGAATCGGGCGAAGGACATGGTATTTGCTTGGGCGCGTACAGCCCCTTCGTTATCACCGGCATTAGTAGTGCTGAGAGTGGCCTGCTGCTCGTCTCCGGCCAACATGAAGCTCTGGAGATTCTGCGCGTCGGCCTCATCGGCGGCCAGCTCAGCAGTCGTCCTCTTGCGAGTCTTGCGTTCTGGTGGTGGGTTCTTGTTATTGGGGTGGGTCATGGCATCGATCAGGGCCACCGACTCCGCAAGGCTCTTGGTGGGCTCGAGATACAGTCGGGGACATGTCGCGTTAAGCAGCTCGGCCTCAAACTCGTGGACGTTGCTGTCATCGATCATCATCTTCTGGCGCTTTGGGCTGGGTCCGGCGGAGAAGGTTGGCGTGGGTGGCACTGCGGTCAACGGAGTTGGAGGCATGCCTGCGCCACGTCCAGCGGCCTGCTTCCTCTTGAGCGTCGCAGCGTCGGTCGCGGGCGTCGTGGCGAGTATCGACAAGTCAGACAGCTGCGCCTGCGGCGAGGGGAACAACACGACGGTGGTGATTTTGGGTCCGCTTGCAGGCTGCTTCTGCGAGGCGCCGCTCGCGCCAGGCGCAGGCATGTTCTCCTTGTCCTCCTTGTCGCAGGCCTCTTTGGGCGGTGCTGCGGCGCCGTTGGCTTTGGGGTCAGACTTGCTGCTTGGGTGCGAGCCGTACGGGGACGGAGTGATGAAGCTGTTGTTGTTGTGGATCGAAAAGGTCGTCTTGCTGCCATCGCCGGCGCCGCTTGCACGGTCTCTGGGTTTGGCGGTGGTGTTGCGGTGGTTGTGGACTTCGACGATGAGGCAGCCGTCGTAGAAGGGCGTGCCGTTGGCGTGGAGCTCCTCGAGCATGTTGTGGGGAAGCTGCTTCGCCTTGACGGCCATCAGAATCTCGCGCATGGGGGAGGCATAGTTCAGCGTCTCCTGCGAGTCGTTGATGCGGAAGTGGTTCGGGTAGAGAGAAATGCGCATCGATGGCAGCTTGCCGCGGTGCCTGGCGAGGACTGCCTCCTGCGTGTAGACTACGCTGTGTTATCGATGCGCTCGCACATGCGCGTGTGGGGCTGCGGCATACCATACAGCCTGGGCTCTGGCTTCGCGGCCTCGTCCTCCATGTTGTTCGTCTTGGTGATGACGCGCGCAACGCCAGGCCGCTGAGACTCGCGCCGCACGCGCAGAGCCTGCGTCGGCCGAGCTGTCGCGACTGCGCCCGACATGATCGTGGGATTGTTGGCTTGTTGGCGCGAAAGCGGGGTGGGTGTGAGCTGGCAGCTGGGAGCTGGGAGCTGGGGAAGTGGAAGCTGCGCCGGCGGTAAGGTCAGGCAAGCAGGCAGCTACGAGATGTCGCTGATGCACGAAGCAGGGCCGGCACAAATGTGCGCCCAAGGCCCGGAGGAGCTTCAGATGTGCAGCTGCAAAGTCGCGACTCGACAGGTCAAGGTGCAATTGGGAGTGTCTCAGGCACTGTCGGTTTGAACAACCGCGCTGGTGAGGTCTGAAGCTCTTGGCGGCCGCCACTCCCATGTTTCATCATCTTCACGTGATAAATTCTTCACGGACACTATAACAGACATATTATCGCAGGCACAGCCGAAAAGGCTCACGCAAATGATCTTGAATGGCAGGACGTTCAATGTAAAGAGAGCGAATAGAGCTTCAGTACTAAAGCTAATCACAGTTTCGTACACAGGCCCGATACCACCAGTCGTTGTAGCGATAACGTGAAACGAAGAAGCTTACTAGTAAACCCAATGAGATACTCAAGAGGATCCGAGTGATGTAGGACTGGGACTGGGCGATGACGGGGTTATTGACGATACCGAAGATGATCACGTATAGGAGCCGCTGAGGAGCCGCTGAGGAGCCGCCGATGTGAGCGGTGCACTTTCGGCACCTAGAAAATGATAAGAATGATGGACGTGTGACATTTTCGAGCCCAGTGCGTATAAACTACTGCTCGCCTGGCACTACTTCAACTTACCTACCAATCTTGTTTGAATGATCATGGCTTGGAGCAATACTCAACCTGGCTCAATCGTGAGGCCATCATGGCAAGTTCAATCGCAGCTGTTCAAGTCAATAACATGCACACGACCATTATCACACAACGCACCATTCAGATCTGAGAGCAACTTTGGATCATGCGACAGCTGGTTGAGGAACGACCATAAGCCCGAGTGGAGGGTCTCTAGGCTGATCGCTGAATCGGAGGCCGACATCGCTAGAGAGTCAAGTTCCTTGTACAACGCGGTCCGATCCAGGTTGTTGTTGTCCGGCTGACTGTTAATGGCTCGAACAACCTTCTTGACTTCGAAGTAGCCGCTGAGGGCCTCCTGCGCTGCGTCGAGCTGAGATTCGATGAGGACCAAGGACGGGATGCTGGCTTTTGATGCTAAGAAGGAGTTGGCAAACAAGTCCAAAACCTGCGAGGAAGCCTGGTAGAAACGAAACAGTGTCTTCGTCTCAGACACAATAGCAGCGAAATTTCGATCTGAAGATTCGTGCGACGCAAGTGCCTCATAGAGTTGCGTTTTCATCTGAACATGTTGTTCCTCCAGAGCACGATTCTGCACCGAGAGCTCGAGGTTCCGCTGCAGCAGATTGATGTTCTCTTCTTTCGTCACTAGCAAGTCGTCTTGCGACGTGTCCACCGGTGTCTCAGCGCCATAGTCAGCATCTGACGATGCAAATGCGGTATTGCCCTGTGCGACATCAATGTTGTGCGTCTTATGAGCTTGTTGGCGGAGGTTGGTAATCATAACTTCCTTCTTTACGATCGAATCTTTCTTTGCCGCCAATTCCTTGTCTTTCTTCGCGAGCAGATTGTCTTTGCGCTTAAGAGCCTTTGCATCTGCCTCGCGCAATTGTTCGAATATCGCTACCGACTTTCGATTATCTTCCTCGAGACTATCGATGATGATTTGCTGATCTTCAACCTCCATTTGCAGGTTCTTAAGCTTCTCGGTGGCGGCGGCATCGGCTTGCTTGACGGCTACGATCCCCTTAGCTTGAGCCCGGTAGCGCTCGATACGCTCGTTGAGATCAGCGATCGTATCCTTATGATTATCAATCTGGCGGTGAGCTTGCTTCAAGTCCATCTTTGTAGACTGGTACTCGGCGGGTAGATTGTCGATCTCCGATTGCTTTTCGATCAAGTCCTTGTTGAGGGCCTCATTTGCTGCCCGCAGCTGCCCCTCGCGCTCCTGAAAGCCCTGGATAAGCTCTCGAGAGTCTTTGAGTTCCTTTATCTGCAAAAGCTCCTCTTCCATATCCTTGGGCAGGATGTCCTTGAACTCCAGGTTGTGTGTTTTGGCTTTGGCCCAGAGAGCGGCCAGCTGCTTCTGGTATTCACCGCGACCAGCCATAATTGGGTCGGATATATTTGGTAATGCGCCCAATGCTCGTTCTTGTTCCGATCTCTCGTTTAAGGCGGTTGAGGACGTCTGTTTGCCTGCGTTTGCTGAGAGTGTTTCCTGGCAAAGGTTGGTAGATTCTTTATGAGTCTCACGAAGCGAGCGTTGTTGATACACTGTTAACAAGCAAATAGATATGATGCTGCTGAACATGTCAGCAAGTAGGTGTGAAAGGAGGGTGTGCATTGTGTGGTGGTAATTGTTCATTGTTTATGAATAATGCAGTCAATGGCAGACGCGATGCAGCTCCTGTTGGCAGGCAGGTGCAGTTACCGCACCCATTGTCGCAACCATCCGGGAAGGGCGTTCCATACTCTCCATCAGTCTCAATGAGCCGTTCAACATCGTATACCTGCCTTGTATACTTTCCTGGGGCACATGGATGGTGGCACAAATATCGACTGTGCGGACAAACGTGCATCCCTGGGTTCTAGCAACTTCCACGCACATTTGGTATGGGCTGTCGGGCACTCAGTTGCAAGGTACCGTGACATCACGAGGTCTGCTTGTGATGTCGTTATTGAACCGAGGAAAGAGTCGGCCCAGGCATACTGCGCTACCTAGATACCCCACATTCGCTGAGAGCCGCAATCCCTGCCGTGTCACGTCCACGACAGTTCATCAGCCAAACCGCGAATAGCAATCATCTCTCGCTCATCCGACCTTGTCCATCAGATGCAAAAGGTGTGCAGATATGGTGAACTCGCCGATACTTGACATCGTCAGACTGGGGTATTAGGACATGCTGGAACCAAAGGAGGCCCGCAGCCACCCCGCAATCCCACCGAGTCTCGATATCCACACCGTGCTGCGATCTGCATCCTCCGTTCTTCGGTCACTTGACAGTCCGCCTACCCTCACACTCATGGGTGCATGAGCGCACAGCCTATAGCAGACCACGATGGATACTAGCACCTTGTCCTTTTGAAGGCCTTTCCATGCCTAGCTCCGCATCTGCTGACAACCTCAACACACCAACGAGCCTAATGACGTGGATTGACGGTAGTCTTTTGTCGAATAGCTTCATCGGTTGCTACGTTACATCCGGCAGAGCTCCCCTTCATGGACCAACCGCGGGGTAGAGCAATGTGAATTGCGGATCGACGTTGAACGCGCGACTTTGGGCTACCTCGTGCGCAGTCGTGAGATGTACATAATGGAGCTCGGATATCGTCTCCTTCTGCTCTCACAGAATCTGTTCTCGCAGCTCACCTCTTCCATCTCGCTTTTCGCAATGCGGCAGTCCGATATACTCAAGGCTGCCTGCCTACTGCCGGCGCTGATCTTGGCCCAATGTCCAGAATACGTCGACTATGCGAAGGAGATCCACGAGCCTTTGAGCTCCGGAAAATACCAGCTAGCATATCAGCGCCCTACACTGGAGTGTCGAACATTCAAGAGCCAGGGATTGGAAGACACCGTCGCACATTTCGAGACGGTCATAAAAGATCCTGATTTATACCGACTCTTCCAGAACGCGTACCCCAATACACTGGACACGGCTATCCGGTGGAAGGGAGTTGCGGCGGACAATGCAGAGGAAGAGCTTACCTTCGTCATCACGGGCGATATAAATGCGATGTGGCTCCGAGATTCGTCGAACCAAATGCAAAGCTATCTGCCGCTTCTGAACGCCAGCAGTGATCCGAACTCGATTGCAAGCCTGTACCGCGGTGTCATCAACCTCCAGGCTCGCTACCTTCTTACTTCGCCTTACTGTAATTCCTTCCAGCCGCCTGTGGAAAGTGGTATCGATGTCGCCTTGAATGACGCCGCGAGTGACGACACGGTCTTCCCAACGTACTCCAACCAATCAGTGTTTGAGTGCAAGTACGAGCTCGATTCACTTGGAGCCTTCCTACAAATCTCCACGGACTACTACAGGGCGACGGGCGACTACGAGTTCTTTGGGAAGTTCAAATGGATATCAGCTATCGAAGCGGCCCTGAAAGTGGCACACGACATGATGCAGCCTACATATGGTCCGGAAGGAGAAGTCCTAGAAAGTCCGTATACCTTTACGCGTCTGACAACACGTGCCACCGAGACTTTTTCAAATGATGGCATTGGCAATCCTGTTGCCAATGGTACTGGTCTCATCAGAAGTGGCTTTCGACCCAGCGACGACTCGACAATCTTCCAGCTATACATTCCAGCGAACATGATGTTCAGTGCTTATCTAAACTCCACATCCGAGATCATGGCAAAGCTGAACGCGGGCAACTCAGCATCGCTCGCCCAACAAATGTCCGATTTGTCAAATTCACTCCGCGACGCTATCGAGACCCACGGCACGGTCAACCATCCCACCTACGGCAAGGTCTACGCCTTCGAAGTCGACGGCTTTGGTTCGACTGCCATTATGGACGATGCCAACATTCCTGGCTTGCTCTCCGCGCCCTTTGTCGGATATCGCATTGACGAGCAGACCTACTCCAACACACGAAACCTGATCCTAAGCGCCACCAATCCCTACTACATGCGTGGGCCTGTCATCAACGCCATCGGTGGGCCGCATCAAGGTCCCGGCATGGCATGGCCGATGGCATCCATCGTCCGTATTTTGACAAGTGACAACGATGATGAGATCACCAACGAGCTGAGGCAGATTGTCAGTAGCACTGACGGATTAGGGTTGATCCACGAGAGCATTAACACCTTCAACCAGAGTGACTGGACGAGGCAGTGGTTCTCGTGGGCCAATGGCCTTTTTGGACAAATGATTCTGGACTTGGAGGACCGAAAACCAGGCATCTTGGGAACCAGTTTTCAGTGAGCAAGGCAGATCCGCTTGCCACGTCAACTGCATCCGTTAATGAATTATGTACTCTTGCAACCACTACTTGAACATTGTGCAACATTCAGTTTGTGGGCATTGGTGCACGCATGTCATCGCACAGCCTAGTGTTCAACTTTGGTGTCACCTGTTTCCTTTCCCACTGACCTGCATGCTGACAGGAGACGGCGACCATGCGTGGTCCCGTAGCGGGTGACGCCAGCCTCGACCAACCTCTTGCGGGACTTTGAGAAGCGTTCGCCCGAGGCCGACGACGTGCCGTGTTTTAGATTACTTGAAGATGTCGATAAACCTTCCGTGGACTTGGAGCCGGCAACCGAGACGGCACCCTGGTGGAGATCGAACGAGGCTGGGATCCCCACCAAGTGGATGTGAGAATACAAGGAACAGCGATCGCTATCCGGCCTGCGGCAGCTCTTCGACCAAAGCGCCACCGTCATCAATGCGTAACAGACGCTCGTTCCAAGTAACAGCACACCGCAAACATGGCGGTGTTGTCTCGCAAAGCGCTCTGGCCGATCAGGGTTTGACACAGGCTGACAGCGGTTGATAGCGCACTAGAGCTGCGCCTGTGCCGCCTTCAGCGCTTCGACTTAATCTACTGGCGGCGGAGTGACTGCCGTGGGTTTCAGCTTGTTGCCGGCAAATGTATGAACGTTGTTTGTGTTCCTCCGCACAGTTGTGTACGAAGTACTTTACGAGGCCACGTTTCCCAGCTCGATTATCGAAAGATGCCAAATATTGGTCGTGCACGAGCAACGAGCTGGAGTTCGTCAATGCATGGTTGGCGGGATGCTAGGCTCCTCGTGGACGGCGCTGCTGATGTGAGTGGATCCCACTCCTGAACCGTGCCACATTTGGGCAAGCGCTGTCAGTAACGCGCGCGAACTTTGAATCGTCTGGCACGTTGCTGGCCAACAACGGCAGGACATGTCACTGAATAATGAGATCTGCTCAGCTCCCGGCTAGGCAATCATACTGGCAGATTTGATCCTACGAGATCAACGCCATGGTGATCTCCACGAGCGGCTGACGGTGAGCCAGGACGTGAGACCATGGTTCACCCCCAAGGGTTCACGATGTCCGGTCGGAGGTGTTTCTGAAATCATAGTAACGCTTTCGACGCTCCTGGAAATGAGGGACATCAAACGATTTCCCCACCTGCCGACGTTCGCCGCCATCGATAGCTTATTGCGACAGAAGCCTGATTGAGGCTGGCGTGTCTCATCAGTGGACCTATCTTAATCTTGCAATTGCTGCAAGTTTGTTCTTGCCATCCACTCGCTAACATGGAAGCCACCATGGCTGCCGTTCGCTAGGTCCTGCCATGTCTGGTTCCCATCTTGACAGGTACATCTCAGCCTCGACCGCAGCTTTTGTACCTTTCCTCACCTCGACTTTTGGACAACAACATACAAGGCTTTTTGGACCCCGCCAGACTCTTTCAAGTGGTACCTCTATCAGCGATTCGCACGCCGTCATTAAGCGCTCAGGCTGGATCCTGACCAAACCTCGCGAACACCAACTGGCGCTAATTGAACCAGTACGGAGCAAGCACATCGGAACCACCAACTTCTAAGCGGAACTGCGTTGACTTTCCTTACCGGCTGCATATCTACGCTTACTCTTTTTGGAATTGATCAAGTTGTCGGTCCTCCAGAGCCTTGCGCCTGCATCAGCCCCAGTCAGCCTCACCGCAAGCACGCATTGGCGCATGAGCATCAGTTTCATCTAGCACCAAAATTACGAAAGGCTTCCAATCAGCGATCATCGCCGTTCTGACTGCAGGACTATTCTCCGAACAGACCAAACGGCCGACGCGGCTGCTGCAGTCCAACACACCCTTTTCTCATGGCATTCTATTTATGATACCTTCACATGCAGTATACCAGCATTTAGACGCCTACACGCTTCACATATCATCCTTCTTACTCAGAGCGGCTTAGCTGCGCCGCGCTTATGATCATGGACAACACCACGCTGCATACGTTCCTTTTGTATGTGTACCCCTCTGCGCCGCCGCCAGACCTGTGCAGCTTATAACCTTCTTTAGTCAATGCCCGGCCGCACTTCGTAGTGTAGTGCTACTCGGATCCTGGGACAACTTCTCCAAGCGCTACAGTCTTAACCTTGATACCCGAGGTGGGTACAGCATCTGGAAAGGTTGCTTCACTTTCTCGGACATCTTCTGCGACGGCGACCTCAGCATGCTATCACCGAAACGAGACGGCCCGTTGAAGATGGGTGGCACATACTGGTACTACGTCAGTATGCGGTGCTCTTGCGTTGGATATTGCTGACTTGCAACAGTACGAAGTCGATGGTGACAAGGAGTACCACAATTCTTCGCAGCCTTCGACAACTGTTTGCCCTTTGCTGCCGGGACAAAGCGTCAATGTGCTCGAGATACCAATCGAGAGGCGCAGTCGCAGCAACTCCATCGAGGGCTCGTCGGCTTTCACACTTAATCCAAAGGACCGGTATCTGACACCTGTCCCTCCAGGCAAGCCATTGCCGTCTCCAAGACCTCGCAGCGCCAACCGCGAAGCCTATGCTTTGCCCTTGTCCTCACCTTGGGCTCCGAAGTCTGCCACATATCCGTCAGCAAACCAGTTCCTATCGCCAAACGTAACACGACATGCTAGAAGCGCGTCTGCGTCGCCATTGCTCCCTTCGACGCCACTCTTCGCAGACTTCAAAGAGCTGAAGGATAAGTTCGCTTCCAAGCGAGCTCGTTCAAGGTCGCGAAGCTCACCCGATGTCAGGGAAATGCATATCAGCGCGCCTATTCTTATCAGCACAACAGTCGCCGGTGTTCTCCCGGCGTTCCAACCTACACCTCCACATTCGCCCAGGAACTTCTCCCGCCCTCATCGATCCACTCCTTCACCACCCTCGACATCCACCATCACCAAAGACTTGTCACCACTTTCATCTCATCCAGTCGATCCCTTCATGGACGCGCAGCTCTTTATTGCAGAGTTGCCAGCCAACGAAACACCTGTGCAGCGCCGTCGATCCTACATGCCATCAACCGTCATCAGTGACGAATTCGGCGTTGAGCCTGGCCGCAATCGAGCCAACTCTGCGGACACCAGACGAACAAAGCGTAGCCTTTACGCAACCAACCCGTGGATTGCATCACCAAAATTCCAACACGAGTTCGAGAGTGGCATCCAGCAAGCTAGGGAGGTTCAATTCTTTAAGCCAGCTCCAGTCCTGAAGCAGCCAGTGACTTCTTTGGCGCTAACTGCTGGAGAGCGTCCATCATCAAGCTATGGGGGAAGCTGCAGCCCTGCTTTGTGGGGAGTACCCCTGCAGCAAGACCTTCCTGCTCTTCCTCGATATCTGACCCCTGACCCACTGTTTGCATGCAATACCTTGCCGTCAGAAGAAGCAACACATGTCCAAGGAGTAGATACAGAAGACGCTGTGACTGACGAAATTTTGTCAGCGTATGAGGATGACAGTGAGCCCATGCCGCAAGTTTCCGAGAAGCAGCGCAGTCACTTCTCCACATGGAGCAGCTTCGACAGCTATGTCACTTCGGACGACGGTATTACATCACCAACTTTCAGCTCAGCAACGAGCGTCTCCAGCGGCGCGGGCTCGCCTTTGCGCCAGTCAATCCGCTACTCCTTCGCCGAGCAAGCCTTCAACAAAGCCCAGAGTACAACAATTGTTGAAGTGGACGAAGACGATTACACTAGCGACCGTAACTCCACACCACCACAATTAGACCTCCATACCCTCCGTCTCTCTGCCATGTCATTCGGCTCCGATCTCTTCAACCTCGACATCCAGCACTCTGATAGCATGCCGAGGCGACAGGCTGCGTGTTTTGGTTGGGGCTTCCAGGGGTACAGTTTGCCTGAAGATGAAATCGGGAGTAAAGAGACGATACAGAACGAGATCAAGTTAAGACCGAAGCGTATCAGTGTTCAGCGAGAGAGTTTGACCAGTCAGCTCGATATGATTATGGATGACTTCTCATACCTTGGGGGCGCTGTCGTGTAAGACAGCTCCGAGAACGCGCATCAGCCTAACGACGCTCTGTCAGGACCCTGTCAGCAGCATTTGACACTCACAACACATATTTGACGGCCGATATATCGCATGCATTTACGGTCTAGCTAAGATGCAGCATACATACAGTGCATCGCCTCCATTGCGAAGTTCCTTTTACCATATCCGCGAGCGATTAGCGGGAGGCATTTTGCAATACATGACTGGGCTCTCATGTTGTCTACCAAAGTTTCACAGCACGGCAATGTTGCAAATTATCAAGATGTATGACAGAGAGATGAATCTACTAAGAACTTCACAACCACTGCTCTCGCATGTGCTTTCCATTTACATCGATTTGCTAGCGTGCTGATCCGACTCTATACCCTGCGATAAGACCCTCCTCCTGGTATTCTTCGTGCTCTGTCTCATGTGTGAAAGACCATGTTGAAGTTTGGTTGCTCCATTTGGATCGAAGAGCCCTCTTCCAAGACGTTCAGGTGTCCCCTTGAGTTTGGCGAGAGTGCGTGATTTTGTCCGAGCTTACAGGACTTAAGAGCATCGCACGCGTCGTTGCCGCGACAGCGGACAATGTCGACAAGCAGTCAGCCCTCTAGAATGGGTGCTGCAAGATTTCAGTCGTCACACAGATCCTGGGCGGTGCAATATGTTAGATAGGGCCACGTCCGCGAAGGAGGAGAAGATGAAGACGAGAACAAGTATCTGGATGTAGAAGATGCAACATGCCTCAATTCCAAACGATCAGAGGTTTTCGCCGGCAGTAGAACCCCGGTGCTGCTGTAGGCCCAAGGAGTTTGGACGCAGGATCATCCCCGTGGCATGGATGTTGAAAGAAGCAGCGTGGGTGGACTCTGAGAGTGGTTTTGTACCTCCAGTGCAGAACTGGAGAGGGAACGACGACGGCCACTGTTGATCCAGAGTGGTAAGGAGAGTGGTGGACGGCTCGCCAGCGTCGTCGGTATCGAATGGAGCAGTGAAGACTGGACAATCGGCCAAGTGCATTCGCTCACGATTAGGCCGAGGAAGGAAGGAAAACTCAAGCGCTCCTCTTTCGGGCTGCCATGGTGACAGAGGCGAAGGAAGCCTTCCCGGGCCCGTGTATGACTTGGTGAGTCGCATGTGCAGTGCAAGCCTTTCATTCGAGGCAGAGATTGAATCCTTGTCGAAGATTTCGTGCAAGCTGATCGGTGGGAAGCCGGTCGTCAGGGCAGCGGGTGTTCTGTATGATGCTTGATGTGCACGGCACAAGTGTATGAAATGGTAGCGACAGCCACAGGTGAGCTCGGGATGCAGACGAGATGGCCTGTAGATCAAGCGGAGAGAACACGGCTTATTGCTTCTCAATTACACAACTAGTCGGCACAAACCCCGAGACGCTCAAGAGCCGCTACCGCTACTACCATGGGACCACTGAAGCCAGCCAAGTGAGTCCAGCAACGAAACTCGCAGGCACTAACTTCGCCATAATGAGATAAGGAGGAGATGAAGAGAGCGCAACTATCAATTCCAAAAATCCGCGCCTAGTGATGGATTTTGCTCGCAAGAGAGTAGAGGTAGAGGTAAGAAATAGTTCAGGATTGGATCGGGACCACCGGTAAAGATTCGGCGAAGAAAAGAAGCAACAGAAAGGAAAATGTCGAGCTGGAGCATTATGTCCTTCGCTTGGTGCGTTCCCCTTTCCCATGCCTCTTGCTTCCTCTAACTGGTTGTAAATGCTCGCTAAGACAGAAAAGGACAAATCCGTCGTAACCAGAAAATGGAACTTGAGCTAACGGTCAACTCGTAAATGCTGTGTGCTCCAATCCCAAGTACTGAGGTCGGAAGGTATTCGCCAAGACGCCATGTCCAAGAAGTGGATGCATAATCATTAGAAGAAATGTGTGTGAGGTTTCGACATCTCGTGGACTTCCATTTCCTAGGCGTGGTGTTAGCAAGTGTCCAGCTTGACCTCTTAGCGTCACTGCGTACCATTTTGAAAGAGTTGAGCTCTTCTTTGATTTGCTGCGCAAGCATGGGTGTGAGCCTGTTGCAAGTCGCGATATCTCCTCGGCGGTCGTAATCATGGGGTGACCATGCGTCGTGGAATTGAATGCGAGGGCTGAATGAGATATTCCTCCCGGCCGCTGGTGTGACCGGCAGACTTCTCGTGCTTCCGTTCGTGATTTTCGGGGGTTTCGTGAAATAGTCATCACTATTCGCTTTGCCCTTCTCATGTGTAGGGGTGATTGGGGCATTGGTGGCAAACGTAGGGTTTGGTCCATCAAGAGGTCGCATAGTGGGTGATCCAGAGTCTGAGTTGGTTCCGTTGCCTGTGTTATGTCAGTCATACTATTCTAAGATGTGGCAAGGGTGCAATTTACGCTTCAAGATGCCCTTCTTCATGTTCGAAAGGATCTCGGCTCGCTCACGGTCTCCACCAAGGATGCTCTTCCTCGCCATGTCATTGGCGATGGAGCCATCGGCGTTGACAATCTCTGCCGTACGCCCAGCATCAATGGAGTTGCGCTCGAGCCTGGGGTAGCCGGTACCGCCACGGACCTGGTCGTGTGCGTGCGCATTGACGTTGACCTTCTGGCGTTCGGCTTCGACCGAGACCATTGAGACCTGGCCAACACTGGGTCTGGAGATTGGCCCATCAGCAGCTGGAACGCCAATGACAGATTTCGGCCTGAACAGTCCCTTGATTGACCTGGTACCCTTCTTCATCCCACTGCCCATCTTTCGAAGCATGATAGAAGCAGACGAAGCAGCTGACTGAATGGAAAGGTTGTCGTTCGAGCCCATTCCGCCCTGGCCAGAGTAGATACCAGCACCAATGCCAGCAGCTTCCTGCTTCGCAATGATGGCGGCCTGCTCCGCATCGTCATCAGTCTGGTATCTGTCTTTCCTCAGTCTTGCACGTTCGGCTGCAACGGAATTCTCTGCAGAAGCACGTCTCAACTCGGCGGCGCTGCCAAAAGAGAAGGCTCTTCTGAGACGCGACTTCATCCCCTTGTCCTTCTCGTTAACAGCTGCCAGGTGCTTCATGGCTTCGCTGCCAATCTGCTGATTCGATTGTTCGGGCGGGGAGATTGGCTGTGACAAGGGAGAAGGTGCAGTTCGTCGTGCAGGCTCTGCGCCCTTTACAGCAGCATTACCGGCAGCCGATCCGGCATTTGCTGCCTTCATCGATGTGCTCGATTGTGTGCTACCGGCGCTGCCTTGTCTTTGATGACTGTGACTCGAGGCTGGCCGGCTGCCAGGTCGACCCGAGTTTGACCCAGGTCGCACTGTAGTGGGCGCTGAAGTTTGAGCTGAAGCAGGCCCGGTGGGGGTGGCAGTGATAGGCTCCCCGTTGCTACCCTCCACACCGGCGAAACTGCGACGTCTGTAACGCTTCGCAGAATCTTGAGTGCGAACTTGCACAAGGGTGTTATCCGCACTGTTCGCCCGGTTGTGCCCGGGCCTACCGGTTGGTGTCAGATCGGCGTCGCCAACTGACGTGTCGTGAGTCGAGTTTGTGGGTGTGCTGGCGATCGATGAGCGTTGAGTCGCTGTTGGCGTGGAGCCGCCGGTCGATATGCTGGCAGATGAATCCGTCCTCCCGGCGGCTCGCCTATAGCGGCCAGGGGAGGCTTTCACAGGGGCGTCGTCGAGGGAAAGGGACAGATCGGGGATGGCGGTCGACAACGTGATGCCAGTGAAGTCACCAATTGGTTTGATATCGCTGTCATCCTTCGAGCCGTGTGCAAGCGAGCGGCTGGAAGAGCCGGATGTCGACACTGTCGAATCAGACGAGGACGATGGGTGGGATGGATGGCCGAGGCGAGCCTGCTGTCGGTTAGGGGGCTGCTGCTGGGCGGCCTGGGGGTTCGGCGACGACACAGAACGGGTGTCCTGCCGCAGCTGGGGTGTACTGGAGAAGGCATATGGTGCTATCGGTGCAGAGGTGCCTCTGTAGCCAGTGGCACCCGTCTGCCCGCTGTAGTTTCGCTGCATGTGCTGGCGCTGCGGGTGGGATTGCGACGGCGCATTCTGGTACGAGTCGGGAGTATAGGGCATTGTAATGGAGGAGGTCGTCTGGGAGATTGGCGCAAGTACTTGAGCCATAGGGACCTCACTACAACACGGCTGCCGAGGCTCGATCGAGGCCGGCTGGGGGTTGCTGTCGACAAAGAGGGCGACTTCTCAGAAGGGTGAAACCTACGCAGCAGCAGTGTCAGCAGCAGCACTCGGGTCATGTGACGGTTCTGTGTGATGGACGATGGAAAGAGATGGTGAAGGCGAGTCTTCGGCCACTGGCGGTCGTGGACGGACATGGAGTGAAGGGAGGCAGGGCAGCGTGACGGGCGACGGGCGGCGGCCCCTGGGAACGGCCGCAGAGGCAGCGGGCCCCGGGAGATAGCGCAGAGAGCAGTACCTGGTACAAAGGAAAGCAGAAAAGCTATTAAAACAGAGAATAGAAGGCAACGACGGCGGGCGGGCGCGGAGAGGCTGTCGTGGGTGCGACGGAGATGGCAGCAGTGTACCAAGCCTCCCGAGACAGTGTTCAAGCGTGCATTGGACGGTCACTCGAGTCGTGGGCGCGGCGAACGACGAAGGGGTCAAGAAGCAAGCAGAAAAGGAAAAATATGGAGAGAGGGTTCTCGTCGGCGGCAGCGGGTGAAGAGTTGGAGTCGACGGCAGAGAGCGTGTGTCTAAGGGGGCAGCACGCTAATGGCACTCGCACACGGACCTGGAGTGGATGGGTCGTGCTAGCAGACAGGCCATCGATAATCTTCACTCGAAGCTCACGCCAGCCAGAGCATCGGTTCTGGTGCGTCTGCTTGCAATTGCGCTCGCGGCCCACGACGATTGCTGTCCTCGTCTTGTTCTGCGGTGCGCGCTGACATGCACTGCGCTACACGCCCTCATCTTGCGCACAGCAGGAGGGGAGCGAGGCTGCTCGCTCTCTAGCTCTGCGCGGTTGCTCGCACACCACGCTTGCGATTGCGCCGATCGCCTAGGCACACTGTCTAGGAACTGCAGCCTGCTCGCCCGTGGCCGCTTGGAGGGGCGTAAGACCGCCACAGCACTCAATAGCGGCATGGCCCATCGGAGCATCCTGCTGCACAATGGTACATATTCCACCCCCAGTCGCCGTCCCTGGCCTATAGGGTGCTCGAGCACGCCTGATATTGAGCAGCGCGAGCACCATCCCTACATAGTATACACCTCCACTGCGACCATTTTCGCTGCCATCCAGGGTCATCCATCCCACAGCCTGTCTCGCTGCCGCGCGCGGAGCGCAATCCGACTGCTAGCCAGCGGCCACAGCAGATGTTCACGCTGCTTCTCACCAAATGGGAGGACCTCGCGCATTCCGAGCGTGCGTTTGCGTTGCCTCGGAATCCTGATGCCCCGGAAGCAGCCTTGGCTTAGGGTCTATGCACGACAACCAAGAGCTCTTGACATCAGCCGTCGAATTTGCGCGTTGTGTGTGTTTGTCAGATCTGCGTGCGCGATTGCCGTACCTCCTTGAACGCGGCCAAAAATACACGGCTCGACGCGTTTAGCCTCAACCAATACGAGACGGTTCCAGTAAACAGTGTGCGAGTTGCGAGCCCGACTCATGAGAGCGAGCAGCCAGCAATCGACTGCAGGCCGCATTGGGAGGACCCACGCACCAGCATCCACGCGGCTGAGCGTTTGCAGCAGATGGTGAGCGCAGGCGCTGGGAGTGCTGCACGCCTGCAAAGAGACGGCGTGAAGCACGCAGCTCCACCCGTAGGCTAGAGACGCGAGGGTTTCGTCTGCCGTGCATCGATAAGAGGATCTAACGATGTCTGAGGGATAAGCCCGCGACTTCAGACCTCACCGACATGTTGGTACCCCGCTTTGTAGACAGGCAGCGGTTCCGATATATTGTTCAATTCGAGGACGAGATATCTTCATCGCGGCTCGCTCACCCGGCATGCATGCTATCGAGAGCAGCCATAATGATACGGCATAACGAGGGTCCACCTCTGAGATCGCTGCAGTGCTTGCAGGCTCGTCGCTCATCAACTGCATGCAGTCAATAAACATTCCGCGTCTGGCGGGGATAAACAATGCGGCGCTCGCTAATGCGTGGGGAAGCCGCCCGCCCGCGATCAAGGAGATGAGATCGTGTTTGATGTGCATTTGCCATCATCTTGTTTGATTGCGAAACATGCCTGCTCCCCCAACATCTCGCGAGAAGTTTGCCATCATCTTGTGGCCTAATCCCTATAATCACAGCGTGCACTTGAAGGTGGGCTGTGTCGCTGTTGCACCATGCAGACAGACCCACTGTTCTTGCAGAACGAACCGGGATGACGCGAATTGCTAGGCGACTAGGGCACTACCAGGGCTAAATATGGGCAGTTGCCACTACTGAGAAATCGCTCCTGCCGCTTCGGTCCTGGAGGACCTACCGCCAGAATTCGTGTTCGCCTCATCTTTCAGGAGGACACAACTCGAGGGTTTGCAACCACAGCATGCTTGTATAACACACTTTCCAGCGCGAGCCGCAAACGTTCTCTAGTCACTGCCGTCCCGCCTTAAATGCTCTCATCACGATTAAGTTTTCGCGTATCCAGACAGCCGGTATTCGAGACGGAATGGGCAGCCGCGGCAAACCGTTTGAGTGGTTGCTTCGAAAGAAGTGAAAGTAAACGTTTTCCGGCAGTCGACTTTCCACACTCGTTCTCTCTTGGGATCGATGTACAAGAGCAGAGCCATTTAGCTATGTCATTGCCACTGGCCTGATCATAATATTCGTACCGCGTGTGATCTGAAGATCCATTCCTCATGCGTACTTTACATGATTTACAGGTGCCTTCACACAGTGCAAACATACCTAGGCTCTCGACCGGTTTCAAGGACCTTCTCGCGGCTCAAAGGCTTGGAGAGAGCATGATCTTCTTCAAGCTTCTGCCGCGAAGAGCAATTGGCCTGGCACGTCAGCTAAGAGATGTTCTTCACCACCACCGCACCGGACAGCAGGACCAACATATTACGATGTTTTGCCGTGCTTACCACGCGCTATACTGATGATCGACTCGCCGCGTACGCCTGCCGTAGTGCAAGACATGACAGTGCCGGACTTCGACAACCTGGCTCCCCACATGGCTCTTCTTCTCTAATTCAACCCTTCCACATTGGGTATTGCGCGATTCTATGACCTCAGCACCGACAATACCCCGCTTCGAAGTCTTTACATTCCTCCACACTCTCAACAACTTTCCCTAAGATCGTTTTCGGTCGTCTTTATGAGTCTTCCGTTGCGCCCCTTCGAATACATCACGATCTTCTACTCAACATGAAGAAACCCCATCCGCGCGCTTGCTGTCAGCCCGTAACCCCGCCAGCAGTCTGCCTCATAGTGAACCAATCGCGCGCTTTACCTCCACTCAGGCCACGCAACCTACAAGTCGGTGAGCCTGTTCAACGTTGCGCACAGCTTGCGACTGTCGAATGGCGTATCAGGTCTACCCGAAAACGCAACCAATCCCTGTGTTGGAACTTGCAAAATTCGGTGTTGAGCTGAGGCTCTAGCCTCTAGGCCTGATCGACAGGCCCTTGGTCTAGCAGCGGCCACCTGCGGGATCTCAAAGAACAAGCGCGGCTGGGTGCCGTGGGCCTGGGAGGACCGCATATGCGGAGTCACTCCGTTCAACAGGTGCCGTTTGTTGACTTCGCTCTTCCGCGACTAACGTAGCTCATCCGGTCGCGGGCGTTTCAAACTTCCCAACGTCGAAGCCGGTCATCGAAACCGGATAGGTGGAGATTGTATGCAAATTCTGCTCTTCAATGATAGACAGAGGCCCAGCTGGCGCCATCGAGTCTTACGAGCCACACTCTGTGGAGGATGTTGTTTGCACACCTGAGATCGCCCATCCCGACCTTCACCGTTGAGCAATTTAGAATGCCGGCACAAATGCCCAGCTTTTTCCATAGATCCGCAAATAGGCAGCGTGATCTAGCAAATGCGCAAAGCATTTCATCTCATCGTGCGGTCTAGAAAGCCATGTTGTTGCTTCGAGACACGTCCATAATTCTCCAAGACATTCCGCAGCAGATCCCCCACCAGACCCCACCAACCAGGCTGAGATCATGGGACCTCTGGGGAACCTCGTCTTTGGCGCATCCTGGGGTTACCCAGGATTACAAGCTCGTTGCAACAATGCATCCAACAGCTTGCTAACACACCACCGCGCCCATCTCAATCTCCCAAGTCCCTCCCCCCACCCTTCAATGCTACTTCGACGAGTCACAAAAATCGCACACTGACGTCACAGCCTGTCCGCGTAAGCCACGTAAGCTGTCAGTCCCTGAGCCGAGACACCGCAGTCACGACGGTGCACACAGATACCTACCCGGCCCCACAAATTCCGGCGACTTGTCTTTCGTGCGACCGTTTCATATCAAAAACGGTCTGCGATCGACTACCTCGGTGACCGGAGATGGCTGTCGAGTCGCAATCTCCCGCCCGCGTATCGTTGATGAAACGTCGTGTAGCCGTGTGATAGCGCTCCGAGGGAAGGGATGCAGGTTGCAAGGCGACGACACATTGTCGATTGTCATACGAGGTCTCGCGCCAAGTTTGCCCCGGGAGCCCTGCGTTGTTGCTACTGTGAGGATTCAAGTGAAATTGCCGCAAAAATCCATGACGCGCGACAAGCAGTTTGCGCGCTATGCCGTTACTGTGGTGATTTCTGTGCCAGTGCTGGCAGGCACCCTGCAGAACAGATGTTCAATGTTGATTGAAGCAGCCAACAGAAGCGATTGACTAGCCAAAAACAATGGAGCACTACAAAAAGAATCACCGACGATGTCCGCAGGGCTCGAACCTACAACCTTTGGCGAACTTCAGCGAGAACCGAAAACCAACGCGCTACCATTGCGCCAGGACACCTTGCTCGAAAGCTGATTCCATGGAAACCGAGACAATTATAACTAATATAGTCTCATTGTTTCATGAAATGAGATGTGCATCACGTACGCCTCGCGCTCTTCCCGACCTCCGCGTCGTACCTTCCACTTGCCCACTACTCTCCGCCTTGAAGCCATCGCAGATCTTGCAATTGGCACGCAGCGGTACGCCTTGCGTTAGTGGGAAATGCGGTACAATGCCCTGCGCGGGCGGTGTTGGCAGCGTGCTGGTGACACTGTCTGTCGTCACGTGCGGCAGACGGGTCCTCTCCTTTCTCGACCGCGAGGAGCTGGGCCTGACAAGAGCGCATGCAGCGAGAAACAGGGAGATATCAGGGCTTGAATGGGAGGTTTTGACGAGTCGGCTTTTAAAGGCACCTAGAAGGGGCGTTGAGATTCATACGAGCAGTTAGGAGCTTAAGCAAGATGAGTCGTGCAAACGCATCGGCCAAGTATCATATTTCTAGCTCAGCGAATAGGTACTTCGTACATTAGCGGACGCTCTCAAGCGTCGGCCCCGCGGCGTCCCGCCTCTGCACTATCTCCGCGCTCATCTGGCTGTTCTGTGCATCGCTCAGCGCCCGGACGATGCCGCTCTCGGCCTTTTCCCTGACCAGCCGCCTCAGGCTATCGACGAGGAAGCCGCTGAAGATATCCACGCTCCACTCATCCGGCAACGTGGCGAGCACGTGCGCGACATCGAACCAGCCGCCGAAGCGCGCGAGCAGCTCGCCCGAGCGCTCGATGCGCTGCGACAGGTCCTCGATGGCGAGGAATTCCGTCAGCAGGTGGGTGAACAGCGCGGACTGCGCGGCGCGGCTGGGCAGCTCCGAGGCGGGGATGGGCAGCGCGCCCGTCGTGGTCGGGCAGAAGATGGAACTGTACCCGTACAAGCAGTAGCTGATTGCCGTGTCGAAGTCGCCGAGGCCGTGTGTGAGGAGGCGCAGGGCTTCTTGGTGCTGTTCTTGCCGCCCGTGGAGGATGATCATCTCGGGGACTAGTTCCTGCTCGTGCGGTTGCAATCGTGATAGGATTTGGCCGACGTCGTAGGATGAGGTGGCTGGCTGGTTGGAGCCGAGGAGTTGCAGTAGGCGTAGACGCGCTTGCCACCATTCTGCGGGGATGGCATTGTCGGTGATGAATTGATGGTATGTGGGTTTGGGAGGTTCGAGGATGCGGTAGGTTTCGTAGGTTTGGGAGAGGGTGGAGCGAGATTCCGAGTTGGACTCGAGTTCGTGAATTACCGTGTCGAGATAGAAGGCGATCAGTTCGTTGACGTAGCGCGTGTGCTGGCAGCGTTAATCGTGGAGGAGAAATGTGAACGAGAGACACATACCTTTTTCCCAAAGACGAGGTACTCCAGGTATTCTTTTACGGCACCTGGGGCCCTTTCTTTCAGGAGCTCGACCGCACGGGTCGGCTCAAACTTCACTCTGCTGTGATCGTCTGCGAAGATCTGTACACCCAACTTGGGGTTGCGGTTTGCCAGCCACGCACCATACTCCTCAACCAGCGATTGATCCCTGATGCGCGCGAGATACTTGCGCAGCTCGTTTTCGCCGTCGACAAAGGCACCGCCAGCGTCCTCGTCACCGTCGAGAATGCGCCTCCAAGTGGCAAGCACTTTGGAAGCCTTGAGTGAAGCTTTGCAGTTGCTCTGGTACAGCCTACTGAGGACATAGAGCCGTTTAAATTGTTCCAGGAGCTCAACAGCTCGATCAAAACAGTCAATTTCCTTGTCGACAAGCTCGTGAAGCTCGGCACGGTAGGATCCTGGGCTGGATGTGCCGCTCGGACTGCCTTGATCCAGCAGTAGCAAGATGTGAAGTAGCGCCGCGTCTACAGTGCTGAAGACGACTGGGTCGCTTGTGACACTTGCCATACCTTTCCGCCGCTTCCAGAATTGTAGGTACCTCTTAACAAAGTGAAGCAAATTATCACCAAACGGCCCGTTGACATCGGCAGGCATTGTGGAGAGATGGTTCTGCTGCAGGAACCGTTCAATGACGGTTGTGATACCGCCAGATATCTGGATGCCCTCGGGACCCTGCAGGACTTCTTGGCTCAGGATCGGCAACATGGACAGCACTATCCGGGGGTCTACCTCGCCTTCTATGAGCGCTTGTTCGGTGATGCGCTTCTCATTCTCGAAGACGATAATGTTGGTCTTGGTGCGCAGTACCACGTCCATGAAGAGAAGCACGGAAGCTTTCTGGCGAATGTAGATGAGGCTGAGGTACTCGGACTCGTTGCGAGGATCTTGGCCTCGTATATCGCCGAGCACCCTCTCGACAGGGTTGCGGTTTGGCCGAATGGTCGTCCCGTCTTCTGCGAATTGAGCTTGCTCCAAGCGAGAATCTAAACGTGTGACGAGTGGATTGCGGACAGCCCACCATATCTGGTTGCCAGCCCAGACTACATTGCGCGATTTCAACTTGGACAAGCGTTCCGTGAACTCAACGTCGGCTTTCTCTTGCGCAGTCGGCGGTGCCTTGGTGGTCTCTGCGCCAGCTGAGCCGTTTGTAGAGGGCAACTGCAGCCGTTGCACGGTCAGCTTGGCACCAATCTCGGGAAGCACAAGATCGTAAGGCTGAACAACGGTGCGTATTCCAAGAGGCACGGGGACGTGCGTACTGCCATCTCTCGAGAGGCCTAGCGGTGTGAGGTTCAGCCACGCCTTCGTGTCTTGGCCATCTACGTCCCATCTCTGGATCTCAACACCATACTCTAGGCTACCTGCAGCGTCTCGATGGACTGCAGCCAGCACGTAGCCTTCCTCTGCGTCCATGTCAGGACCCATGGACAAGGTCAGATCGATGCCTGAGCCATCGACTACGATTGCGTCGGGATAGCTGCTGAACTGGATGCTTCCTCTGCACATGTCGCCGTCCAAGTTGACAAACATGGCGACGCCCTGTTCGTTTGGAGTGGTGCCAACGGTGAGCAGGAACTCATTGGGATTGGGAGAGGCAATATGTGGTCGAAGTGGAACAAACGGCGGAGGCTTTGGAGCTTCTTGTACCTCGACACTGGGTCTCTGGTCGCCGGGTGGGAGCGGCAGTGGCTTGTCCGCAGGAGCGCTTTCCACAGAGCCTTCGGACGGTCGCGTGGGAGACGGAGCGGGGGAACGTGCTGGCGCTGGCGATGAAGTGCGCGACAGCGACTCGGGCACATCAAAGCCGTAGCGTTGTATGGGCGCTCGGGGGCTTGCAGTCCGCGACGAGGGCCCACTGCCTATGCCCATCATGTTGAGGCTCGTGCTTCGGCTGTGCCCCTTCTGGTGGCCCTGCTGCGGGGGGGCGGTCGCTGACGATGTGCTTCTCGAGGGCGGTAGCGGCGCCGCTGCGATGGTCTCGACAGCGCCTCCAACATGGCCAGCGTCAGGGTCGAGAGACGAAATGGGAAAGAGGCCGACCTTTTGCTGGTGCATCACGTCCAGCAACGCGTACGAGTGGCTGTCTGCGGCGCAAGAGAACGTGTCCCGCCTCACCGAGGCCAGGCAGCCTCCGTACTCGATCGTCTTGACCGCCATGGGCGGTGTGTTCTCGGTAATGCGCACGAGACGCAGGCGCTTCTTCAGGCCAATGACTACCACGGCGCCGTCTGCATCGCCCGCTTCCTCGTTGAGGTCCAGGCCGCCGACCCACAGACATGATATCGGCTTGAAGGTCGAGTCGGGGCTCAGCTCGGGCAGCGAGTAGATGGACAGGGTGTTGTTGCACAGCACGCAGGCCTTGTGGATGGCGGGGAGGACGAGGATCTGCTGGACGCCGGGGCCGCTGGCGTCGCTGTGGGGAGGCTCGAGGCGCGAGGCGATGATGGCCGTGGGCTCTGCGGACGGGTCCTCGCCCTCGGCCGGCAGCAGGACGAAGTGGAGGATCTCGGCGGCCGAGGTGCCCACGTAGAGGTTGCCGTCTGGGCGTGTGGATTAGCTGCCTGGAGACTGGAGGCGGGGCTGGGGACTGTGTGTGCCTACCCCAGACCTCGACACAGGTTATGCGTGCATCCGCGGGCTCGCCGTCAGCGGACAGCGGCAGGCCCGCCACGAGCTTTCGAAGGACAAACGGCCCGTCCTGCGGCGGCAGACGGGTCGACGGGGGGAGTGCTGCTGCTGCTGCCATTTGTTCAGAAGCATCACATGCGCCATGCCGGCTGCGGGCGCTACGTGCAGGCCATGTTGTGATGCGCGCAGTAGTTAGGGGGGGGGGGGGGGGGGGGGGGGGGGGGGGCGCCAGGTACAAGCTCGCGGATAGATGCGCGCCAATCGGTGGTTGTCGACCTAGCGTTCCGCATACTGTAGATAGCTAGATGGTCCCCAGTTTGGTGTGCCTCCACGTAGATGCGCCCGACGACGACACACGAGGCAGACGTGCCGTGCTTAGATCTGGCTTGTCTGGCTTAGACAGCACATTCACTACTGCCTACGTGCAAAGGCAACGCACGCTACAGCCATGGAGAGCGGCCTGGACGTTGAAGCGTATGCGGCGCAGGCCGAGGCACCGAAGCAGGCAGTAGGCGAAGGCGCAGAGACAGACGACGGCAACAAGTTCCAGAAGGCCATTGGTGCCTGGCGGAGTATGCTGTCCGCACCGCACACATGCGCCCGCAGTGAGCTAACGCGGCGCCAGACATCGACCTCACTGCGCTCGTCCCCCAACTCGACACGGTAGCCTCAGACCTCGTTGCACACCAGAGGGACACGCTCACACAGCGCAAAGAGCTCGCGCAGAAGACAAAGGACTTTCGCAAGCTCGACGACGAGAGCAAGCTCAGCGACATCAAGGCGCTCTTGAAGTGTAGCGTCCACCGCCGCAGCCCCATTTGCACTCGTCGAAGCTGACACAGCACAGCATACCAGGGCTTCATTGACCTCATATCGAACCAGTCCAAGACCGTCCAAACCGCCTTCTTCCAGCTCTACTCGCCACTCTCCGAAGCCCCCGACCCATATCCTCTCCTCGAAGCGTCCGTCGACTCCCTCGTGACCGCCGAAGAGGTTGTTCCCAAGCTCGCAGCCGAAAACGAACGGTTGCAGAAGACCGTCGCAAGCTTGACCTCGCAGCTGGAGGACTCGGAGAAGAAGCTCGACGAGGAGCGCACCGCCCGCAAGACCGTCCAGGACAGCCGCGACAGCAAGATCAAGGAGATCGAGGCTTCGTGGTCCGCCGTCCTCGACGAGAAAAAGGACAACTGGGAGTCCAAGGAGAGGAGTCTTGAAGAAAAAATCGAGAGCCAGGACCGCTTGCTGAAGGAGCTCAAGGCCAACTATGAGGTCTCCCAACGACTGGCCGGCGGAGAGGAAGCGGCCGGGGGGAGCAGCGATGCTGCAGCTGCGGAGCTTGACATTGTCAACTCTGAACTGGAGCGGACGAGCCACCGCCTGGCCGACGTGGAAGCACGCAACGAGCAGCTCCGTCTCGAACTCGCCCAGACTGCCTCTGCACAGGCTCAGCACATTGCCGTGGAAGACGATCCCGCGTTCCTCCGTCTGCGATCTGAGAACTCATCGCTGTTGCGCAAGCTTGAGAACGCCCGGTTTGAGAAGGACTCGGAACGCACACGCCTCGAGACCGGCTCTCGCAACCTCGAACGGGAGATCAAGTCGCTCAAGAGCGAAAAGGACGCTTTGCGCGAAAAGGTGCAGAAGTGGAGTGACTACGACAACGTAAAGCAAGAGCTGGACGTGCTGAAGGTGAGAACATGACAGATTTGCTTCGAAGCCCTGCTGACATCACCAGTCGATCGAGTTCGCAACGGGCGACGACGACGACGAGGCAACCGAGATTGCTCTCTCACAAAACGGCCACGCTGCCAAAGGAAAGGGTGAAACACTGGAGCAGCTGTTGCTCGCTCGCAACAAGAAGATCAGCAACGAGCTGACAGTCTTGCGCGTGTCGCACAACGACCTGCAGAGCAGATTGGAAGCACTCGAGGAAGAACTCTCGCAAACGAACATGGAGCTAGAGAAAGCACGAGCGCTCAATGAGACGCTGGAGGCTGATCTCGAAAATGTACAGCAGGAGGCGTCGAATACCTTTGACCCCTCGGCCAGGTCGGTGGCAGGGACCTATGTGTCTCGATACCCGCAATCGTCCTTTGCAGGCACAAGACGAGGGAGGGCAACATCGCCCACATCATCCATCATCTCCGGTTTCGACAACTCCTCTCAAAACACGCTCGCCTCGTTGCGCGCTGGGGAGCAGGTGGGCGGAGGGTCAGGCATCCTACCCATGGTCACAGCCCAACGAGACCGCTTCAAGAAGCGCAACTCCGAACTCGAAGCCGAGCTGCAAAAGTCACACACAACGATTTCGGCATTGCGGTCTGAAATCGGCTCGCTCCAGAAAGACAATCTCGACCTGTACGAGAAGACGCGGTACGTGTCGTCCTACAACGCACACAGCAGAGGCCCCACAACCTCTGCGTCGTCCTACGGCGCAAACCCGAACCCCTCGACTGTCCAGATGGCCGACAACGCGACGGACCGCTATCGCTCTGCGTACGAGTCCAATCTGTCGCCGTTTGCTGCGTTCAGAGGCCGGGAGTCGGCGCGCGCAATGAAGCGCATGCACATCTTCGAGCGGCTAGTACTGCGCGTAACCAAATTCGTGCTGGCCACGAGAACAAGTCGCAACCTGTTCGCGGCGTATCTGATGGGCATGCATTTCATGGTGTTCTGGATGCTGTTCTCGACGGCTGGAGCTCATACAGGGGCCGCCGTGGGCGCTGTTGCTGGTTCGGCAGCTGCGCCTGTTGACGTCGGATCTGCTGACATTTGGCACAAGGACACAGTTGGTGACGGCACATCTTAGGTCTTGTGCACATCTTAGGTCGTGTGCACATCTTAGGTCGTGTGCACATCTCAGGTCTTGTGCACATCTTAGGTCTTGTGTACATCTTAGGTCTTGTGTACATCTTAGGTCTTGTGTACATCTTAGGTTTTGTAGCGACTATGTATTTCTGCAGCGTTGAGCTCCGGGTTGGAAGCGTTCGGCATCAGTAAGCGAGCATTAATGAACACACGTCGAGCATCAATGAAAGCGTCTTCGTGCCATATGAATTGCAAACAAAATCGCTCACACCCAGCATTCGCATCCCAGAAGAATAGATTGCAACTGTCGATCGAGTCGTCCTGCCATTTTACGGTCTTGGCGTGCTGTAAACACCAAATTTGGAAGCGAGTGATTATCCATAGTTGACCCGCCATCTCAAAGCTCATCAACAACGCCGAGACCGTCGCACAGCTTGCATCCCCGCACGCTCCCTTCACACCACGGAACGCACATCACACACCATGCAGCGTCGTATGGTCCGTCCCTCATCTCACCATCTCGTTGCAGAGCCACGCTAACAAGCACAGCTCACGAAAGAGGAGGAGGCCTCTGCGGGCGCCGAGGATATGGAGGTCCGCCGCGAGGACCAGGAGAAGATTAACAAGTTTAGCTCGTTGCATCAGAAGGAGACGAATCTGGAGGAGGAGCTTGGGGCGAAGATGGTGAGTGCTGGCCCGCCTGCTGTCGTGTTGCTGTTTCGTTTCCGGTTCACTGCGTTGCGCTCCAAAATGAGACAATTGGCTTCACTGCACTGGCAATGAATTTTTCATTTTCTGTAGCTTTCTCGGCTGAGGATGCAATACTAACTACGGGTAGAAGGAGAAGGAGGACCTTGAGGAGATCTCAACAGAACTCGAGCTCGTGGATGAGGACGAGAAAGTACCGTACGTCAAGTTCAGCCTCCATCACAAGCACGGGAGCGGAGGAGCACGGACGATTACTGATCTGCACACAGGTACAAAGTCGGCGACTGCTTTGTCTCTTTACCTCAGCCGCAGGTCCTCGAGCTCCTGGAGAGCTCAACACAGACCATCGACGATGAGGTCGAGGCGCTGAAGTCGAAGCTCGAGACTGTCCAGGAAGAGATGGGAGAGCTGAAAAAGGCCCTGTACGGCCGCTTTGGGAGAAGTATCAACCTCGAAACCTAGGCAACCACTTTCTAGCTCGGATCGGTGCACGAAACGCAGCAGTCAGTAATACGACACATAGCATCAACTTACCGTATTCCGCCGTTATTTGACAGACGGAGTTGACATTCGCCTCGGAGCTGATTTCGAGATCGGAGTGCCTCAAGAACAGCGGAAAACCAATGATCCGCGGAGTCACATCATCAATTCAATAAGCTCTCCACGAATTGCAACCATTGAGGCTCTTGCAGCGCTTCGGCAAGTGGGTCCAGGCATCGAGGTCTCGTTCCCGATATGCTCGTCATGTGTGTGCATTAAACCCGCGTTCAGCAGCTAGCCCCGGCGCCGTCTCAACAGTTCCAACTGAGCTACAACCTGCAGCTTCGGATATGCTAAGTGCATTCGCGGGGTCAAGCGTCGCTTCATTGCCGAGTCCCCCTAATACCTCATCACGTTTTCCCCTCGTCATGCTCGCTTCTTTCTGTGTTCGATTCGCTCGTTGCCAAGTCTGAACATCATCGCTCTGCGCAATGGAGTCCGCGGATTTGGAACGGACTTATTCCCGCGAGATGCAGCAGCAGCGGCTCAACGATGGGGTGCATGTCACGACGCCCGTGGCGCTTGTGAGAAGTACGACGTCGCGAAGTGTGCAGAGTGCTCGCAGTCGAAGGAGTTCAAAGAGTCGCCGTACGCATGCCTGGACGCTCTCAATGGCTTCTTGAACTGACGTCGGCATTCAGATGCGGAGGGCTCTCGGACCGCTCGATTGAGAGACATGGAGAAAGAGGTGGAGTCTTCGTCTGATCTTGACAAAGCCAAGGATGATGAGATCGAGGAGGTGGTCACAACCTCGAGAGCGGGTTCACGTGATTCCAATGCCTCTCATGGAGATGTGCCTGCCAGGAAAATCATCCGCTTCAAGAACGGCGATCCGGATAATCCAGACAATTGGCGACAGGTACGCTCGAGCACTTTTGTTCGACACCGTCTCGATACTGACGAGCTCCAGATAAAGAAGTTGTATGCGCTGTTTGTGGCCATCATGAGTGGTAAGTGCTGCGCTCGCAAGTAGTGATCATTCTGACAACCATGCAGTCATGAACAGCACCATCGGCTCTTCGTATGCCTCCAGGCTCCCTGTTTGCAGACATCTATCTTTGCCGGCTAACACGAGTTCAGATTGCCAGCCGGAGCTACAGGACCCATCTCGCAACACTTCCAAGAGTACAACGAGTACAAGCTCATCCTGCCTACTTCCATGTATCTCGTGGGCTATGTTTGCGGGCCCATGTAAGCAGAAACATCATCCCCATTTGAATTTAACCTGACAATGTATCCTAGGATCTGGGGCCCATTATCAGAGTCCTACGGCCGCAAACTAGTCATGATGATATCCTTCGCCATCTTCACATTGTTCTCTGTCACTTCGGCAGTGTCACCTAACTTTACTGCCCTCGTCATCTTTCGTCTCCTCGTCGGCATCGGAGGCAGCTGCGCAATAAGCGTCGTGGGCGGCATATGCGCGGACATATACCACGACCCGAAGAGTCGCGGGCGAAGCATGGCAGGCTTCATGGCCGCGACGACGTTTGGGCCGATCCTGGGTCCGCCCATCTCCGGCTACATATCGGTCGTCTCCTGGGCCTGGGGCTTCTGGGTGGGCGCCATCCTGGCCGGAGTCACGTGGCCGCTGTTCATCTTCTTGCCCGAGACGTACGGTCCCGTCATCCTGAAGCACCGCGCGCAGAAGCTGCGCAAAGAGACTGGGGACGAGAGCATCACCGCACCCATCGAACTGGAGCAGACGGACTTCAACCACATTGTCACCGTGATCCTCACGCGCCCGTTGAGGATGCTGTGCTTCGAGCCGCTTGTACTGTTCACCTGCCTGTACCTGAGTTACGCATGTAAGTCGCAATGCCTGCCCCTCCCCGCTGGCACAATCACTTATCCACCCAGATGCAATCTTTTACATCTACCTGCAATCCTACCCTATAATCTTTACCGGCATCTACGGCTTCACGCCTGGCGAACAAGGCCTCACATTCCTCCCCATCGGCGTCGGAGCCCTGATCAGCGCCGCCTTTTATCTCACATGGGACTGGTACCTGTCCCGCGCGCAGGCGCTAGACAAGCCGTGGGCGAAGGACGAGGAAATGGTCCGACTGCCGCTGGCATGCATCGCAGGCCCGTTCTTCGTCCTGTCGAGTTTCTGGCTGGGCTGGACGGCCCGGGCCGACGTGCACTGGATGGTTCCGACGAGCGCGGGCGTGCTGTTTGGCATGGGCTATCTGTGCCTGTTCATGGCGCTGCTCAACTACCTTGTCGACGCGTACGAGGTCTTCGCCGCGAGCGCCATGGCGGCGGCGTCGCTGTCGCGGAGCTCATTCGGCGCCGTGCTGCCGTTTGCTGCGCGGCCCATGTACAGCGCCCTCGGTGTGGCGTGGGCGACTAGCTTGCTGGGGTTTCTGGCCGTCGCGCTGTGCGTCGTGCCGTTTGCGTTTCTCAGGTGGGGCGGCAGGATGAGGGAGAGGAGTCCGTTCTGTCAGTACTTGAGGCGGAAGAAAGAGGAGGAGGCGGCGGCGTTGCGGGAAGAGAGGGAAGGCGAGGAAGAAGCAGACCTACGCGTGGCCCCGAATGAGGTGAAGGGGAAGGAGGAGGTGTGATCACTGGTAACCGCTGACAAGCGAGACTTGCACGCCACAGACACACAGAAGATGCCGTCCAATCCCAGAATCCGCGCTTGCCTACGCCCCTCCATCAAACGACCGCCAAAGCGCATTCTCGCCCTCACTGCTCTCGTCATCGCCCTCACTCTCCTATCCATCACTGTCTACACACCAG